AGTGACGGACAATCTAAGTGGACAAAAATTAAACGAGTCATGACATGTCACACGTGTAAAATATTTTTGGGATAGCCCGCACCTCCATATACCCCGCAGGGTCTTGTTTTGTTTGTAAAAAGTGGTATACCCCGCGGGTTATATGCGGGAAAATATGGTAGTCTAAGTGTAATCTAAGTTTAATCTAATCTAAGTGTAATCTAAGTGTAATCTAATCTAAGTGTAATGTAATCTATGTGTAATCTAATCTAAATGTAATCTAAGTGTAATATATATTTCTAAGTGTAATCTAATCCAAGTGTAATATAAGTGTAATTTATATTTCTAAGTGTAATCTAATCTAAGTGCAATCTAAGTGTTATCTATATTTCTCAGTAAACGTTATAACCTCAAAAAACTCTCATGGCATCTATAAGCCTCTTATTATTACAGGTTCACTATGTCATACTACGGTTGGCTACGTACAGTGCAAAAAAAGTTCAACATCCTTACAGTATGTTCTATAACTCGGCAGCTGTGTTCCTGAAGAACACGGCATTATGGAAAAATCGCGTTATAATAAAAAAGGAAGTATGGTAAAGCACAGTCCGCGATAACACGAGAGATGCGTACGCAGGCTGAACAAAGACTCGAGGCGCATGGGTAGCATCTAGAAGCATCCAGCAGCATCCCCAATGCCTCGTGCGATGCTATGCCGAGGCAGCCGCACGACCGCTTATTCCTACTTGCTCGACGTACTTTGTTCACTCAATCGTAGTTCTGTTCACTCAATAATTTTGCATCAGCGTTATATAAAATGTGTTCCCTAATTCATACATTGCGTTATATCCAATTCGTGCAATGGAAATACGTGGCGTTATAGGAGAATACACTGTACTTTAGATTAAAATTTTCATTTTGTTATAATTCGCAATGCGAATGGAGTGATTTGGCATTCAATCAGCCCACAATACATCTATCTCTTTATGGCCTTGCCCCACCTTATCTCGCCGCTCTCGCCTCTTTCCATGTGCTCTCTCATCCTCGTCGCTCCCAGTCTTCTCTCTGTCTTTCTCTCCCTCTCTGTCACTCCACCCTGTGCTCAATCCCGTTTTCAGTTCTCCCTCCTTGCACCACCCTTCCACTGGAATCAACTTCCTCCCGTACGTTAAGCAGTCCTCGCCTCCATAACCACCTTCCGTTCCTCTCGTCAAGCCTGACTCACCTCTTCTGCTCCGCACATTCCCTTCCTCTTCCCTCCCCTCGCCCCTCCACCCCTTACAGTCGCTCCCCTATCGCCCTTTCGTGATCCCCAATTACCCCGTCTATCGCTGTCACTCATTCCTCTACACACCTTGAAGCACCCCCCCTTGCCGACTCCATCACACCATTCTGTGTCGCCGTTTTGTAAACTGTGTCATCAAGAGAGCGCCCTCATCAAGAGAGCGCCCTCGAGCGAGGGCGCTCTCTATAAAGATGACATTTTATGAGATTCTATGGAAATATCCAAAATGTGGAATTAAAGTGCACCAGTTTTGTTTCTATCGAGCACTTGGTTCACGTCGGCGCGGTGAGTAACAACTCTCGTTTGGCTGTCCCATGGTTAACCCTCAGTCCACAGTAACCTCCCCACGTATAGATAACATACACAAACTCAACACGATTAGCACGGTTGGCTACGTACGATAGGAAAGAAGTTTAAACATACATAGAACAATGCCGTGACCTTAAAAAGAAAGAGTATATAATTGCCCGGTAAGCATGCCAACGTTGTGTCAACTTTGACCCGACGTTGTGGTAGTGTGCTAGTAGTGTGCCTAAGAACACGAGGCATGCAATTATTGATTAATATATTTGGTATGATGTTCGGGTCACGTTTCGATTCTACACTATATATATATTCACATTTTTTTATATCCTCATTTTCGCTCTCTCAATCGCATCATTTTGTTATCTCCATTTGCAAATGGAATGCACCCAATAAACATCTCCAACGTTGGACCAACGTTGGACCGACGCTGCACATTTACTGGGTGCCCACTGCAGCAAATCACCTATGATGGATTCGCACGTGTCCTACGCGTCTTCAGTGCATTTATCAAGAGTACAATTAGGGGATGTACGGCTGTAGGTAAGGGCCCCTTGCTCTCTTGCGTGTGCCATCAACGGCCGTCGTCACCGGCAGGGAATCTCCGCTGCTTAACGATGCACGGCTCGCGGAAATCGCTCGCTGTAATTCGGCTGCACTGACCTTCACTTCATCAGACGGGGCGAGTTCCAAGTCAGCATGTTATTAAAAGCTCGCAATGCAGTCGTGCTTACATTGCGTACAAGAGAGAGTGTATATATATACTTTAACTCAATTGTAAAAAGGAACTCACAGTGAATACAGTGTTTATTGATTGTGTTCTGTTTCAAATTCCTCCGAGATGTGTAGCGCCATAGCAACGTCTTTTCACCAACATGTTTCTCGGAACAGATTTTTTTTTTAATGTGCCACTCTGTAATTGGATAGACGCCTCGCACCTTTACTGTTTCAAGAATCAGAACATCAGAATATTTATTTATACTGGAGGAATCCGATGAGCTGTAAAGCTCCTCTTCACGGATACGATACGAGTTCCAACGCCTCAGTTGCTCACAAACACAACAACAACAACCGCCATTCGCCACTAAGTGGCGGTGACGTCACCACGACGCTTGTGCCAGGCTATGTGCACCCTGAGGCCACGTGAAGTGTCGAACGCCCGCTGGCAGGTGGTCACGGGGCAGACCCAGGTGCCACGGGTCGACTGACTGAGATGACTGGCTGATGCACCACCTGTGCCCCCTACTGTGCCAACCTGCTGTGCTTTAGCCACCCGGCGCTCCGCTCGCTGTTGTGAGCGTCGCTCCTCCGCCCTCCGTTGTTGTTGGAGGGCGACTGCCTCCAACTGCCCAGTAGCATCCTTCACGAGCCTCCTCCACAGAGGCCGATCTTGACACCGCTGGTACCAGTCATCGGCAAGTCCACTCAGCTCCACGTCCTCCTGTACCACATCACTCCATCTCTTCTCTAGCCCGTGCCGCGCCCGCTTAGCCCCCTCAATCCGGCCAAACAAAAGCTGTTTCGGCATGCGGTGGCTGGGCATGCGGGCTACATGACCCAGCCATCGCAGCCTTGCCTCCCGGAGGAGCTCACCGATGGGACCCTGCCCAGATCTTTCAAGGATTTGTGAGCTCCTCACACAATCCAGTCTGGTTAAACCCAGGATGGATCGTAGGCAGGCCAGCCTAAATGTTTCTAACCGGCGAAGATGTTCCATTAGGGGGGTCCACGTTTCGCAAGCGTAGAGAAGGGAGGGAATGACCGTGGCCGAGAAGACCTGAAGCTTAGTGCGGAGCGACAGACCAGGTAGCTTCCACACAGCGTTACGCAACCGATGAAAAGATATTGCCGCTCGACTGATTCGGAGTGAGACCTCTGCTGTTAAACTGGAGCCACAAACACACACACACACATACACACACGTGCAAACAAACAAACACACGTGCACACGTGCGCGCGCACACGGAATGACGTGTCTCTGATCAACCACAGTTGGGCACAGGCAAGACATTGGAGCATTACACCGTCGGGGTTCAAGACGGCTGCAATTCAAATGAACACTGTCACGGCACATACCATGCCAGTGACTTTCGTTGAGCTTCCTATTATTATCAGCGCCATTTGACGTGGAGACCACATGTTTATTCTGGAAGTCCGTACACACAAAAGAACACCTTATATCCAGTAAACATTATTTATAGGAACCTTATGTAAAATTGTTTCTCAGAAATACAGCAATACGATTTCCCTTCGTTCGGACCCATGTGTAAAGAACTATGTTTCCTGCTCCATTAACAGTGAAGATGTGCCTTGTGGCTCAATCTTGCCGGTTAGAGCCACAAACCTGGGCCAGACCAGATGACTCTGCGTACAACCATTTTCATGAGATTCTTTGCGCGTGTGTGTGTGTGTTTTTTAATTAGTCACCACTATTGGTGCTAGGAACACAATCACACTCCCTGCAACTGAGATCCCATTTTATCTGCAGTGCGCCGCACTGAGTGCCTGCCACGAAGGAGCTGGGCTGGGAGTGCTGTGTCAGTGTCGAATCGGCCTACTCCTGCCTCTTCACAGGGCCATCGCTTTACCCCTTGCCACACGAGGACATGGAATGTATACGCAACGCATTAAGACGGTTGGGGGTGAAGGGGGGGGGGGCTTTGACACGAGGAGAGGTGACAGCAAAACCTAATGACCTTGCATTTGTGACCAACGTAAAGAGTCCCACTGAAACGCGAGGTCTTGTGCTCGTCTCAGACGTCACACTGCAACGAAAACCCATTGACTTGTTTTAGAACGGGGGACAAACCTGCCACTACGTGCTGTAATGATTAAGGAAGGGCACGATTCCGTCACAGCAGAACACACACAGTGCAGAGAGGAGGTGGAGTCGTGGACCCAGCGAGAGCAGGCGGCGCGCGGCCTCACGCTCGCGACAACATCTGCCGCACATCAATCGATCAGTCATAGGCGCTCGATCAAAATCAGTGGACGCTAAAGGCCCTCTGACGTCGTTGGAAACTAGCAAAGGCCATCGTCGCACCTGCACACCGGCGGCACGGTACAAATTGGCCCCGTTCGAAAATGACCCGCAACTTGGGAGTGCACGTCACAGCGGCTATGGTCGCCCCCCTACCGACAAACTAATGCCGCTTCTCAGGCCAGGTTTGCTCATCGCCAATCAACGTTGTTGCCGCACAGGGGCAGCAGCTGCCACTGGGGGGGGGGGGGGGGGCGACGGGCTGGTAGAGTTTTTTTTAAATGTGTTGGAGATGAGTTGCGATATTAATCTCTGACTTATAATGATCACCATCACCATCGTCGTCATCGCGTGTAAAGCGTTCTGAGACACGCGGCCGCAGTGAAGGGAGGGCGGCTGAACCCAAAACGCAGCGTCGCGCCGACCACCCCCCCCCCCCCCCGCTTCGTGTACCTGCTGCTGGGCGCGCGCCGTCCTTTGGCGGATTTTTGTCGACAGCGCAGCCACGGCGGTCTCGTTGCCGTCTTCCATTCGCGTGACGAGCCGAAAGGGAGTGACTATCTCCTTGGAGACGAGGCTCTGGTGTCGGAGCACACCACCGTCCCTGGGGCGCGCGCCGCCCAGACCTGCAGCCAGCAGGCGGTGGGGGTGGGGGGAGACGGGGGTCACCGTGGTCACGGCTAGAGGTCACGGCTAGAGGTCACGGCTAGAGGTCACGGCTCCCCACGCCTCATTGTCAAGGACAAGGCTGGAGGAGGGCACGGCTCGCTCATGGCTTGGGTGGCCGGATGGTGGGGGGGGGGAAGAGTTGACGGTCAGGGGCAGTGATTTTTTCTTAAAAGGGCAAGGCTGCACTCGAGGCTGCTAGGCGCCAGCCTCATTAGGGTCTCCCTTTGGGGTGGGTGGACAAGGCGACTCCTGTGGCGTGCAAACACACGCTCGGCTAATGAGCCCCGACCCAAAGCCGGCAACGGTCTGCAGACATCGCGGTCAATGCTTTTGCCGAGCTTCTCGCTTTATAGAGCAACGATTTTCCGCACGCATCTCGCGAGTGAGCGGAGAGTCGCTGTCCAGGGTGCTGCCCAGCATCTTTACATCGAGACGCGACGAGACTCCGCAGTGCCCAGGATCTGTCTGGACGGCTGCGCGATGGATGGACGGACGGACAGACAGACAGATATACATACATACACCCCCTATGGATCATTCAGTGCCTCGTGTCTGCTGTGTCTGTGAGCTGCTGTGTGTGTGCCGTGTCTGTGAGCTGCTGTGTCTATGAGCGGTGTTTGTGAGCTGCTGTGGCTGTGAGCGGTTTCTATTAGCTGTTGTGTGTATGCTGTGTCTGTGAGCTGCTGTGTGTATGCTGTCTGTGAGCGGTGTTTGTGAGCTGCTGTGTCTGTGAGCGGTATCTATGAGCTGCTGTATGTATGGGGTATCTGTGATCTTTGTCTTTGTATGCTGTACCTGTGAGCTGCTGTGTCTGTGAGCTGCTGTGTGTACGATACGGTTGTGAGCCGCCGTGTCTGTGAACCGCCGTGTCTGTGTACCGCCGTGTCTGTGAGCTGCTGTGTCTGTGAGCTGCTTTGTCTGTGAGCAGATGTGTGTACGATACGTCTGTGAGCTTCTGTGTCTGTGAGCTGCTGCGTCTGTGAGTCGCTGCGTCTGTTAACCGCCGTGTCTGTGAGCGGCTGTGTCTGCGCCGCGTCTCGGTATGTGTGTTGTTGCTGCTGTAGGCGCCGCCGCTGCTGCTGCAGTGGCGCTGAAGCCGAGGAAGAGTCGCAGGGCGGAGCCCAGATTCGCAAAGAAAAGAGAACCACAGAGCGTCGAGAAAACCACACACACACAGACAAACAAAGATCCCCCGTGTCGCCTTGATAGACTGTTGTGTGCCGTGCCGGCCACCGGACATAAAAGGATAGGTGGCAAGCACCACGCCCGGCCGCCTTTGTCTCCCGGGTGGCGATGTTTACACATCGCAGCAGGTACTCATTTGAGGCTGAGTCGACCTTGGAGAGGCCCAGGACCGGTTCAGATAATCGTCACTGGTTTTGGCAATGAGCGGGAATCGAACCCGTGTCGCCAGGTTCAAAGCGCAGCGCGCTAACCGCTACACTATCGCTCACACACTCACTCTCTCAGACAATCACGCTCTCATACTCACGTACCCATTCACTCACGCTCCCAGATGCTGACAATCACCCTCTAAGACACTCACTCGAGCACGATCTCACACTCACTCACCCTCTAAGAATGATCTCACTCACGCTCACGCCCGCAGACACACACTCATGCTCTCAGATACTCTCACTCACTCACTCTCACTGACTCACTGACACTCACTCTCTCAGACAACATAACGACAAAAGATCGCCCATGTAGCCTTAACAGACTGCTTCTAGCGAGCACCCATGAAGACCCACACGACACACGAAGGCTGACACGGCACACGGGTGGCCAGCACCACGCCCGGCTGCCTTTGTCTCCCTAGTGGCGATTTTACACACCGCACTAGTTACTAATTTGAGGCTGAGTCGATCTAGGGAATGCCCAGAACCGGTTCAGTCAATCATCACTGGTGTTGGTAGCCGTGAACGGAAATCGAACTCGGGTCGCCGGGTTCGAAGCGCAGCGCACTAACCACTATGCCACCTCTATCCCACTCTCTCAGAAACTCACTTTCCCAGACACTCACTCTCTCACACACTCTCTCTCTCTCTGAAACACTCACTCTCTCACACACTCTCTCTGAAACACTTACTCTCTCACTCACTCTCTCAGACACTCACTTTCCCAGACACTTTCTCACACACTCACTTTCTCACACACTCACTCTCTCACTCACTCTCTCACACACTCACTCTCTCACTTTCTCACTCTCTCAGACACTCACTCTCTCACTCACTCTCTCAGACACTAACTTTCCCAGACACTTTCTCACACACTCACTCTCTCACACACTCACTCTCTCACACACCCACTCTCACACTCCCTCTCTCACACACTCACTTTCTCACTCACTCTCTCAGACACTCACTCTCTCAGACACTCACTCTCTCACTCACCCTCTCAGACACTCACTTTCCCAGACACTTTCTCACACACTCACTCTCTCACACACTCACTCTCTCACTTACTTTCTCACACACTCACACTCTCACTCACTCTCTCACATACTCACTCTCTCACACACTCACTCTCTCACTCACTTTCCCAGACACTCTCTCACACACTCACTCTCTCACTCACTCACTCTCTCACTCACTCACTCTCTCACTCATTCTCTCAGACACTCACTCTCACACACTCACTCTCTCACACACTCACTCTCTCACACACTCACTCTCTCACACACCCACGCCCTCACAACTCACCGGGCAGAGCGCCGCAGCTCCACGCCGCCAGGAGGAGGAGAAGCGTCATCTCGGCGCGAGTCCCGCACTGAGACCTGCACTGAGGAGTCCCACACTGAGTCCCACGTTGAGACCCACACTGAGACCCACACTGAGGAGTCCCGCACTGAGGCCCACACGGAGTCCCACACCGAGACCCACACTGAGGAGTCCCGCACTGAGACCCACACTGAGGAGTCCCACACCGAGACCCACACTGAGGAGTCCCACACTGAGTCCCACACTGAGACCTGCACTGAGGAGTCCCGCACAGAGTCTCGCGGGGTGGGGGTTGGGGGTGGAGACGGGGTCCGGGAATACGGGGTTTGGGGGGGTACGGGAAAATGGGGTTTGGAGGGTAGGGGGAAGACAGGGGGTTTAAGGGAGACGGGGTTTGAGGGTCCAGGCGGAAGGGGGTCTATGGGAGTGGGGTGAGGGAACGGAGACCGGGGAGAAGGGGTTCTGGGAGAAGGGGGATGAGGGATAACGGGTGCCGGGAGACAGGGTTTAGTGCCACTGGGGTTAGGGAGAAAGGCTTCCGGGAGAAGGGGTTAAGGGAGACAGACGGAAGAGGCCGGGGTGCGGGTTCCGTCCGTGCAGGTGCCGAGCGAGGAGAGGCAGCAGCAGCAGCAGCGGGGCCCGCGCCGTGCCGCAGTCCGCGAGGAGGAGGAGGTGCTGATGCTGATGATGCCGCTGCTGCTGCTGCTGCTGAGATCCACCGTGCACGCGCGGGGCGCAGCTCGAGTCGGCGCGTCCGCGTGTTTTTGCTGAGTAATGCTTTTCCGCAGAATCACAGAGCTTGCAATTCACAGCTCACACAGCCCGTACATCTCACAGCGCTCACGTCTCACAGAGATCACGTCTCACACCTCTCACAGCTCACATCTCACACATCTCACACAGCTCACACGTCTCACACATCTCACACATCCCACACAGCTCTCACAACTCTCACAACTGACATAGCTCACCTTTCTCACAGCTCACATTTCACATCTCACATTTCACGTCTCACACATCTCTCAGGGCTCACATCTCACATCTGACCCATCTCTCACATATCTCACAACTCTCACATCTCAAACAGCCCACATCTCACACATTTGCCATCTCTCACATCTCACACATTTCACATCTCACACAGCCCACATCTCACACATTTGCCATCTCTCACATCTCACACATTTCACATCTCACACAGCCCACATCTCACACATTTCACATCTCGCACATCTCTCGCAGCCCGACAAACATCTCTCACTGTAGCCAGCCTCATGACCGTGTTGCTAAGCGATACGCTGCGGTGCCTCCGTGCCGTGGTAAGCTGCTGCTGTGTAAGCACTCGGCAATACCCCCGCCCCACCCCCGGCCACTATCACCATCATCGTCGTCACAGAGGCGCGAGCAGGTCCACCCTCGCTGCAGTGCATTCCCGGGCCCCGCTCCACGGCGTCCCTGTGATTAGCGCGCAGGGTGAGCGGCAAAAAAAAAAAAACTCCGCTCTCAAACGCCCGCAGTGGAACCGCAGCGACGGCACTCGCCAAGGCATTATTTGCCTGCTCTGAATAAGGGCCGTGCTTCGAAACGTCTTGAATGACAAATACCATCAGCAGCAGCAGCAGCAACAGCAGCCACGGTCAAACGACTGCTGGTGGAGGGCCTACCTAAGCCGGGTCTCGATGTCTCGCGATGTTAATCCACCTTGCAGCTGTACACGGGCTATGTGTTTGTTTGCACGTTCACCACAAGTGCGTGTGGTTAATGCAGACTGTATTCCCTGCAAAAAGGCATCTGTTTGGCGTTTGAACGTCTTAACACCTCTTGTTTAATTTCCAGAAAGGGAAAAAAAACCTATTCTTCTTTTTTTACTTAAAACTTTCGTGACTGCAGTAATTCATATTCTATGGCCCTTTCGGTAAAGTCACGTAGATAGAAATAATAAAAAAAATAAAAAAATTAAGTGACTAAATATATCACGACGTTTCGATCGCAATACAAGCAGTCGTCATCAGGAACAGGAGAGAACCTATTATTATGATTCGTCTTACTTTGATACCGGCAAAAAGGGTCCCATGATATTTGTGTGTTTATTTTGATGTCCTTGCCCCCGCACATCCGAGTATCACGGTTGGCTGAGTACGGTGCGAAGGAAGTTCAACAGCTGATCTCATTGCTCCATCCCCCCCCGCCGCCTCGTCGGTGGACGTCCTCTCGTGCGCGTTGTGTTCCTGCCCGCCACTTTTTTTTGTGTTTGACCACCGGGCCCATATCGCCATCTCTTCTAGCAACGACGTGCCCTTGCCAAGCGGCTTAGACGGTGCCTTTAATCTGCGTGTCTCTCCATCCATGCGTTCCTCGCTGTTTTCCTCAATGTCTTTGACACGCCAATGTATCCCGCTAACTTTTTTTTGCGCACTTTTCAGTTTTCCTTCCATTTGTTGTTGTTGTTGTTGTATTCAGTGATCGTGTTTTTTTTTGTTTGTTTGAGCCACGCTTTCAGCAGGTACTATCGCACGGATACAAAACCTTCCTGCTCAGGCACATCACTCCGTTACCTTTCAGCGCCAGTCAAGTCCAGCTTTCCAAATCATGTATTGTCTGTCTCATGAAACTCCACGCAATCACCACAAGCAATGACGCGCCATCCACATGCAACCACACGCAGTCCCTAACAACCACACGCAACTACGTATGAACCACATGTCAGCACACGCAACCACACGCAATCACAAGTAATTGCGCACCATCGCATGCAACCACACGCAATCTCATGCAACTACACGCAATCACCACAAGCAATGACGCGCCATCCACATGCAACCACAACAAATTGCTCACAACCACACGTAACCACACACAATCACAAGCAATTGCTTACAAGTACACGCAACTATGTATAAACCACATGCCATCACACGTAATTACGAACCACCACATGCAACCACACGAAATCGTTCGCAACCGCATGCAACCACACACAACCACACGCAATAACAATCAATTGCACACCACGCCTTTCGACCACACACAAACGCTCGCAAACCACAAGCAACCAGTCACAGCACACACAACCACAGAGAACGGTTCATTATTGATGTTTCGTAATAATTTGTACTTTAAAAGGTTTAATTTAATGTTGCGCAATGAAACATGTTTTGCGATTAAAAATATATTTATACTCCCACCACAAAAAAGCAACTCTTCCTCCCAGAAAGGAATACAATTGACGGCGAAAATAATTGCGAACGGTTAATTTAGCGGAATGGTTTGTTAATGTTTGATATAAAAAAAAAAACTAAAAATTGTGGGGTATTAAATAAATCCAGCTTTGATGGGCCACCGAAACCCAGGCGACGTCTGTGAATACATTGAGATTAGCCGCATCACTTTAATGCATGCGATCCTTGTGATTATCATTTGCCGTTCACTTTGTAAAAATGTTCAGTGCTTCTTGAAAATTAATACTGTAAATGTGTTTTCAACAAAAGGTGACAACTCATTCCGCGTGTTTAAGATGCTACATGTATATAGGTTGGCGCCACGGTGGCGAAATGTTAACTACCTCGCCTGGTATACAGGAGGTCGTGGGTTCTATCCCAACTCTGACGCCTGTATATTTAGAGTTTTCATGTTCTCCCTGCGGTCGTGTGGATTTTTCTCCGGCTCCTGTTTTTTCCTTCCACATCTAGAAGCATGCGTTTAGATTATTTAGCTGCTATAGATTTCCACGCCATAAGCCACTTAGTTTTTGTGGCCAGATCGCTTCTGAAAAATAGCTAATAGCTCAGTGGGCTTTACCTGGTAAATAAAAGTTTAGTTTTAGTTTAGATCGCTTTCTGTCCACTCGCGTGAAAGGGGCTAGTCTGGTCTCCGATGACTTTATCTCTGTGAATGACGCTCGGACAATTCGCCTGGTCTCTAAGAGGAAGGTCAGATTTAAGAAGTCGATGGGTTTCATCATAAGACAACATCCACGTGTGCTGGGATATATCCTGGCATCGTGGCGGCGTGACACGTGGAGTGTAAGCCGGACCCATGCGTCCGTCCAGCTCGAGATTCTCATTCATATCTCATTCACCCGCACACCGGCCCCTTAACCCTCAACAGCCCACGTGCGGCACGCTCAGCTCCAGCGCAATAATAAATTAAATTTTATTTTGTGCTGTTTTGTTTCCGTGTTGGTTTAGTTTATTTAAAATGTTGTCCACTCGTTTAGCATCAATGGAACACGAGGACAATGCGGCTTAGCGGTAGAGCGAGCGACTCGCAATCAGAAGATTGCAAGTTCAAAGCCTGGTAGGGGGTAGACTCAGCGCATCATCCATCCCAAGGTCGATAAAATATATACCACTTTGTGGGCAAGTCAACAGTGGTTGTCCTATGGATAAATTCGCCCCCGTCAAAGGAATGTTGAATTTCTAGCACAGCCTCAGATGAACACTGATTCAATGTTCATTTGAGCAGGAAATCACTTTCCCTTTTGTCTTTAATGCGATTGCATCTCAAGACGCCGTAGGCAGGCGAGTCTGAATGTTTCGAACCAGCGCAGCTGTTCCTTCAAAGGTGTCGACGTTTCGCAACCCATAGCGAAGGGAGGGTATGACTGTGACAAAGAAATTCTGGAGCTTTGTATGGAGAAGATTCGATGGGTCTCCTTGCCAATATGGATATCCACGTCTATGGAAGAGAGAGAGCGGTAGTCGCTCACAGGCAGAGGGAAATGAAAGTACTTGAGCCTGGACTTCAACAGAGGCAGGGAGTCAACAGCAGGGACGACAGGGGGATAGGACTTTCAAGCATTGAAGCCAGCAGAAGAGAACGAGCGACATCCCAATGCCAGCTGCAGGCTTCTCCGGAAAGCCTTGGTTGCTGGTCAAATGATAAGATGTGGAGGGGCCTTGATCCAGCAGTCGATTGATGAAGGGATGCACATGAAACAAAAGCAACACGATGACCAGTGGTATTCTACATGTAGCCACTTTGAAGATGTGTGTTTGTGCTCTATTGTGTGTACGATCACAAATCAATCTTTAATTAAGTCGAAAGACTAAGTTATAGTGCCGCGCCGATTACCATCTCTTAAAGGAAAGCGTGGTGATCTAGGAACAGGTTTGCATGTTTGGTGACCCTTTATGTGAGGCCTTGGAGGGAGCGGAAACCCCTCAGCTCAGACAAACATCACGGGGCAAGGTGGGGATCGACCCTGCTGGGGCTGCAGTCCCTCGGATATCTGACGAAGTGAAGGGCGATCGGGAGCCAGAGACGAGTTAAAGCACTGGGCCAGAGATGACCTCCCAAGTGAACTGCTGAAGGAGGGTGGTGATTGTGTTCAGGCTAGCCTATGTGACATCATTAGAACTCTCTGGTCCACAGGATGGGTTCTGCAAGTTTGGAAAGAAGGGCGACCACGTTGATTGTAACAACTACCGGGGCATCTCTCTCCTCAGTGTACGTGAAAGTGCCTCGCAAGGATTCACTGTATCACAAAAAAACATTTTTTGTTCCTGGGTAGTAAGTGATATTTCCTTTTTGCTTATGCCTCAAACAGTACAGAAAATGGCTATTATTCCCCACAAACTTTGCTTTTGTGACCAGGACAGTCATATTTTGAAATGTACCTATTTTCAATCAGAAAACGTTTGCATTTGTGTCTTTCGTTCACATAAAGTCCTGGCCACAAAAGCAAAATTTGTGGGGAATAATAGCCATTTTCTATACTTTTTAGGTATAAGAAATTAAAAAACAACACTTAGCACCGGTACCCAGGAACAAAAAGTGTGTTATATTGTGAATTATTCAACATCGCCATGGTAGGCACGCGCACGAGAGGATTGCGGAGCCCCAATGTTGATTTAGACCCGGACGGTCCTGCACGGATGCCATATTCTTCTCTCCGACTGCTACAGCAAAGGTGTAGGGAATTTCAACAAAACCTACAGTACATCTTTGCTTAATTGTTATGGTGAATACCTAAAATGGCATCAATAGGCCACGGCTTTTGGGATTGTTGTTCGTCACGATTTTGGGGTCCCTGAACCTCTGCTCGTAATCATTAAAACACCTTCATGATAATCGACAAGCCCAGGTAATTTGCGTTGCCAGGAGTCAGGGCCATTTCCTGCACAGGTGCGGTCAAGGGATGGCTCCCTACTTGTCAACCGTGCAGTAGATGATCCCAACAAGTTCTGCTTACTATGCCGAGTTAATGACTCTACTGCTGAATCTGCAGCATACTCCTAAGAGACGGGGCTTTAACCATCAGCCCCACAAAAACAAAGCACCTGCCCCGGGTATTTTATGGAATCAAAATACACCCCGAACGCCCCATGATTGATGGAATTGTGAAGTGGAGGCGTTTTCATACGCGAGAGTGGTGCGCTTATGACCAGCTCCGTTTTGGCAGCGGACGTGGCACTTCCACGTCGTCCGAGCGGCATGTCTCATCACCAGTGGCGTAGCGCTGAGTTTGCGCAGAGGCGAGTGTGAGTGAGGTGCAATGTGCAGGGGGCCACGGGGACGGATGACTTGCCAGACCGTCAGTCATCTCAGTAAAGCCACTCGGCACAGCAGTTCACCCGTGACACTCTGTCGCGTCTGCCCCGTGATCTCACGCCAACACTTTCCAGTGACGGCATCACGGTGCACCTAGCCTGGTTAAAATCGCCGGGGTAACATCACCATCGCTGCGGCTGTTTATGTTTAACTGTCGCCGTGTGCCCGGAGCGGTGGCGAAGTGGTCAGCGTGCTGCGCTAAGCACACTTGAGTGTGGCGATGTGCAGTAAACATCACTACTGGGGAGACAAAGGCGGTCCGGCGTGGTGCTGGCCACCCACAGTGCCGTCCTTCGCAGCAACTTGCCCCTTTAATCTGTTCGAGGCTACACGGGGGACCTTTGTCTGTGGCGCGTCGCGTGGCGATGCAGATTCTGGGGCCCCCGCGGGTGGCAATGCAGATTCTGGGGCCACGGCGCGTGGCGATGCAGATTCCGTCCCCCCCCCCCGCGTCTCGATGCAGATTCCGGGGCCCGCGCGTGGGGATGCAGGTTTTGGGGCCACGCGCGTGTCGATGCAGATTTAGGGGGCCCCGTGCACAGCTATGCAGGTTTCGGGGCCGCGCGCGTGTCGATGCAGATTCCGGGGACCCCCCCCCCCCGTGCGTGTCGATGCAGATTCCGGGGGCCCCGTACGCGGCTATGCAGGTTCCGGGGCCACGCGCGTGTCGATGCAGATTCCGGGGGCCGCGTGCGTGTGGCGAGGATGGCGGCAGCGGCTGCTGCGTGCACGCTGAGGCTGGCGCCGCGCAAGGACAGCTTCCTGAGCGTCCCCTCCTGCCTGGCGCACAGCCTGCACCTGCAGCAGGTGCGCCCGCAGCTGCCTGTGGCTGTGTGTTGTGCTGCGCGCACGCGCGTGTGCGCGCCCTATCGGCACTTGCCTCAACAGTCTGTTAAGGTTATACGGGGGATCTTTGTGTGCGGAGCTCGTGTGTGTGTGTGGTTAGCACAGTAAGGGGGGCACAGGTGGTGCATCGGCCAGTCATCTCAGTCGACCCGTGGCACCTGCTGGGTCTGCCCCGTGACCTCCCTGCCAGCGGGCGCGTTCGACACTTCACGTGGTGGCCTCAAGGTGCACGTGGCCTGGCACAAGCGCCGTGGTGACTTCACCGAAACTTAATGGTGAACTGCGATTGTTGTGCATGGAGGGGGCTAAACGAGCACGAACGCGGGCTGGAAAAGAAATGGGAGTGATGGCGGTACTGGAGGATGTGAAGCTGAGTGGACTTGGCCGAAGACTGGGGCGGTTAAGAGGCCTTCGCCCTCCAACCACCCCCAACAGCACACGGGGGAGGGCTAAGAGGAGCGACGCTCACAGCAGCGAGCCGCACGTTGGCACCTACAATTGGCACGTGCTGTGCGAAAGAAGTTCAACATGCATACGTAGGTGCCACAGCCATCTCTGCCAGTCAACCCATAGCGCCTGGGTCTGTCCCCCGGTGACTTTTCAGCGAGCCTTCGACACTTCACGCGACATTGGCGTGCACCTCACCTGGCACTAGGCGCCGTGGCGGCTCTTGTTGTTGTGGAGCTGGGTAACAGTGTGGGGGGCTAACTGGCCCAATCGCTCCATATACGAAGCACCAGCATTGGCGCACCGTGACGCCGCGGTGCCTCGGTATAGACATGCGGATTTATACTGGTAGGAACCTCCTGGTTACACCAGCAGCCCACAGGGGATTCTTGTGTCCGTCCGTCCGTCGTGAATCCAAAAATGGGAGGGGTGGGGCTGGGTGGAGAGGGGCTGGGTGGGGTGGGGCTGGGTGGGGTGGGGCTGGGTGGGGAGGGGCTGGGTGGGGAGGGGCTGGGTGGGGAGGGGCTGGGTGGGGAGGGGCTGGTCACCCCGTGGTGCCCTTATAAAACTCAACGTTTAACCTACTCACGCCGGCTTGTGCCCGCCCTCACAGTCGGTACAATTGGCAAGGTTGAGGTGGGGGGGGCCCTGATCGGAGGTTAGCATGAAGCGCGATTGTCATCGGCGTGGGTGCGATTGTGTTTATGCCGCGACTGTCAAATGAGGCGACCGATTGGGGGAGATGTAGACGGAGAAACATGGAGGACCCCAGGGACTTATCCCTGGGGGACAGCTGCAGCGGACGTGACGACTTGGCTTGAGGACACCATCCAGCCTGGACGTAAGAGACCTGTCGGAGAGAAAGAGTGAGATAAAGACGTGAGCTGCCGAAGGACTCTGGGGCTGAATGCGAAAATCAGGTTTTCCCACCACCGTTCAATCAACATTTTGTGCTTCACAAGTTTCAAAGGCAGCAGATATTCCGAGGGTGATTGGAGTAACTGTGAAAAAAGGAAACGATGAAAGCTAAAACGTTATCAAATTTACTTGACAAGTGCAGTTCTCGGTAGAATGGGCTGGGTGGTAGGCGGACTTGAAAGGGGAGGGAAATATTGGTGGATTAAGTGATGTGATCTTTAATTTTGACAAGTGCGAGGCACTCGAGAAGCTTGGAGATGGTTGATGAGTCAGTGATGGGGGGGGGTGGGGGTGGTAGTTTGAAGGGTCATCGGGGTTGGAGCCAAGGTTTCTTTAGTAGGAGTGTCACTTGGCCCGATTTAAGTGATGGACGGTAACCACCGGACTGGAAGGAGCAATTGGCAATATGAAAAACCAGAATTGCAAATGTATCAGAGCAATGCTTGAAAGTGCTGGCAGGTAAGAGGTCCACGGGAGAGGTTTTAATTGTGGAGATTAGGTTCATTGTTGAGAATCTCTTGGTATGTGACAGGTAAGAGGAGAGTGTAAAGTGAAGGTCAAAAGAATGACAGCCGAAAGAGACATCCCGATGGTGCAGGCAATGCTGGGGAGTTTGTCTCTTAGAAATCTGTTACATTTGAGAGCAAGTGGAGGGTCGGCCTGGCTCTTGCACGTGGTCACCACCGGTTTTTGATGGAAAACAGCATTTAAGTGCAGACCAGAGTTGACGTGGGTGGTTGGCTGCAGGGATGATGCGTTAATTGTTTTGTGAAGCGCATGAGGCCTTGATGACATCGATGGCTTTGCTGAGTGTAGACGCAACGGCTGCAGCCGAGAGTCACATGGTTGCCTATCAAATTACCCTCATGACCAACCAGCTTTGAATGGTTCTCCACCTTCCAATCGGATTGAGCGGCCTGCGTCATCTTCCCATGTGATTGCTCACCAGTGAGAGTCTTGTGTGTGCTATTTGAACTCACAAGCAATCAGATCCTGTGGGCGTTTATTTACTTACTAATAGGGTTTGCCTCTCGGTGAGTGCCTTACACATGTGATACATTTGTTTTATGTGGATTGCTGTTTGCCGCTGGACAATGGTCCATTGTGGACGGAATTTATCGAACTCGCCGAAGCATTTGTTTATTGTGCAGTTTTGTGTTTTTTTTGTATTCTGTACTTTGAGCAGGGCCACGTGGTTGTGATGAGCTGGGGCACAGGACAGGAGGCCTTCCTGGGCTGGCTGTGCCAGGGCCTGGCTGCACAGCACGACCAAATGGTGGAAATTGGTACCACCGTGGCTTTCCACCTGAACCTACGCGACGGTCAAGAGGTAACTCTTCTCGCCCTGAGATCCTAACATTTGCACACATCGTCGACTCCGGGATGAATGAAGACATTGGGCCGGCCAACGCTTTCTAACAACGCCACGCCGCCTCGCCATCACGCCTGTGGGTGTCCCACCCCCGAGTCTACCAACCGTGTGTGGCCATCTTCATGCCTGTGGCTACCACCCCCGAGTCCACCAACCACGTGTGGCCATCCCCACGTGTGTGGGTCCCACCCCCGAGTCCACCAACCGCGTGTGGCCATCTCCACGCATGTCTCTGTAACTTGCCCTCATTTTGATGGCACCTGTACCACAGCCGTCGCAACTCCCCTGCTCTTGATTATACCTACAATGCTTTCCTGCCATGTTTATATTTCAAACGTGCAAAGTTGCTACGTTCTTTGGCCTGCAATTTAATTACAATAAGAAAAATAATCGTAATAAATGAGTACATTTGGTATTCGTGACATTCTTATAGCGCTGCGCTATCAAGAAGGAAGGCGCTATGTTTCACAGACAGTCTGCAGTAAATTTCGATTTAAAGCTTTCGTGACTGCAAGGATTCATCTTCTTTGGTTCTTTCGGTAAAGTCACGTAGAATGAGAGTAAAATAATAAATTGATAAAATAAAATAACACAATAATATTCTCACGACGTTTCGGCCACAACACAAGCGGCCTTCATCAGGTGAAGGGACGAGACTGTCTGGAGGACAGCGCTGGAGTGAGAAAGCCACGCTGAGATCACGCCCTTTAAGCTGTGTGAGAAGAAACAAAGCGCCTTGACAAAGGAATTAGCATATAGAAGTTGCAACAGCAGAGGCTAGTGTAAATGCGGTTGGTATATTACCTTAGAGTCGCGGCATCTCTTCAGAAAAGGTGAGAGACTCGAATAGTTGAGCCTTCTTATCCCGGAGTATGTTGAATGATCTTAAGGTGGTGTGGAATCCCTCTCCATAGAGGCGGTTAAATTTCATCTCGATATTTTGATTTAAAGCTTTCGTGACTGCAGTAATTCATATTCTTAGCTCTTTCGGTAAAGTCACGTTGAAGGGAAACAATAAAATAATAAAATATATATAAAACAATAAAAATTCTCACGACGTTTCGACCATAACACAAACGGTCGTCATCAGGTGCGTTGGTTTGCATAAATTTATGTATTTATAAACGGTGTATTTATTTATTTATAAAAAAACGTCAGCGCCACGCACAGCGATTTGGCAGTTTATTTAGAAGGACTAGTCCATCTATGTTTTGAAAAGAGGAGGGGGGAGATGAAAAATTAATGTATGCTGTCTGAAAGCCACTGTAAGCGTGAACAATCAATTAAGACCTGAAATAGTTTATCAAATCTTTCCAATGATTGCTAAGCCAGAATCCATCTTCTCGGTTGAAATTGTCTCTGTGCTTGTATATGTGGATAGCCTCATGAACGAATCTCTCGTGGTAGCCAGATGGCTTACAAAGAACCTCTGTCTTGGAAAAGTCAATGTCATGTGAGCCTACTGAATTATAACAATGATCTGCCACGGCCGAGGTGTTGGTCCTACCGTGTTTAAGGTCTGCTTTGTGTTCACGAATGCGGTCCGAGACATGGCGTTTGGTTTCTCCAATGTAACTACTACCACAGAGGCAACTTAGTTTGTAGACACCAGGGTACTGTATGTCCGGAATCACATCTTTTACAGACGGAACCAGATCACGGATTTTATGTAATGTGTTGAAACGGACCTGGATCTTGTGTTTATTCAAGATTTTGGAGATCTTTTTTGTGATCCCTGCAATGTAGGGTAAAGTGATGGTTTTGAAAGGCTCCTCAAGAGGGTCCTTCTTCATGGTTTGAGTGATAGCTTTGCGGATTGTATAGTCGGAGTAACCATTAGCCTTAAGAGCTTGGTGTACATGCTTGAGTTCACTGCCTATGTGTTCCTGGTCGGATATGCATTGGGCTCTATGATACAGAGTCTTGATGAGAGAATTCTTCTGTGATGGATGGTGGTGGGAATCCGGTTTCAGATAAGCATCCGTATGGGTAGCTTCCTGTAGACAGAGTGGCTCATTGAACCATCAGGTCTCTTTTTAATTAGGACATCCAAAAAAGGTAGCTTGCCATCTTTTTCGACTTCCATGGTAAATCTGATGGCTGGGTGTATGGAATTGATGTGGTCGAAGAATTGGTCTAGAGCAGGCCGGCCATGTGGCCAGATGACAAAAGTGTCATCCACGTACCTCTTCCATAAGGTTGGGCGCAGAGTGGCAGTCTGGATGGCGTCAGTCTCAGATTTCTCCATGAAAATGTTAGCTATAACCGGAGATAGGGGGGAGCCCATTGGGGTGCCCTCAGTTTGTTTGTAGAAAGTTCCATTCCAAGTGAAGTATGTATTGGTTAAACAGTGTCTCACCAGGGGGGGTACCTCAGTGTTTAGTCCTTGATGAACCGGGTCTTCAATGATTGCGATGGTGTCAGGTACAGGAACTTTGGTGAATAAGGAAACTACATCAAAACTGACAAGCAGGTCGTCTGGGGACAGGGAAATACCCTTGATTGTCGATACCAGGTGAGTAGAATTTTGTACCGCAGAGGTGGTCTTTCCAGTGAAAGGACGCAGGATTTCAGACAAAAAACGAGCCAGTTTGTGGGTGGGGGAGTTGATAGTAGAGACGATGGGACGAAGGGGTGTATCTACTTTATGTATTTTTGGTAAGCCGTATAATCTTGGTGGCCTGGCAGCAGAAGGTTTCAACGAAAACTGTTTAGATTGATCAATTAATGCGGTTGAATCAGAAATTATTTTGTTGGTTTGTGTGACGAGGCTGTTGGTGGGATCTCTTTTTATTTTTGTATAACTACCATCGTCGAGTAATTCTTTAATTTTGTTGTTGTTGTATTCTATTTTATCCATGATGACAGTAGCATTGCCCTTGTCAGCTGAGAGGACTACAATATCATCCCTCTTTTTTATTTATATAATTCAAAACGCTCATCTTTGCTGAGGTTGCTAGCTGGCATCTTAGCGTTTTTGAGGGTTGCAGCGATTTCAGATCTAGCTACGTCTGCAGCGATGTGACCCAGGCCCCTGAGAGCAACGTCTACTTGGGCAATTATATCATTAACTGGTATGTGTTTAGGTGTGACTGCAAAGTTCGATATCTCACTTTCTCTCTGTTTCTATCTGTTTCTCGATTCCTCTGTCCCTCTTCTACCTCTCCCTTCCTGTATATTCCTCTCCTCCCTGCACTATATCTAACCCACTTTCCGCCCCCCATCTCTCTCCCTGTTTCTCTCTCTCACCTTTCACCCTCGCGCTCCTCATTTCCACCTCTCCCTTTCCCGTCTGAATCTCTCTTGCTGTCCCTAATCTTCCCTCCTGCTGTTTGTCACTTTCCTTCGCTGTCCTCGTTCCGTTTTGCTTTCTCGCTTTCCTCGCCGTTACACACTCTTTCACCCTCTTTTCCGCCCCTGTCCGCAATGTTACTCTCGGTTTCTTCTTCCCTCTATCTCCCTCCGATATATATCCTTCCCTCAACTCCCTCCTCTTTTTCCTCTGTCACATCTGTGTGGGTCCGTCTGTGTCCGTCTTTCCTCCCTCCTTGACTCTTGGTGGGCCTGTATATGTATTTCTGCTGACTTTGTACCTCGTATTTGTTCACTCTGTCTATGCTGGTATGTGCAATCCAGAGGTTGAACACGAAATTTAACACTCTTCTGAAATTCGTGGTCTGCCAGGAAGTGTCTAACTGTGTTGTTTGCCTGACTGGTTGTGCTTCACGTAATTTTTTTTAGGTTTGTTGAATTCTCGTCTCACATCTTCTTGTTGTATTTACCTCCGTGATTTGTTCTTGACACCTGATGAAGATCGCTTGCGTTGTGATCGAAACGTCGTGATTGTTTTTTGTTTTAATATAATTTTATTGTATTTCTACATACATGACTTTCCCGAGAAAACCAATGAGTAATTTTATGCAGTCACGAAAGCTTTAATTCTTTATTAGTGCTGTGGTGTTGAAATTGTGTGAAAGAACCATGCACGCTCTTACTTAATATTTAATTCCCAGTGTTGAGTAAAGATAAGACGAGAGAGTTCATAATCTGGGATGCATAAATTTAACAACGCACGCACAGACACGTTCAACATCGCAGTACAATAGCCTTATCAAGACCACCAGCTCAAAAGAGCTGGATGTGTGGCCATTTTCCCACCGTTTAGGCCACCGACTGGAAGAGTTGAGAAAACGTGGCCACCTCAACAAGAGGCAACGGTGAAACAAAGACGGAGCTGTACGTGCAGTGCTGCACACCCTTTGTGTGTATATTTGTTTCCAGCCTGCATTTATGTGATGCGTCTTCTCGTCACTGACAGATTTAAACGACCTAGGACACAGTTGGGAATGCCTCGTGTTTACAAGACGTGCACTTTAAGCACAGTTTACACCACGTGACCCCACAATTCCCACTTGGTCAAGTTGAGTTTATGTTCGCAAAATATACTCACTATCGTTTATGGAGACTCGACGTGCGTTACAGTGCATGTGTATATTGTCACCCGTCTTGGTTTTGCGTTGCTTTTTCTGCGTGGCTCAGCGGCAGAGCGCGTGGGAAGGTTGTTTGTTCAAACCCTCGTTGCGGCGTTGACTCGGCCCATCAATCCCACGGGGTCGTTAAAATGAGTTCCACTTTGTGGGGAAATCAACAGTGGTCATCCTATAGATAATAGGCGCCCCTGCCATAGCAATGTGGACTTTGCACCATTGGCACAGGGCTGTTAAACGCGAGACGATCACCAATGCCTCAATGCACTCGCAAATCGCTGACATGGTGTTGATTTACGTTTCCCGGTGTCTTCCCAGGTACTGCTGACAGTGCTCAGAGACGTCCCCTCCTGCCAGCAGGTTTTACTGGAGCCTTTAACCTTGGACGATTGGGAAATCTTGGTAAGTGAAGTTTAAATTTACAAATCGATTTGAAATGCACATAATGCAATGCAATGAAGTGTTTTTTTTTTACAAACACTCACTTCTTCGCGTGGCTGATGTTGACGTCGAGCAACGGCTGTGATTCTACATTGAGGTGCTTTAATGATCCAGCTGATTGCGTCAGGAGTAGCTTCCCAGTTCATCGGTGTGGCGATGCCTCCCGCTTGGTGTTGGTGAATTGGGCGTTGAGTCGTTGTACGTTCCGCGGTTCTGTTCTGGGTGACCACAGTCTCCGCACACCGCAGAGTTTTTAATTTTCCATTCAGTGCATCGTGTCCGCATCTGCTGCCACGTAGCCATCCTTGCCCCTCCCCCTACTGGCAGATGAATGTCCGATTTCAGGCCTCATAGGGACGGCTGCCCCTTTTACAATGTGTTCAGACGTGATGTATGTCGCCACTTATATTGTGTGGAAAGCGGTCCGAGATGCCCCGGCATTAATTACTATACTGCAATAACGGGGCTCCTGTCTGTCCCAGAATGGGACGTTTCTGTTACTAATTCCACCTTTAACAGATGCTTTGGTGATGCAGCTGAATTTGCAACAATTTACAAAAAGTTGCTCCGTTGCGTTTCCTCTTTAGACCGCACAGTGTGATGGACGACCGTGTTGGCTTAACTTCACCTTTGTTGGCTCGTTGAGCCTTGGACACTTCCAGTGACTCCTCCTTTAGACTCGAAGAACTCTGTCCGTAGAGCAGATGGCCGCCCGCGATTCCGCTTTGTGCACGGCACTGCCACCTGCTCGACGTCGCGACGCCGCTTGTTGTTGTCTTGCTGTCGATCTATACTAGAATCACATTCGAAAACACCAGCATTCTTTTCGGTATTTACTTGTTGCGTGGACATTCCTGTTTGGCCAGTTACCCTGCTAGTTTGCAAGAGACATATGTGGTGAAATCAGCACTGAGCAGGAACAACAACTTCAGAGTGATTATTATGGAGGAACAGGCAACATCGGAACAGAACCATCCTACTCTCCACACTGTCTTCTACTCTCCGCACTCTCCACTAATCCCCACAGCCTCTACTCTCCACACTCTACTCTCCACACTCCCCTCTACACTCCACATTCTACACTCCACAGCCTCCTCTGTTTTCTACACTCTTCTCTACCCTTTGCTGAGAGATGCCACCTCTGCTTTTCGCTCGAGACGAGACGAGGTTGCCGGCCGTGCGTCCCCGTGGGGCGCTGATGGAACGTGGTCGGCTCTCCGCGGTCGGCTCTCCGTGGTCGGCTTTTTGCGGTTGACCCCCCGCTGTCGACTCTCCGTGGTCGGCTCTCCGGGGTTGACCCCCCGCTGTCGACTCTCTGCAGCGGGAGAGCGGCACGGCGACGGGAAATGGCGGCGCGTGGTGGTGGAGGCATTACCTGCACTGGCCCCGAAGGGTTGTTGACCTTCATTTCTCGAGGCTGCACGGAGGTGTTGCGGTTATGGACGGGAGATGAGCGCTCGGGAGGGAGGGGGCGGTGTGTGTAGGGCGAACTACCGCCCCCTCCAACCGTCCTACGGACGCAACTACAGTGCAGCGCTGTACGCAGTACGCGACACGTACAGTACGGTACTTTTTGTGGTCGATGCAGTGAAACGCGCGCGCACTGCGCAAGATGATACGATTAGCACAGTTGGCTACGTACGTTGAAAAATTTGATATATATACATACACACATACACGGCTTTTCTATTTTGTTGTATTGATTTGCAATTTGCGGCAAATTCCAGTTATCCAGACCAAGTTTACCCCCATAGTTAGTCCGTCCAGCCAGGTTTCTATTATAGGTTGGGCCACTAAATGATTTGGCCATTTTTTGTTGTCATGTAACGCTCCACCACCCGACATAGCCTCACAAATGAAATTGTCACGTGTTTTTTAATTAATCTGTGGTGTAGGGTTATGCAGTAGAAACGCCTTTAGCCAGATCGTTACCCTCACCCTAGTCGATTATGAGTTGCAACTTTGGCCGTGAAGATTCGTGTGCCAAGTTTGCTCTGCGGTGATCATATCGATGAAGATGTTGTCCCCCGGAATGTGCACGATCGTTGCTGCGAGAGCGAGACAGTGATGGGGGAAGAGAAGGCCTCTTTGGTTTGTGTTTACAGGAACTACATGCGGCACAGCTGGAGGAACAGCTGCTCAATCAAGTTCGTGTGGTCTACGTCGGAATGACTTTATCCCTGTGGATCAATCAGTCCGTTCTGGTTAACACCCGAGTAGGTTGGTACCATCATTATTAATGTTTAACTTTATACCATGCACAATTAGCGATACGGATCTCCACATGCAGACTGTTCTATGACGCGCGTGGTAGTTGCGTTCCTAAAGAACACGTGTTGTGGAAAAATCGCGTTATAATAAACAATATATGCTATAGGGTAAAGTACAGTCGGCAATAACACGTGAGATACGTACGCAGGGCTGAACAAAGACCGAGGTGCGTGGGTAGCATCTAGAAGCATCCAGCAGCATCCCAATGCCTTGTGCGATGCTACGCCGAGGCAGCCGTACGACCGCTTATCCCTACTCGCACGACGTAGTTCTGTTCACTCAATCGCGTTGCATCCAATTCGCATCCGCGTTATAAAAATATCTTCCCTGATACATTCATCACGTTATATCCAATTCGCGTTATGAAAACATGCGGCGCTATAGCAGAACGGACTAGTACCGTCAGATATATATTTTTGCGCCATCTTGGTTTGAAGTGTAAATTGTGAAGGTGCAGCTTTGTCACCCCGCGTCCGGCAGTGTCACTGATGCCCTTCAGTAACTACGGGAGGCTGGAGGTGGACACGAGGCTTCTGGTGGAGCCCAAGTATCGGCACGATGTGACGGAGCAAGACATGGGGACCTCGGCGATCGCGAACACCGGCGGGGTCGGCGGCGGGGCAGCGAACGTCCGCGACGATACTTCGGCGGGGAGCGACGAAGCACGGTCGGGAAGGAGCTCCGCACACGTGGACTCGGCTTCCAAGAGCAACACGGAGGCAGGAGGTGGCGTGGCGGCAAGGAGCCAGCCGGATCTGTGGAGCTCCATGTGGAGCTGGTTTACGAGTGCGCTCTGGCAGCGAGGTGACGTGTCGACTCTCGCAGGGGCGGTGGCCGAGGATAAAACGGTGTCCCGGTGGAGACCTTCGGACTTCGACGGCGTGTACCGGGTCACGAGGGTAGCGCCGGCGACTCGGGGCGGGCGCGGCCAACCGCAGGCGCCCAACGCGGTCTTTGTGTTTCCCTCCTGGGTGCGCGAGGGAAACGTGGCCACGTGGTTCGCCGAAATATCCAGACTTGCCTCGCCAAAAGAGCGAAAGGAGAAGGCGAAGAAGAGAAGCGCGGCGTCAAAGGGTGACGGGAAAAAGTCGCCGAGCGAGGAGGAGGAGGAGCGAGAGGACCGCGGTGCTGTGCCGTGCGTCGTCAGGGCCACGGTGATACAGCCCGGCAACCGAGCAGGCGACTGTGAAGGATGCGATTCGAATTGGGCGATCGAGCACGGGAGTCGCTCGCAGCTGCACACGGGAATGATATGGGTAAAGATTGCAAATATGATCAGAATCTAAATATTTATTTATATTTATACTGGAGGAATCCGATGAGCTATAAAGCTCTTTTTTCACAGATGTCTAGTTGGGGTGGGTAAGAATGTTACAACAACAAACAGTACAAAAACATGATAGTGCTAAGCACCAGAAAGGTTAACAAATCACCCAAACACATACAAATCAAATGAAACCATCCCCATCCTATCAGGCAAAGTCCACTGAGGTAGTCACTTCTTTTTCAGAAGCGACCTGGCCACAAATGAAAGCTCAATAAAGGGGCTTATAATTAGGACATTTATAGCAGTAAATTAATCTAAATAATCTCAATGCATGTTTCTAAATGCGGAGGAAAAAATCGGAGGACCCGAATAAAAAATCCACGCAAAAAATAATCGTTATTAAGATAGTTTTTCTCAAACTCAGGTCATAAGATGGAGATCTTTTTTGTATTATTTAAGCTCCCTGCGTCGGATGAATTTTGTTGCCTAGACTGTAGTTCTTCATTTTAACAGTGACATCGGTTCCAGTTTTTTCGGTTAACGTTTCGCCTCCCATAGTGACCCCATGGTTTCGACTAACGTTAACATTCTGACTAACGGTTAACGTGTTTACGTTATGCACGCGGCGCCAATTTCGGACAATCTGAGTGCTCGTAATTGGGCCTGAGCCATGCCCTCAGCCAATCAGCAATGCCCATTCATGAACTTTTAGACCACGATTGGCTTTGTTTATATTAGGCTCTCTGTTTTGGCCGTGGAAACAGCTCTCTTGCAGACTCAGTGATTTTTTAAAAGTAATTTTTCAACTTAAGTGAATTCGATTAACAGTTATTTAGTTTTAACAATAGTTTTCGCAGAACGAATTAAAAACATTAACCGAGGGACGACTGTACCAGATTTTTTTGTAAATTCTCCACTGAAATATCCCAGCGGAGGTGGAATTTGAGTGGTTGACACTGCTCGGTGGTCAACTCAGCTGCCATCGGAGGGGGCTTATCCCGTAGCCCCGAAGTGGGCGCGATCCTTCTTGAGTGTTGTAGCGTTTGTGGACACGTACCCCAATTTTGTCAAGCCACTGCTGTTCCCCTCGTGGGGTGTTATTCAGCCATACTTGACCATGCAGGTCAATATTAAACTAAAACTATTAAGCTATATACAGCTCTTTTTCAGAAAGGAACCTGGCCATCACAAATGATCGCTCTACGAAGTGGCTTATTGCGTGTAAATTTATAGCAGCCAATGTCAGGGAGCGTAGATGTTGGAGTAAGGTACAGTACAACGATAGATGTTGTCGAACTTATGCTGACAACATAGCTTCACAGCAGCCCATGGCACCTGTTTTGTTTTTGCGGTGGTCGCCCATCCAAGCACCTTCCGAGCTCAAGCCCTGCTTGGCTTCCGAGGCCTAACGAACTCAGGCGCATTCCGGGTGATTTGTCCATGGGCCGTAGCCTTCATTTGTTCCTTGGTCGAATGTTTTGATTTTGAGTTCTGTCAAATTTACTTACATTAATGGAATAACAAAATATTCAACTTAGTACCCGTGGAAAACCACGGAAGGGGGGGGGGGGGGGTAGAGTCAAGGTTATAATGCAATGGGCAAAGGAGCAGGAAAGAAACGGAAGAGAGAAGAGAAAAAAATGGGGAATTAGAGGAAAAGGAACGGAAAACCGGGACCGAAGGGGAGGAGGGAGGAGAAGGATGCCAGGGATGAGAGTTTGATGATGATGATGAGAGGGGAGGGATGAGAGAGAACAGGAAGGCACACGCAATCGTGAGGAGCGTGGAGCGTGGCCACACACAAGTCACGTGACTTACGGGAGGCTTGAGCTGATTTTGATAGAGAGGTGGAGATATATAAACAAGAGTGGGGGCGGCCACACAGAAGTCACGTGGTCTACAGGAGGCTTGAGCTGATTTCGATAAAGAGATGTTATAGGTCGCATGGGTATAATGCACTTGTATGTTTAGTCGATGGTTTGTGTGATGTGGTTTTTGCACCACAGGTGCCAGAGCTGCTGAGGTCCAGGCTTCAGCTGGAGGCCTCTTCCACAGTCCAACTGAAGGCAGCCACATCCCAACCTGCAGTGGCCTTGGCTGTGGAGTTACAGCCACTTCTGCCTTTGGTAAGCAAAAACCATTTGACTCATTGCTGCAGTATACTCAGACCTGATAATAACAATAATGGTAATTGTAATCACTTATTTAACCAAGGAAAGCCACACTGAGCTTGAACACTTTTTTTTTCAGGAGGGCCCAGCCCCATTGGTCTGTTTGACCGACCAATTACATTGTATTGTTTTTTTCTGTAACTTATGGGAGGAAACCGGTGAAGCTGGAGGAAACACGTGCATAGCAGGGGGAGAACTCATATCTTTAGAACTGTGCTCAGTTTATTGTCCATCCCCCGCACCTCTTGCGAGCACACTTTTCCAAGTACGGTTGTGAAAGAAGTTCAACATACATGCAGAACATAGAGACTCCATACAGAAAGGCGCCAGAGTCAGCCATCGTACTCAGTCACTTCTTGCTGTGAGGCATGAGTGTTATCACCATGCCTCCCTGCTGTCCTATTCACAGCTTGAATGTACGTTTGACTAATACAAGCGTGAAACCACAGAATTCGGATTTTCAAAATGGATATTGGCACATCCACTAATACACTGCGATTTTTCTCACTATCTGAAAATCAGACTTTCATATGTTTTGCCATTTATAGTTGATCATCGGTTATCCGGCGCGCGATTATCCGGCTTCCAACATTATCCGGCGGTCCTGGCCGATCTGGCGAAACCAGCAAAACCGCTCCAAAGGTTGTAACCGCTCCAAAGGCTGTAACCAGTCTGGCGATCGGTACCGTGTTTGTGACAAAAAAAGTAGTTATGTTTGATTTCCGTGTCAATTATTATTATATACAGCACATACACTACATGCAACTTAAACACCGATAATACTGCGTGTATATACTACAGTAATAATAAAAAAAAAGAAAATATACACAGTGCAATCCGGCGAAAAGTATGTAATTCAGTGTTCGCGTCAGTCCGACGATCGTCAAACACATGTCGTTGAAACAAGAGCGTAGTAGTAGTGCTACGTACATCACCCCATGCAGAGTCTTCGAGATTGCAGTGGTAAGTACGGTCCAGTAAATACAGTCACGGGATATTTATTTTTGTCTACTTGTATGTTTATTTATGCCAATTTCATATAGTAAACAATTTTTTTTATTGTTTTATCTTTTTATTATTTTATTGTTTCCCTTCTACGTGACTTTACCGAAAGAACCAAGAGTATAAATTAAAAACACTAAAAAAAAACATGCACAGCACCTAAAAATGTAATGTGATGCAAGAATGTGCGAACACTGGCTATTTTAAATAATGATGATGTAGTGATTATCCAGCGTTTTTGAAATCCGGCGCCCCCTTCCCCCACGAAGCCGCCGGATAATTGACCGATGATCGACTGTGTTTAAAATAAACACATAGCAGGCAGATGTAACGCCGTCGTGCCTGGCCCTTATTTGTAAAACCCATTTGATTTGGTGGAAACTGATGCAGTCATCCCAGCACACAACAACCAAGGCCTTAATAAAATGGTTAAAATCATCAAAGTAATGTTCAAGTGTGGAACTTCTACCCCCGTGAGGGCATAAAGAGCCTGACAAAGTAGAACTTGTGAGGAGAAGTGTCGGGACAACAATGTGCACCTTCATTTGGGCTGTCCACAACAACCTTTAGTGGCCATTTGTGAACATTGGATTGGAGGAATACAGGCACATAGGGAGAAAGTGTTAGTTGTCATAGCTTTGCTGATGACAGTTATAAAAAAAAGAATGAAAATTAATGATAAGTAATGATGGAGATGCTGCGCAAATAAGGCAACACCATTGGACTTGATAATCATGGGCGGTGGTGGCCAGGGGCGGAGTCACAGGGGGGGTTGGGGGGGCTTAGCCCCCCCTGAAATTTTGGGAAAGTCGGTAATTTGGATAACCGGATATCCGGCTGCTGCAAAATGCTGCTGGCTGCCACCTTGTGCTGCCCTGCTGGCTGCCACCTTGTGCTGCCCTGCAAGCTGCCACCTCGTGCTGCCCTGCAGGCTGCCACCTCGTGTGCTGCCCTGCAGGCTGCCACCTTGTGCTGCCCTGCAGGCTGCCACCTCGTGCTGCCCTGCAGGCTGCCACCTCGTGCTGCCCTGCAGGCTGCCACCTTGTGTGCTGCCCTGCAGGCTGCCACCTTGTGCTGCCCTGCAGGCTGCTTGAGCGGCAGCCTTTCGAACTTATCGAACTTATTAGCCACATCAGCGGCTCCGACCTATTAATAAACTCCGCGTTCAAATCCAATAAAATTTGTTTTATACATTTGTGGCGCCCATTGGAAAACATTACACTGGATATCTCAGAATATTGAAGTCAGCCCCCCCAAAGTCAAAATCCTGGCTCCGCCCCTGGTGGTGACTCTATGCACATGGCTGCCTGTAATCCAGCGCTGTGAAGGCCACAGCGAGGGTTGTTGGACCATCATGTTGTGAAACTTCATTCCCCTGGGCGTCGAGGTTGCCATACTGTGGCTCACCAGGACAAAGGCAGTACAGCGGGTGAATTATTCTCCTGTTTCCATCTGGATGGAGATTGAGTGTTGCCTCCACCCCCCACCTCCCCCCCCCCTCGATGTCCAGTTTCCTCCCACTTGTGTAATCGCTCACTCATGGCGTTAGCTAAACATCCAAAACGACTAAACTAAAACTATAAACTAAACTAATTCTTTTTTAGTCTTGGTTATTTCGGTAAAGTCACGTAAAAGGGAAATAAAACAATAAAATTCTCACGCCGAAGAACCAAGAATATGAATATGAATCCCTGCAGTCACGAAAGCTTTATTCGAAATTTACTTATTTTTTTATCAGGCAAGGCCCACTGAGCTATATATCTATTTTTCAAAAGTGACCTGGCCACAAATTATAGCGCAACAAAGTGGCTTATCACGTGGAAATTTATAGCAGCCAAATACTCTAAACACACGTTGATTCTAAATGTGGAGGAAAACCCGGAGGACCTGTAAAAAAAATCCACGCGACCACGGGTAGAGACAGACATGCAAACTCCAAATATACAGGCGTGAGGGTGAATTTTTCTCCGGCTGATCGGGTTTCACCCTCCACATTTAGAAACGTACTCTTTGGTTCTTCGGGTGAAGTCACTTAGTTAGGGAAATAATAGATAACGATGTTTCATCCCTCGTTGTCAAGGAGAATCAGGCTGTGACTGTGCCGCCGTGTTTTCAGGACGCGTCCGTGTGTGAAGACACCGTGTACCAGTCCTGGCTGTCCTGGCTTAAACTCTGCTGCACGGACACTCACGGCATTCCCACCGCGAAGTGCAACGAAGTGGAGCTCAACATCTCAGGTTGTTCACCAGATGATTCTTCACAGTTTACCGTATTGCGATTTGGCGGTGACAGCTGTGTCGTTCATAGCGGTGATATGTCTGGTGGTCACTGTTCGTGTATATTAATTATGGTTGTTATCGCGGTCTTGTTCTGCTTCTGTTTTCATCACGCGAATTGGTTATAACGAGATGCATGTATTAGGGACACACTTTTTTTCCATAATGCGGATGCGAACTGGATATAACGCGATTAAGTGAACAGAACTGCGTCACACAAGTAGGGATAAGCAGTTGTACGGCTGCCTTCGGCGAAGCATCGCACGAGGCATCGGGATGCTGCTGGATGCTTCTAGATGCTACCCACGTGCCTCAGTCTTTGTTCAGCCTGCCTACGCATCTCACGTGTTATTGCGTACTTTGCTTTACCCTATATTATGTGTCATTTATTATAACGTGATTTTTCCATAACGCCGTGTTCTTCAGGAATACAATTACTACCGTGCTATTGGAGAACATGACTATTGCGGTTTTTATGCATCACCGGTGACCACACAAACAAAATCGGTGAAACCCGCTTTGCCGGTTTGCAGCAGCAGTGGTGGGGGGAGGGCATTGTGACGCGGCCCAGCCGATGGCGCGTCAGCCGCTCCGTGTAGAGGTTCACGGTTCGAATCCAGCAGCCGCGCTGGTTATTACTGTCAGCGTAAAAGCCGTAACATTCACACCGCCTGCTTCACGTTGGACGTTCAAAATCCCCTGACGTGATTCGCAAGAGGCAGGCCATTGTGTGCCGGTGTCATGGTCCAAATTTGTCAAACTTAGAATGTTTTTTTTGAAAAATTACCCAAGGCACTCAGATTGGATTATACGCAGCAGCAGTCGTCGCCCCCCTGACTGCGAAAACTTGGCAGGACCCTCCTGAAAAGGTCTTGAGACTCCGTGAGGCTTTCCTGGGCAAACAGTCTTAGTAATAATAAAAATAGCGTATAGCAACGTCAAGAGCAATAAACGCGACCTTTTCAACTCAGAAATTAAGGGAGCTGCCAAAGTGTTGTGACGGTTAGAACACTGGACTCATAAAACAGAGGTTGCCGGTTCATGTCCCTCTCCCGGCACAGTGGTTTGATTGAATCAGCAGTGCATTCCTTACTCACATTCACATTGTCCTGGATTTCAGTTCCCGGTTCCCAACGTTTTGGAACGGTAAACGTTTCTGGTTACCGGTTTATCGGTTATCGTTTATCTAACCCTCGTACGGTCTGTACTTTACATCTCAACTGGGACGGATGATTTGCTTGGATCGCTTCTTAACCTCGGCCTTCTGTCTTTCTCAAGGCCATGGTTGCATCTGTACAGCACTGCAAATCGTTCTCATGTTATCACTTTACTTATTGCCGATGTGCGTGCTCAGACATACGATCGTCTACGAGTTCCTTGTCATAATTTAATGAAGACGAGAGCGGGGAAGTGGAGAAGTGCATTATTACAAGCTGAATATTCCAAAGCTGGTTAAAGAAAAATTATCTTAGATCTTGCCGTTGCCATCGATGAAATCGTTGTGTTAAGTAAGTGTTATTCTGTAATGTTTCAGGGCAGCTGAAGACGTTTTCATTGGCTGTGGTGAAACACAAAAGGATATCAAGCGACCACGAGCCATCGTATTTCATTCTGTCGCACAAGTGTCTGTTTAGATCATCAGTCAAGGTGAGTTGTCAGCTTATGCATGTTGATGAAAAATAGGAATGGGCTTTACCCTTTCGTGCAATAAAACAGGAGGTGTTGTGATGTTCAAACACAAAATAGATACCGAAGGCATCAAGTCTGCTTTAACCATGCATACTTGTGGCTAAACATGCAAACAAACATGCTCTGATCAAAACAGGTCCCTGCAGGGTGGGCTGGTAGAATTTCTCAAATGAGATAATGTGACTTCCAAATGTTGGGTGCAATAAGACATATCAAGTCTCTGCGCTGTCTATTGCTGATTTTACACCCAACAGCACGAGATTTCACTTCGTTAAAGTATTGAAAGGGGATGGACGGACGGACACATTAATCTATTGCAGGCTGGTACACTCAGTTTACAACTTCGTTCCTACCAGTATAATCTATGCATTGTCTTGGAAACCGATTTCTCGACAGCAGAGGCAGCCTTCTTTGTGGGCGAGTCTCACCAGTGTCATGCCAGAGAACGCCAAAGGGCGAACAGCATGAAGGCAATGCACGTATCAAAGCATTAATAGCTCGGGTTGGAAAAAATAAGTCTCCGGCAATGAAACAGGTGTTAAGATTTTAAAACATATTTTGTTGTTCATCGTCTCTACAGTGGTGCTGTTGTTGATGTTGTGTTACGTGCAGGAGACTTCTTCTTGTTTGTGGTGTTATTGGGGTGGGACCAAAATCGCAGATCCTATTATCTGCGAGGTGGTCTGTGAGTTGACTTTTCCGCGGGGTAAAAAAAAAATCACGGATTAACCAAACAAATAATAGGGTAAATTTGCCACGCAAACTCCTATTATCAGCAAAAAAATCTCAGATCCATAGGAATCAGCTTCACAGTGCATTATGGGTAGATCACGGAGATAAGAAGAAGAAATCGGGCCATTGATAATAGGAGTTTTCACACACCCTACAGCTGCTATGGGTAATAGGAGTCCTGGATAATAGGGCTGCGGATAATAGGAGTTCTCTATTTGAGTTTCTCTTTTGCCAGCCCAGTAACAGAAATGACACTTTCTCATGACGGGGCCCAGTTTATCCATTTGTTGTGACAGCTCTTGAGTTTTTATTTAACAAAAACATCACTAATTCCCAGGTTTTTTAAATGGACGTAACCTTGAACGTCACTTCCGAGAAATACATCTCGAATGTAAAGAAGAAGTTGGTTTATCTAACGTTTAAAATACCAAACGTGGCATTTGTTTCATTCTTATAAGTCTCTTAAATAATTGCTAATCGGACGGATGACAGCACTTCCTCCAAGTTAACCCTCCCGAGCCTGCAGATGCGTGAGCTCGGGACGTGCGGGCTTGGGAACATCGTCTGGGCATCTGTCCGTCAGCGAGTCGGGTTAACAGCTCCAGTTTGGAGAAGCCACGTCGGCTAGCAGAGGACAAAATTCTCTCCTCCAGATGTCTGCGAGATGTCCAATTGCTTTTGCGTACGTTGGCAGTTGAAATGTTTTCACAAATACGACACACAACGCTGTTTAGTTGCGCACGCGTACTTGTGTGTTCGTGCGACAGCCAGGCAGGCAGGAATCCAGCCAGGCAGCATACAAAACTTTTTCTAAAGTATAACTAAACCCAAACTATTTAAAAATTTCCAGGTAAGGCCAAATGGGCTATAAAGATCTTTTTTTGCAGCGATCTAGCCATAAATTATAGCGCAACGATCATGTGGAAATTTGTTGCAGCCAAATACTCTAAAACACGTGATGTTGATTGTAAATGTGGAGGGAAACCCGGAGGGCCCAGAGAAAAATCCACGCGACCGCAGGGAGAGAAACACGCAAATTCCAAATTTACATCCGTCAGAAGATTCTTCGTATAGCTTTTACAGACTTTTGGGGCAAGTGCTGTTAGCGAGCACCTATGAAGCCAGGCATGGCACATGAGGCGGTGAGTGGCCAGCACCATGCCCGGCCGCCTTTGTCTCCCGAATGGCAATGTTTACACACTGCTCCAGGAACTAATTTGAGGCTGAGTCGACCTAGAGGAGGGCCAGGACTGGTTCATGTAATCGTCACTGGTGTTGACCATAAGCGGGAATCGAACTTGGATTTCTGGGTTCGTAATGCAGTGCGCTGCCTACGGCAACAACAACAGCCACCATTCTCCACGAAGTAGAGATGACATCACCACAGCGCTTGTGCCAGGCTAGGTGCACTTTGAGGCCTCGTACAGTGTGACACCATGGGCACCAGTCATCTTCAAGTCCACTCGGCTGGAGATCCATCTGTGCCGCATCAGTCCATCTCTTCTCTCTCCGCTGCCGTGCCCGTTTAGCCCCTTCTATGAGCAACACAGAAGCTGCTTGGCCATGCGTTGCCTGGGCACGCTTGCTACATGACGCGGCCAACGCAACCTCGCCTGCAGGAGGAGCTCACCAATGGGACAGAAACAGCTGATTGCTGCACTACCGCTCACACACACACACTCAGGAGTGCCCTGGAGTAATAAATAACGAATAATAAGGCTTCTCAGTTGAAGTACGTGCGGTATTTTTACATGGTGGAAAGTCGTCCCTTCAGGGTTACTACGCGCCTGTTCCATCTTATTAATCACTGCCCTGATCGCACCCGTGGGGAATAGCCCTCTGTGTGCTCGAGTCTGTTACCACAGCTGTTAATGAGGACACGAGCCGTTGCGTCAGTAGACAGTAACGCGGTATCGTAGTTGCGTTACTGAAGAACACAGCGTTATGGAAACATCAAACATCGCGTGATAATGAATAATATATAATATAGGGCAAAGCAGTCCGCGGTAACGCGTGGGTAGCATCTAGAATCATCCAGCAGCATCTCAATGCCTTGTGTGATGCTATGCGGAGGCAGCCGCACGACTGCCTATTCCTACTCACGCGATGCAGTCACGTTCACTCGATCGCGTTATATCCAATTCGCATCTTCATAAAAAAAAATGTTGTTTCCCATGAGTACACTTATCGCGGTATGTCCAATTGCCGGTATGAAAACAACACGCGGCGTGATAGGAGAACAGACTGTAAATACCATCGTGGCAGCACACAACCCCCCCCATGGATATGACGTTGATGCCGAAGCCTTTTCAGCGGGCCCGTGTCCAGTCGACACTCGGCGGTGGTGTAGTCCCCTTTGGTTCCTGCCATAGCAACGCTGCCACCACTCCTGCTCTTTGTGTTTTCCCTGCGTCATTTCGAGTGGCGAATTGGCAACGATTTCACTAAAACGCCGGGGTTTGTTTCTTCGTAAGCAGCACCGTGCCAACCGAAATCACTCAGAATGCGCTCAATCTCATCGGAAGCTGAGCAGGTTTTGAGCCCCCGCGTGCTGCCTGGGTGGGTGACCGCCACGCATAAGACGGGCGTTACAGGCTGCCATGGAGATACATTGTGGGCGGCAGAAGGAAGTGCAGCGTAATGTGTTGGATTGTACTTCTATGCTCCCTTATCGGTGTTCCCAAACCTATAGTACAACTATTCAAATGATGATGTTGCAGTGACAGTGGTGCACGAATAAAATAAAAGCCGCAGCACATTCGTCAGTCACACTGGCCTTGAAATGAAAGAAATATACTCGACAAACAAACACATAATAGCACGTGCGCTATAAAGAAGGCCCATTGTCCGAAACGTTGCCCCTTTTTTATTTTTTCCTCAAAAAGTATCCTCCTGAACAAACGATGCGGGTGCACACAGAGGGCACATTTGTGGAGTTGACACCGGTACAGACACAATAAGCACAACAATTATCGCCGACGGATTTATTTATTTTGAACATGCCTTTGTGTTTCAATAGACTCTACATCCCTGCCGTCTACTTCCTTGACTCAGATAACGCCTCTAGGGGAAGGACCATGTGGGGAGGAGAGGGAAGGGAGAGGGGTGGAGGTGCCGTGAATGCCAAACGAACGATTTTACAAATCAGTGGCCACTGGAAGAGAAGCCATACTCTTTGGTTCTTTCGGTAAAGTGACGTAGTGGGTATAAAATAAAATAAATTAAATCACGACGTTTCGGGCGCAACACAAGCGTCCGTCATCAGGTGGGACAGCCACAGCAAGAAACAATTGCTGAAGTGGGCAAAAGGGGAGCTGCTTGTAACAAGAGGCTATATAAGTAAGAGAGGGGGGGGGGAGGAGCCAGGGAGGAGTGATAGAGAGGGTGTGGGGTAGGGGGGGTGGAGAAGTGCAGGCTCCAACACCGAGTACAACACAATGCCTGGGCTGGGAATCGCACACTTCAATCGGTCAATCGTTAGTATGCGTTCTTATTTATACCTATATTCGTGGTTTTAGCATAGAGATGCGCGTAAAATGGATTTCTTTGGATTATCTGCAATTTTGAATTATCCTCGGCCACCCTCTCCCATCATAAGTGCAGATAATCGAGAGTCTACCGTATTTGTAATAATATCTTTGCCTCCCTGAGTAGACCTTGAGGTTTCAGCCCCAGTCGGGATGTTTCCGGGGAGGGTGAGATGTTCGGGTTGTGAAGAATGTGATTAAAGTAGCGACCGATCATCCCGAAAAAAAATACTTGTTTAATATCAGGGCAGTCCCAGAAGGTTCATGTCTGTAAGTTTGAGGGGTATCTGGGCGAACGTTGCCTATTTGCTATTGATGCAATGTTTTGAGTTTTTCGTAATTTATTTTAAAAATGGCCAGGAATAGCATCGACAATATCCTCGTGTTGACAAGCGCCTACACATGATGAACACGACGGCTTCACCGTGTGGTGCTTAATTTACGTGTGAGCGCGGTGTACCACGGGTCAGGGCTTATCCGAGTCCAGCTTCGAAGGCTTTTACTGTAATGTAATGCAGTTCGGTAGCATAATGAAGGCTTATCACAATTACTGTTTTGATGGCTTTATTTACTGTGAATGCTGACTTGAGTTTAATGATTCGCTTGATGCGTGCTTCACAGGTTACCCTGTGTCCAAGTGAGAAGGGCCGGGTTATCCGCAAGCAAACCGAAGACTTTGACCACAGACTGCCTTTCATTCCGCTGGAGCGTTTGGGGTAAATGTTTTTTGTTTAATATAAACGTGAAAACCATTTCAATGAACATTACCCAAGTGTAGTCATGCATGCACATCAGCTTTGGTATCTTTATTATTCATTAGACACCAATGTGTAGTGTGCAGTGGTGTAGTGCCTCCATAGAGTCCAATGTGTCTGCTTACTGACCATTCCCCTGTAAACGACGGGCTGTTGTAGGCACAGTTAATATTAATTAATGCATTGATTAACCATGTTTCTTTTAATATTGTGACCAGTTTCATGGAACCAATTCCCTTGGTTAAAAGGGGTTCCACTGTATTATTATTTCTTGTCATGTCCATCTTAGCTTAGCATCAGTCGGTGACAAATTCCCACCCTAAGCTTTGCGGTCCTCTGTATATGAAGGCGTTTTCTGCCAATTATAAATGAATCTTTACATTTCATCGCTGCTTCTCTGCAGGGGGTGGACTTGCCTGGCCTAGTATGTCCCCACGTATCTCACGTGGCGTGTAGCTGTTAGGCTGTGGCAATTCACCCACCCCCTCGCAACTCATGATCATTGTTTGACTCAAGTATCCACACTATGTTGTCATGTTTGTTTTGTCGGTAGTTTTTCTCGTCTCTTTTGTGCAGTTTTGTTTACTCCGTGACCCTGAATGCAACCTTCGTTTCTAATTTTCAAAAGATTAAATAAATGATTCCTGCACACTTTTTAATGCGTACATTGTAAGCGAAGGCAATTTGTTTTAATCGATGCCTACCACTGCTGTGCAATGCAGGATAGCCTCGTGCTTGGCTGTAATTTTTAGATGCTCCACATTTCATTTTAAAACCCACTCTTTGGCATCATCATTATCATCATCAGCATCATCCCAAGCACCCGTTGGGTGCATTGCTTCCCTCTCTCCCACCACTGAATGCCGAAGCCTTATCAAAGCCAAACAACTCCTGCATCCGCTTGCGCCACTCCTTATAAAGTACTTCGCACCGTTGCTACGAATGAACGAGAGCCCCTAGAAATGGATGCCTTTCCTTTCACCCACCAGCCAAAGGGTGGTAATTTTGTACGGCTATGAAGAAAAGGACCCTCGCCCCAAACGTCCCCTATTTGGGCTTTTCCAAGGGCGCCGCGGTGGATAAGAGCTGTTAACCACCTTGATTGATATACAGGCGGTTGTGGGTTCGATCCCGACCCTGGCGATGCCTGCTATATATTTGGAGTTTGCATGTTCTCTCTCCCTGTTGTATGGATTTTTCTCCAGGTCCTTCCATTTTTTTCCCTCCACGCTTACAAACGTGCATTTAAGAGTATTTGGCCTATCAAATACTATCATTTGCAGCGGCCTGGAAGCTTCTGAAAAAGAGAGCCATACAGATGAGTGGGCCTTACCTGGTAAAAATTAAAAAGTATTTTTTAAAATAGTTTAGCTTTATTGTAGGGCCACGGGTGCTATTGACGAACGTGCTGTGTTTTTTTTCTTTCTGATGCGCGCTTACGGAGCGGTTGTGTGCGTGCATGTGTGCTGCTTAGCGGCGTTGAGCGGGCGGGGAGACGGGGCGAACTGCACGTGCTGCAGAGCCTCGGGTGGGGCCACCTCTTCGGCTGCCTGGGGGCTCCATGGGGACTTCAAAATGGTGGGCTCCTCATCACGGGCCCCAAGGTAATCGCCGGCCACGTTTTCCCCCCCGTCGTTCGTTTCTCACGTAACGAGCGTGTTTGTTAGAATCGTCTGGAAGAATTATGTGTACGTGTGTATATATGTGTGCGTGTTGAACTTCTTTCGCAGCTTACATTAGCCCACCACGGTAATCGGAGGTGCTGAAAAAATTCTGTCCCTGATCGAAGTGTTCGCTCGGAGTTGGCATTCATCTGCAGGTATCACGGTGGCGAGATGTTAAATACCTCGCCTGGTATACAGGAGGTCGTGAGTTTGGTCCAGACCCTAACGCCTGCTGTATATTTGAAGTTTGGTGTTCTCCCTGTGGTTGTGTGGACTTTTCTCATGTGCCGTGCGGGACTTCTTGACAGGTGCTCGCGAACATTTCTTTCCCCAAAAGTCTGTTAAGGATATACGGGGATCTTCTGACGCCTTTATATTTGGAGTTTGCGTGTTCTCCCCGTGGTCCCGTGAATTTTTCTCTGGGTCTTCTAGTTTTTCTATCTACATTTAGCATCAACATGCATTTAGAGTATTTGGCTTCAATATATTTCCACATGATAAGCCACTTCGTTGAGCTATCATAAGTGGCCAGGTCGCTTCTGAAAATAGCTATATAGCTCAGTGGGGCTTACCTCGTAAAATAAAAATAGTTTATTTTTTATTTAGTATTGGTCTCCACTGATTCTGTTTGGCTCCGCCCCCTGTCTTATAGCTCCACTTACTGTTCTGTAGCTCCACCCCCTGGGGAGTCCCAGCCAGGGACAAGCTGTCAGTGTTGCCCGGACTGCTGGAGTGGAGAGCGAGGCGTGGAACGCGACGTGGAGGCTAACTTCTTATGCCTTTTTGCAGCCTCCTAAGTTTGTGAACAAACGCCAGACATTTGATCGCTTCCAGATCCTCTTGTGTAACACTGCATACCCAGATTATTTGAGAGACTGGAGACGGACACAATGCAGAGCATCACAAGGTCTCCATCTGGGTATTCTAACGGGTAGAGCGGTAACAGACTGGCCACACTCATCAGCCTTGATGACTTAATCGGGGCCGTAGCTTTCGCTGTGCTCCACTGCGTTAAAGCTTTTGACAATTCCCACGTTATGTTTTTTTCTCTCCCAATTTTCACTCGCGGCGATTTTCTTCTCAGCGATTCTAGTCGATAGCTGCACCTACCAGCTGATGAAGCAGGGAGAGTAGTTTAGAGACAACACCCTTGGTTTGTCCAAAAGTATCCGTGGGTAATGTTTCAGGTGATGCTTCAAGAGGGGCTCTCCGCCTTCTGGGCCACGCTGCAATAACGACACTGTGCATTGTGATGCGATTTAAACATTATTTTTTGTCAGAGTTACTTTTGCTTACAAGTATTTGACATGTGTACGTGGTAAACGTGATCACGGCCTATCATAGCACGTATGTTTAATACCGATAAAACTTCCAGGGCTCTGGAAAGACAGCCCTGGCGAGGGCCATCTGCAAGCAGGCTGCAGAGAGGCTTGATGGGCACGTGGAGATCATAAACTGCAAGTCCCTGAGAGGTAAAACCATCTCTCGTGACGTCTCTCTTCACCGTTACACACATGCACACACACGTTTAATTTCCTGACCTCGTGTCCGCTGCAATATCTCTTCCTCAAAACGTAAATTGCATGAAATATCGACTATATTTTTCACGTGAATTGTCACAACTCACAAAGTCACCGCGAGTAGCAGCGATGCAACTAAAATGCCCTGTATTGTGTGCAATGCAAATTCTGAAACGAATTTAAGTGTTGTCATTCACTTAATTAACACGTTAGTCTGCGTGTAGTTCTGAAAAAACGCTTAAGCCCCTAAGTCTCTCTGTGTCATCTGAGTTGTCCACCGCAAGGCCCCTGCACAGCCCATGAGCAGAGATGCCCAGAGCCACACCGGGCCCCCTCCGCTTGAGAATCCCCTCCCATCGTCTCTTTCCTATGCCAAGCTCTTACAACTTTGCCCAATTCAAGAGACATATCAGCTGTTATCTATACAATTCTTTGGTGGTGCTTTGTGTCGCTGGCTGCTTGGCATTTTGGGCCCTCGGAGGGCGGGTGGGCGGGGGCCCTTGTTCAGCAACTGCGTTCACCAATAAATAAAATCCGTGCATTGCTACCGACGCCAGGGACGTGGGCCGCAATCGTCCTGCCTCTCAGCTTTCCTGTGCCCCCAGGCCTTTAGACCTTGCTTACATCCATTGCCTCAGACTACGAAGATTTGTTTTCACGCAAGTTACTTGTTGTGGTCTGAATACGCTGGTGCACGACGCTACGCCGCGCCGGCACTTCTCATAACGCTAATCATCATCAGGGCCGTCCATAATGTGGTGGCAGTGCGGGGGCCCGAGTCAAATCCCACCTTGTGGGCCCCCCTGCTGAAGCCTTCAAACTAAACCGGAAGTATTACTACGTCTGACACCAAGGCGTTGAAGCGCGGGGGGCCCCCCAAAGAATGGGGCCCTGGCCAGTTGCCCCAATTCGCTGAAACCCTAGGGGCGGCTCCGCTAAACACGAACACCGGCACTTTTCAGAACAGTTCCTGTACTATGACGGATCTACAGAGGGGAAAAGGAAAGTGAACTTGTGCTACAGGAATGCTTTTTTACGTTTGGTTTGTTGTCCTTCCCTCGCCTCCGCACCTCCAATGAGCACGGTTGGCTACATCCGGCGCGAGAGAAGTTCAACACACGTACGTAAAGGACAAATAGGTTACGCTGGTTACGCTTAATAAAAAAAATATTACAGGCTTTCAGAAATGGTTAGCCTGAAATGATTGGTATTCTTGGTTCTTTCGGTAAAGTCACGTAGAAGGGAAACAATAAAATAAAAAATATATAAAACATTTATTGTTTCCCTTCTACGTGACTTTACAGAAAGAACCAAGAATATGAATCCCTGCAGTCACGAAAGCTTTAAATCAAAATGAAATGATTGGTGTTTTTATTTAGTTCCTTTGATTAAAAATGTATAAAGAAAATAAAGAAAATAACCCTACTCTTTGGTTCTTTCGGTAAAGTCACGTAGAAATAAAATAAATAATAGAATATGACGTTTCGATTGCAACACAAGCAATCATCAGGTGTGAATGCAAGCTCGGAGAGAGACACACATACTGAGAGACAAACACAGACACGGAGAGACACACACACATAGAGACACATAGAGAGACACACACGCACGTAATCAACCAGGTAAAGTGTTAACTGTTGTGTTAGCCGACTTTCTATGTTACATTGCATTACAGTTCTAAGTTTACTAGGTTTGTTTTCTCAAACTTCCAATTTCTCTCCCCCTGCCACTCTCATTGACATGCTAATTTCTCTGCCCCCCCGCCCTCTCTACAGAGGCGTTGTGTCTTTGTGTGTCTGTGTGTGCCTCTCTCTGCGTTGTGTCTCTCTATGTGTGTCTCTCTGTGTGTCTCTCTGTGTCTCTCTCTCTCTGTGGTTGTCTCTCTCTCTCTGTCTCTCTCTGTGTATGTGTCTCTTTCCATGTCTGTTTGTCTCTCTGTGTATGTGTCACTCTCCATGTCTGTGTTTGTCTTTCTCTCTGTGTATGTGTCTGTGTTTGTCTCTCTGTGTATGTGTCTCTCTCCATGTCTGTGTTTGTCTCTCTCTCTGTATATGTGTCTCTTTCCATGTCTGTGTTTGTCTTTCTCTCTGTATATGTGTCTCTCTCCATGTCTGTGTTTGTCTCTCTGTGTATGTGTCTCTCTCCATGTCTGTGTTTGTCTTTCTCTCTGTATATGTGTCTCTCTCCGTGTCTGTGTTTGTCTCTCTGTATATGTGTCTCTCTCCGTGTCTGTGTTTGTCTCTCTGTGTATGTGTCTCTCTCCATGTCTGTGTTTGTCTCTCTCTCTGTATATGTGTCTCTTCACACCTGATGACGGTTGCTTGTGTTGCAATCGAAACGTCGTATTCTATTATTTATTTTAGTTTATTTCTTCGTGACTTTACCGAAAGAACCAAAGAGTGATTCCTGCAGTCACGAAAGCTTCAAATCAAGTTAGGAAAGAACCCTTTACACAGATGGTAGAAGTGTGACTCCATAAACTGGCTCAGCCCAAGCGGAATGAGTCGCGTTCATAATTGACATGTTGCAAGGGAAACACATTGTTGTTCGGTGATACTGTGAGCGGTGCACAAGCACAAATACAAACTCAACATGGTCGTTAATAACACTGCCAATGGCTCTTCATAATTGCACATAATTTACGTGCTATGAAGAAAGGCTTGAAATGTTGCATATTATAAAAAAAAATATTCCCACTTAAGGCCAGATTGAAGAATGTGTCGAGTTTTGTTATTTGTGGTTTTGGAAAGAAAAAAACAACAACGCTTGGTCTATAACACCATTATCCTAAAAAGGGGGGGGGAAATATGCAGTCTATTCTCCTAATGAAACAGAAGTTGCTTTCCTGAAGAACACCGCATTATATAAAAATCGGGTTATAATAAATAATATAGGGCAAAGCACGGTCCGCGATAACACGAGAGATGCGTACGCAGGGCTGAACAAAGACTGAGGTGCGTGGGTAGCATCTAGAAGCATCCAGCAGCATCCCAATGCCTCGTGCGATGCTACGCCGAGGCAGCCGTACGAGCGCTTATTGCTACTCGCGCGACATAGTTCCGTTCACTTAATCGCATTACATCCAATTCGCATCCACGTTTTAAAAAATGCATTCCCTGATACATTCATCACGTTACATCCAATTTGCGTTATGGAAACAACACGCGTTATAGGAGAACAGACTGTAAATATATATCAAGCGACGTTTCAGGCAATGACCCTTGTTCAGAGCTAGGAAACTGAGCGAAACAGAGCGAGTTGGATGCATAACGGACATTGTGCATTGGATGTTTAACTTCGTGATGTTACTTCGGTCTCAGAGGTGAGGCGGGAATTGTCTTCGTGACGACAGGGAAAGCGACGGAGACGATCGCCGGCGTTTTGGAAGGGGCGATGAGAGAGGCGGTGTGGAGGCAGCCGTCGCTGCTGCTCCTGGACGACCTGCACCTCGTGCTGGGCTCGACCTCCAACTTCGGGCCCGAAAACAATCCGGAGGACAACCAGGCCCTGCAGCTGACGGAGGGTAGGTGCGCGCCGACGCGATACGCACGCTTACCCCCTTGGTCATCAACTTCCAGCTGTGTCCGTCATTATTACTGTTATTAATGTTATTGGCCAACACCAAGGGCATTGTACGGTTTTAGCTGATGGGAGGAAAGTAGAGAACCCGCGGGGGAAGAACGTTCAGCCTCCATGCACTCTCTCGCAAAGACAAAGATCCCCCCCCCGTGTAGCCTGTTTATGGACTGTTGGGGCAAGTGTTGTTAGCGAACGTCTATTAAGGCCAGCAAGGCACACGAGGGTTGGTCAAGACCACACCCGGCCACCATTGTCTTCCCGCTGCTGATGTTTTTACATACCGCATCAGGTACTCATTGGAGGCTGAATCGACCTAGGGGAGGCTCATTACCGGTTCAGATATTTGCTGGATGCCCTCACCACTGCACCACCACTCCCCTCCCACACACTCTCACACACAACAACAACAACATCAGCCTCCAATTTGCCACGAAGTCACCAGTGCCTATGCACTTTCAGTCCACATGAAGTTTTGAAGGCTCGCTGACAGGGAGGTTACAGGACAGACCCAGGTGTTATAGCTTGACTGACTGATTTGACTGGCAGATGCAAAGACAGCACTTGCCTCAACAGACTTTTGAAGCAAGTGCTGCTTGCGAGCACCTATGAAGGCCGGAATGGCACACGAAGGGGTGGGTGGCCAGCACCACAACCGGCCCTCTTTGTCTCCCCAGTGGTGACGTTTAAACACCGCACCAGGTACTCATTAGAGGCTGAGTCGACCTAGGGGAGGCCCAGGACCAGTTCACATAATCATCACTAGTGTTGGCCATGCGCGGGAATCGAACTCGGGTCGCCGGGTTCGTAGCGCAGCGCGCTAGCCACGACACTACCGCTACACACACACACCGCACGCTCAGACAACACTGCAGAATCATGGAAGAACATACAAACTCTACACAGAGAGGCACCGCTTGAGGAATCAAACGCAGGCCCCACTTGCAGCGAGGCACGAGTTAATACCACTGGGCCACGCTGCTGCCCTTGATTGGTTAATCAATTCTGTCGCCCCCTCCCCACCCCCTGCCCCCCCCCCTCCTCCTGCCCCCCCCCCCCCCCCCCACTAGTGTTCAAACAGCTGTTGTGCGCGGAGATGTCGCAGAGGAGCGTGGTGGCACTGGTGTGCACCGCAGAGTCGGAGGGGGCGCTGCACCGCTCGCTCGTCTCCGCTCAGGGCCTCCACGTGTTCCAGCTGGGGCACGACGTGGCCCCCCTCACGCGGGTAGCCACTGCACTACACCGTTAAGGCCACTGTCACGTGAGAGAACGGAGGAATACCGCCGTCTGGTGTCCAACTGGCACCCGCTGCCCGAGTTAATTTCTATAGTGAGGACGCCCCTTGTACCATGGGTGCTTATCATATCAGCGATGGCACCAGGAAGCCATAGGGATGTCACGGGAATGCCACGGAGATGCCATGGTGGCGAGATGTTAACTACCTCGCCTGGTACATAGGAGGTCGTCGGTTCGATCCTGATCCTGACACCTGTATATTCAGAGTTTGAATGTCTCTCCTGGTCCTGCGGTTTTTCCTTCCACGTTTAGAAACATGCATTTAGAGTATTTGGCTGTGACTATAAATTTGCACGTGATAAGCCACTTAGTTGAGATATCATTTGTGGCCAGGTCACTTCTGTAAAAGAGCTATATAGCTCAGTGGGCCTTACCTGGTAAAAAAAAATTCGAAAAATAGTTTAATGCCATGGGAATGACGTGGGGATGCCACGGAAGGCGTGCTGCAGGTGAGCATGGCTCGTGGCTCCTGGACCTGAGCAAACGCCACATTCCCTCCCCACCTTCCCGCTGTACTAACGTAGTTATGTACTCGCTGCAACGACGAATAGACAAGAGGCCCTGAGTGGTGTATATTTTTCTTATCTCCTGCTTTAGTGCGATAGCGGCCATTCCACTCTTGGCGTTGTATAGTTTGGTTGAGTTTATTTTTGTTCACCCTCCGCCAGGGGGCAGGGCTCATTGAGTTAAAGTGTTTTTTTTCTTCAAGGGTGACCCGGGGGGGGGGTGGGTGAGCGTTGTGGAAAAATGAAACCTCAGAAGGGCACATTTGATAATTGTGACAAATGACAACAGTGCCTTCTGAAAGTTCACTTCTCTACCATCGTGGAGCACTTAGACCAACGACTTGGTGTGATCTATTTACCCGAATTTTATTGTCTTGTATAACACTTTTTATTATTTATGTTTTACTTATGGAGTGATTGAGCAGGTGGGTGGGTGGGTGAGAGAGTTGGTGAATGGGTGAATAAGTCGGTGAGTCAGTGGGTGGGTGTGTGAGTAATTTAGTAAGTAGTTGAGTAGGGGAGTGAGTGAGTAGGTGAGTTAGTGGATGGATGGGTGTGTGAGTGGGTGAGTGAGTAAGTGAATGGGTTCGTGAGTGGGTCAGTAGATGAGTGAGTTAGTGGGTGAGTTAGTGGGTGGATGGGTGAGTGGGTGGGTGTGTGAGTGGGCGAGTGAGTGAGTGGGGCGATTGAGTAGGTCAGTGAGTGGGTGAATAAGTGGGTGAGTGGGTGGGTGTGGGGAGCGGTAGTGTAGCGGTTAGCGCGCTGCGCTATGAATCTGGCGACCCGGGTTCGATTCCCGCTCACGGCCAACACCAGTGACGATTATCTGAACCGGTCCCGGGCCTCCCCTAGGTCGACTCAGCCTAAAATGAGTACCTGGTGCGGTGTGTAAACATTGCCACTAGGGAGACAAAGGCGGTCGGGCGTGGTGCTGGCCACCCACCCCCTCGTGTACCGTTCCGGCCTTCAAAGGTGCTCGCTAACAGCACTTGCCCCTACAGTCTGTTAAGGCTATATGGGGGATCTTTGTCTTTGTCTTTGAGTGGGTGGGTGGGTGGGTGAGTGGGTGGGTGAGCGAGTGAATGTGTGACTGAGTGGGTGATTGAGTGATTGAGCAGGTGGGTGGGTGAGTGAGTTGGTGAATGGGTGAGTAAGTCGGTGAGTCAGTGGGTTTGGTGTGTAATTTAGTAAGTGGGTGAGTAGGGGAGTGAGTGAGTAGGTGAGTTAGTGGATGGATGGGTGAGTGAGTGGGTGTGTGAGTAGGATGTTCGAATGCTCACTGCGGAGGAGAGGCTGCCACTCCTCTGTCGGGAGCTGGACCGGTACCGCCTGGATCTCTGTGGCAATCAGGAGGTCCGGTGGTCCGGCTCTGGCATCTGCCACCATGAGGGGTGGACAGTCCTCTACTCGGGGCAGGAGACTACCAAACAACAGGGAGTGTTTCTTCTTATGAACAAAAGAATGAAGGGGGCGTGGGAGTGTGGCAGTGAGGTGTAGGAAGCTGTAAGCCCCAGGCTACTTTGGGCTCGCCTTCCCATCAACCGGAGGCGAGGAGTGGTGGTCGTGATTACTTATACCCCCACCGAAGACGAACATCCGTGGAGGGATGCAGGCAAGGCCGATGAGTCAGATGCCTTCTATGACCTCCTGTCACAGGTGCTAGCTAAAGTAGCCCCTCGGGATCGAGTCAACTTGTTGGGTGACTTCATTGCCCGAGTTGGTCATGATGCTGGCACCTGGTCTGGAGTGATTGGAAGGCATGGGCCAGATCAGCTCAATAACAACGGTAGGAGGCTGCTAGATTTTTGTGAGCCCATGGGCTTGTAATTACCAACAAGCTGTTACGGCATCGGCGCATCCACACAACATCATGGATGCATGCCGGGTCGAAGCAAGAACATCTGCTGGACTACATAGTGATGGAACAGCGGATGCGGGCCCATGTCCTTGACATCAGGACCTACCGTGGAGCTGATCTGCCCTCTGACCATCGACTTGTCATCTGTAAGATGCGCCTGCCATTCTTCCACTCCGGTGGTGGGTGTACACCCAGGACCCCATTCCAACCTAAGGTGACCTAGTCTCAGCTAGCTGATGAAAGTTGCAAGTGAGAATTTCATCATCGCTTGCGGCTGGGGTTGGTATCGCCCCCCACTCCTCCAGATGTCGAGGGTAAATGGGTGAGGTTTAGAACTGTGACTCGGGCAGCTGCAATGGCTGCTTTGGGTATGTGGTCCAGACCTCCCCAGAGACCCTGGCTGACAGAGGAGGTGTTCAGGATGGCTGAGAAAAAGCGACAGGCCCACTTTAATCGTCTATAGCATCCCATATCAGAGAATGAGGAGGCTTACCGCAGCCTTCGCTCGGAGGTGCGGAGAGCCGTGAGGCGCTGCAAGGATGGGTGGTGGTCGCGGGTTACTGAGGAGATGGAGTCTGCCTCAATGGCCCACGATCACAAATCCATATTTAACTCCATCAAAAAAGTAACCTGCAGCACGACACCTATTACCATCAGGGGAAAAAAACGGTGATCCAATCTCTGACCCTCAGGAACAGACTTGCAGATTTGCTGAGCATTTCTGTGAAGTCCTGGGGGAGGGGAAATCCCTTGACATGGAAAACATTGTGGGACAAAGTGGGGATGACCCTGCTGAGGCTGCGGTGCCTCAAATATTGGAAGAACAAGTCACTCCCTGTGAGTGACTGGCTGAGGAGCCATCTGTTGAGGAAGTACTAAAGGAGATCCAGAGTCTGAGACCAGGAGAGGCACCGGGCAGAGATGATCTCCCAAGCGAAATGCTGAGGTAGGGTGGCGTTTGTGCACAGACTGCCCTACATGACATCATAACAACAGTCTGGACCACTGGACAGGTTCCGCAGGATTGGAAGGATGCCCTTGCAGTCCCCCTCTTTAAGAAGGGGGACCGCACAGACTGTAACAACTACAGGGACATCTCACTCCTCAGTGTGCCGGGAAAGGTCCTGGCAAGGATTATTCAACATCGCCTTGCCAGGCACGCTGAGGAGAGGCTTGCGGAGCCCCAATGCGGTTTCAGGAAAGGGTGGTCCTGCACAGATGCCATATTTTCTGTCCGTTTGCTACAGCAGAGGTATAGGGAATTCCAACAAGACCTACATCTCTGCTTTATTGACCTGGTCAAGGCCTATGATACCATCAGTATGCCTGAGCTCTGGGTTGTTTTTCGTGCTTTCGGAGTCCCTGACGCTCTGCTCACGATCATTAAGGACCTTCATGATGGTGAGCGAGCCCGGGTAAACCTACGTGGCCGGGAATCAGAGCCATTCCCTGTTCACCTTGGAGTGCGACAGGGATGTCCTCTGGCTCCCACATTATTTAACATATTTTTTGACCACATTAGTTCGTGAATCCTTTGATGGCTATACCAGAGGAATTTCCATCTGGTACAGATACAATGGGAGGCTGATCGATGCCCGGGTGCGGTCAAGGGATGGCTTCCTATTGGTCAACCATGTTATATATGCCGATGATCTGGTAATTGCCGCTCACTCAGAGGAGGAGTTGGAGGCGCTGCTGCTGAAACTGGAGCATGCCACTATGAGGTGGGGCCTTACCATCAGCCCCACCAAAACTAAGCACCTGCCTGGGTATTTTGTACTTTCGGGCAACCCACCCCCACAACTCCCAATCGGTGATGGGGCAGTTGTGGAGAGAGTGGAGAGATTCCCATACCCGGGCAGTGTGCTTATGACCGGCTCCGGTTTGACAGCAGAGGTCTCACTCAGAATCAGTCGAGCGGAATTTTTTCATCAGTTGCGTAACGCTGTGTGGAAGCTACCTGGTCTGTCGCTCCGTACGAAGCTTCAAGTCTTCTCGGCCATGGTCATTCCCTCCCTTCTCTACGCTTACGAAACGTGGACCCCCCTAATGGAGCATCTTCGCCAATTGGAAACATTTAGGCTGGCCTGCCTACAATCCATCCTGGGTTTAACCAGGCTGGATTGTGTGAGGAGCTCACAAATCCTTGAAAGATCTGGGCAAAGTCCCATCGGTGAGCTCCTCCGGCAGGCAAGGCTGCGTTGGCTGGGTCATGTAGCCCGCATGCCCAGTCACTGCATGCCTAAACAGCTTTTGTTCGGCCGGATAGAGGGGGCTAAACGGGTGCGGCACGGGCTAGAGACGAGATTGATGTGGTACATGAGGATGTGGAGCTGAGTGGACTTGTCGATGACTGATACCAGTGGTATCAAGATCGGCCTCTGTGGAGGAGACTCGTAAAAGACGCTGTTGAGCAGTTGGAGGCAGTCGCCCTCCAACAACAACGGAGGGCGGAGGAGCGACGCTCACAACAACGAGCGGAGCGCCGGGTGGCTAAAGCACAGCAAGTTGGCAGAGTAGGGGGCACAGGTGGTGCATCAGCCAGTCATCTCAGTCAGTCAACCCGTGGCACCTGGATCTGCCCCGTGACCTGCCAGCGGGCGTTCGACACTTCACGTGGCCTCAAGGTGCACATAGCCTGGCACAAGCGTCGTGGTGATGTCACCGCCACTTAGTGGCGAATGGCGATTGTTGTTGTTGATTGAGTGGGTGAGTGGGTGTGTGTGTGAGTGAGTAAGTGGGTGTGTGAGTGAGTGAGTGGGTGGCTGAGCGAGTGAGTGGGTGGGTGGCTGAGCGAGTGCGTGAGTGATTGGGTGGGTGAGTGGGTGGGTGAGTGAGTGGGTAGATGAGTGAGTGGGTGAGTCGGTGGGTGACTGAGTGGGTGACTGAGTGGGTGAGTGCGGCTGCCTCTGCAGGAGGACGGCCAGGAGCTCCTGGCAGCCGTCGTTCGCAACAAGTCGAGCGTCTCTGAGCGGGGACTGAGTTGCGCAGAGCTGCAAGAGGTGGCCAAGCTCACGGGCGGCTTCCTCGCTCGGGACGTCGTGCAGCTGGTGGAGCGGGCAGTGCACGCCCACCTGCAGGCCAACGCGCCGCCCCACGGGCATGGCACGCCGCAGGGTAACGCTCGGCGTGAGGCCCCCCCCCCCCCCCCCGCTTATGGGAATCGCGGCTAGCGAATTGTTGCGTCGAGAGTCTGGCAGGATGGTGGCAGCGTCGGTGGAAGCACTCGTGCCTCAGCGATATAAAGGCCTGAGTTTGATTCCCAACTCAGTCCCCTTTTCTGTCTGGATTTTGTATATTCTCCCGTGCTGCATGGGGTTTCCTCCGGGTTCTCCGGTTTATCATAGATACTAAAAAAAACATTTAATGTTACTGGTATTGGACAAAATATCCCAATGCTGAAAATCTTTCTGTAAATTATTTCGTTGGGATTACACCCAGCAGCAGCAGCGACAACATAGCCCACAACTGCGAAAAACTTGGCAGGACCCTCCTGAAAACGGTTCTTGAAACTCGGTATGGCTTTCCTAGGTAAAGAAGCGCGATATTTTTAAAATTATATTCTTGGTTCTTTCGGTAAAGTCACGTTGAAGGGAAACAATATAAATAATAAAATATATAAACCAATTAAATTCTCACGACGTTTCGACTGTAACACAAACAGTCATCAGGTGTGAAAACCAATGGCAAGAACATTTGAAAGAAGTGGCGGTTTGTATTTATTTTTAAACGTTAGCACCACGGATAGCGATTTGACAGTTTGTTTAGAAGGACGAGTCCATCTATGTTCGGAAAAGAGGAGGGGGGAGACGAAAAATTAATGTATGCTGTCTGAAAGCCACCGTAAGCGTGAACAATCATTTAAGACCCGAAATGGTTTATCAAATCCTTCCAATGATTGCTAAGCCAGAATCCATCTTCTCAGTTTAAATTGTCTTTGTGTTTGTATATGTGGATAGCCTCATGAACGAATCTCTTATGGTAGCCCGATGGCTTGCGTGACTTTACCGAAAGAACCAAGAATATGAATCACTGCAGTCACGAAAGCTTTAAATCAAAATTTGTTTAATTGTTGGATTTGGTTCCACAGAAATTCTATGACCCATCTATAAGTTTACACAAATATTTCAACTCAGATATTCAACCTGACTGTTAGACTAGTGCCCAATCTTTTCACATGAAAGTCGCTGCTACCCCGCAATTAAACTCACTAGGTTAAGACTTTGCTGGGATTGTGAATTGTGTTTGTTGTCCTTCCCCCCCCCCCCCCACGGCACCTCCAATTAGCACGGTTGGCTACGTGCGGTGCGAAAGAAGGTCACCGTACGTGCAACCGCCTGAAAAAAAAAAACAGTAAAAACCAGTTATCAGTTGCGACACAGATCTTGAAATATCTTGAGCATTAGACATTAGTTTTCCCTTTTCAATTCAGAATCGAAGGGAGCTTGCCACACTGCAGTGTAAGCGGTATCTCACTGGACTTGCAATCCAGATTATTTTGCTGGTATAAATGTCCAAATAATGAGCCACTTTAAATTTTGATTTAAAGCTTTCGTGACTGCAGGGATTCATATTCTTGGTTCTTTCGGTAAAGTCACGTAGAAGGGAAACAATAAAATAATAAAAATATAAAACAATACAATTATCACGACGTTTCGACTGCAACACAAGCAATCATCATCAGGTGACTTTACCGAAAGAACCAAGAAAATTGAACCACTTTGTTGAGCTATCATTTGTGGCCAGGTCGCTTCTGAAAAATCAGTTAATACCTCAGTGTGCTTTGCCTGGTAGGATGGGGATGGTTTAGTTTAATTTGTATGTGGTTGGGTGATTTGTTTACCGTTCTTGTACTTTGCACTACTACCATGTTTTTGTATTGTCTTTTGTTGTAACGTTTTGACCCTGTGGCCCCTACTGGACAGCTGTGAAAAAGAGCTTAACAGCTCATCGGATTCCTCCTCCAGGGTACATAAATGTTCTGATTCTGTTGCCGGTTTGATCTCCCGGCGTGGCAACGGAATCTATCGGGGCAATTTTCTCAGTCTCCCAACCCACTGCCTCTGTCCACCCAACGGATTAAATGTCTACACCACTGATTGGCAGGTCACGTTGCGGTGGGGTCAAGTGTGGGTACTCCCGCCTCTTCCAATGATGTCGAGCCAACGAGGCAGGGGCATTTGCAGGGCTGCACCTTTTACCGACGATCGATTTCAGAACGGGTTATGAAATCTATTAACGGTGACATGTTACCGTTTATCAACCATAAAATTCGCCGTCAACTGCCCGGGCGGTAGTGTCGCGGATAGTGCTACGCTGCGCTATGAATCCGGCATCCCGAATTCGATTCCCGGTCACAGCCAACACCAGTGCCGATTATATGAACTGGTCCTGGGCCTCCCCTAAGTTGACTCAGCCTCAAATGAGTACCCAGTGCGGTGTGTAAAAATATCGCCACTGGGAAGACAAAGGCGGTTGGGCGTGGTGGGGGTCACCCACCCTCTACGTGTGCTGTACCGGCCTTCATAGGTGCTCACAAACAGCTCTTGCCACGACAGACTATTAAGGCTGCACGGGGGATCTTTGTCTTTGTATGCACACCCGCCCGGGCGGTTGTGTACACACCCACATGCGCGTGCTGCACACACGTGTGATGGATCGCATCGCTCTCCCCGTTACCAGCGGCAACGCACCACGAGTGCTCACTCGCTGCATTATTCACGTTCCTGGGTACTGACGTTGGCTGGCCCCCAACCTCGCTCGCGTGAATTGCAAACACTGCAGGAGGTGGCCCGGCGGCCCCGGGGGGCGGCATATGCAGCAATACAAGCGGCTGAGCGGCACCGCAGCGGCCGCCGTGTACTCATCGTGAGGAAATGGTTGCCGATGTTTCAACAATGCAGTGGTGCCGTGTTAACCCCGGAGTAGTGTTTACCCCACATCGAGATCGGTTAATTGACAAATCAATGTCGGTCGACCCCCGAGTTGTGGGGTATGGGGTGTGGCGGGCTGTACTAATAATTTTACGAAGGGCGCGGTGGTGCAGGGCGGTGGAATTCCGCGAGGCGGGGGAGTGCGCACCATCGGTGAGACAATTAAAGGGAGGATATATTATTTGGGTCTTTCGGTAAAGTCACGTAGATAGGTTGAAAGGAAATAACAAAAAACTACGTTTCGATCACAACACAAGCGATCATGTGTTGTGATCGAAACGTCGTAGTTTTTTGTTATTTCCTTTCAACCTATCTACGTGACTTTACCGAAAGACCCAAGCAATATGAATTCCTGCAGTCACGAAAGCTTTAAGTCAAAAGGGAGGATAGTTTCATTTGGGGTTGTTTTTTTAAACCGGCTTCTAAATGAAAATATGTGCGAGGCTATTTTAGACTTGTACAAATAACCAATATATTTACAGTAAACCCTTGTTAATTCAACACATATTGGGCTCTGGCCTTGCCGAATTATCCAATATTCCGAATTATGTACAATGATACTCCCCAGCGCCTCCTGCTCCAAAAATGTTTTTCTCCAAATTTGTTTGCAAACTCTTCACACACCATACGCATTGACACACCTGCATAATTTTTTTTCCCAAAAACTTTGGATTTGTCTAGCAGACGAAGGGATTTATACTTCAGTCCATTTCTATTATTTCTTGATGTGGGTGTAGACGATATCTCTGAGAAGGTTGGCTTGCGCAGAGTGCATAAGCAAGGTGAAGTTCAAAGCGACGGGTCTGCTGTTAACGCTCACCACGCGCGCTGCCACCAGACTGAGTCGTTGTGTTGGTCGTGGCGCATGGCGTCGCTCCACGTGCATGCAGTAATTGGAACATTCGGTACGGTCAGCTTATGGCGAATGACTAATACACCGTTTTTCTGCCGAAAGAGCAGCCGTGCCAAATTATCCCCAATTACCAATTTACAAATACCGATATAACGAGGTTTTACTGTAAGCAGAAAATATTCCTCAACATATCTGTGTGTCTCGACGTAATAAACACAAGTACAATTTTTTTTACAAATCTCACCAGCACCACGGCCTCCTGGTGGTATGTAATTTCACCAGCATTGGTTTCGACACGAGCAAAAACTCTGGAACCGTTTTGTACATTCTGTGTGTCATCAGCATGCGTACAATTTCCCTGGGACAGATTGGCCGATTCTTGATTTTGTTCTCATACTTTTCAAACATTAATGGACTCGTCCGTCTGAACAAAGCTCGTCGCTCTCCGTGGTGATAATCCCTCACACCAACATCATGCTAATCCCCCAGTTACATGTTAATTTATATGTAAACTCCTCTCCCCCCTCCTCCGTTCCCACACCAACATCATGCTAATCCCCCAGTTACATGCTAATTTATATGTAAACTCCTTTGTCAAGGCGCTCTGTTCCTCCCACACAGCTTAAAAGACGCTGCCATGCTTGGCAGGGTTCACTCAAGCGCTGTCTTCCGGACAGTCCTGTTTCTTCACCTGAGGAAGGCTACTTGTGTTGTGGCCGAAACGTCGTGAGAATTTTATTCTGTTATTATTTTTATTATTTTATCCCCATTCTACGTGACTTTACCGAAAGAACCCAGAAGTTGTTCTCATACTCTTAGGTTATTTCGGTAAAGTCGCGTAGATAGGGAACTAAATAAATAATATTTCACGGCGTTTCGATCGCAACAAGAAGCGGCCGTCCTCAGGTGAAAGAGAGAAACGTGCCTCTGTGACGAGGCATTATAAAGAGGGGGGGGAGGGGAGGGGGGGAGGCCGCAAAGGGGCGAGAGGGTGGGGATAAAATTCGAAGAGGGCTTGGGTGAGAGAGAGGAAAGAAATGCGACAAGGAAGCCTAGATATCAAACTTAACAACATTTAGAAATGTAATGCATCTCAGGAAGTCGGCTAACACAACAGTTAACACCCTACCTGGTTGATTCAGTCCTTCCAAAGATTGCAAAATTTTGCATCATCTTCTCGGTTGAAATTATGTCTGAGTTGTGTGGAAAACCTCCCCGTAGAGGCGGTTCAATCTTGATTAGAAGCTTCCGTGACTGCAGGATTTCATACTCTTTGGTTCTTTCGGTAAAATCACGTAGGTAGACATTTCTTTTCTCTCTCTCACCCAAGCCCTCTTTGAATTGTATCCCCACCCTCTCGCCCCTTTGCGGCCTCCCCTCGCCCCTCTATATAATGCCTCGTCACAGAGGCATGTTTCTCTCTTTCACCTGAGGACGACCGCTTGTTGTTGCGATCGAAACGTCGTGACCTATTATTTTTTTTTCCTACGTGACTTTGCCGAAAGAACCTAAGCATACTGATCCCTTCTGTGAAGGATGTGATTCCTGACATGCAATACCCTGGTGTCTACAAACTAAGTTGTGTCTGCGGCAGCAGTTACATTGGGGAAATGAAACGACATGTCTCGGACCGTGTTCGCGAACACAAGGCAGATTTGAAACACGGCAGAACCAATACCTCTGCCGTGGCTGATCGTTGTTATGACGCAGTGGGCTCGCACGATATTGTTTTTTTTTCTGAGACCAAGGTACTCTGCAAACCTTCGGGCTACCATCAAAGATTTGTTCATGAAGCCATCCAGATATATAAACACAGACATAACTTCAAACGAGAAGATGGGTACAAATTTAGCCAACTCTCTGAGTTGCATTACATTTCTAAATGTTGTTACGTTTGATATCTAGGCTTCCTTGTCACATTTCTTTTCTCTCTCTCTCACCCAAGCCCTCTGAATTGTATCCCCACCCTCTCGCCCCTTTGCGGCCTCCCCTCCTCCCCCTCTTTATAATGCTTCGTCACAGAGGCACGTTTCTCTCTTTCTGTCTTTCACCTGAGGACGACCGCTTGTTGTTGCGATCGAAACGTCGTGATCTATCATTAATTTATTTTCCTACCTACGTGACTTTACCGAAAGAACCCAAGAGTATGAAATCCTGCAGTCACGAAAGCTTCTAATCAAGTTTGTTCTCATATGTTCTGCACAATGACGGGAATTATAATTTTGTAAGAGGTGAATAGTGGCATAGGTTTTCACAGCCAATATTTTGCCCAAAGAAATTAGAATACATTAATTTGCATTGGTTAATATCTAGTCTAAATCTGCTTGGTTTTCCTGCGATATCAGGACACCTGTTTATTGTGACTTCCTGGGTTCTAACCTAACGATGCTTGACACAGTTTTAAATAGAACTTCGCGTATCCAGCAGCTACATTTTGTCATGGGAATTCTTCCACAACTTATCAGTCAGTAGGGTGAAAAAAGTTATAATTGGTACGTTAAACACATTAATTTGTATTGGTTAATATCTAGTCTAAATCTGCTTGGTTTTCCTGCGATGTCAGGACACCTGTTTATTGTGACTTCCTGGGTTCTAACCTAACGATGCTTGACACAGTTTTAAATAGAACTTCGCGTATCAAGCAGCTAAATTTTGTCATGGGAATTCTTCCACAACTTATCAGTCAGTAGGGTGAAAAAAGTTATAATTGGTACGTTAAACACTCGAACACTTGACAATTTAATTTGTCGGGTGGTGGAGGGTTAGATCATTACGTCGCCTAACCCAATGACCAATTACGAAAAGACGTTTATAGCCATGCGAGCGTTTGGCATTATTGATAAGTTGTGAAAAAATTCTCATCACCAAGTTTATCTTTTAGATATGCGACATTTGCCTTTTGTAAGGTTGCACACAAAGTGCTTACCACAAATGAACCACAATACCTTGCTGATCTTCTCAAGGAGCATGAAGCATCGCGCAAACTCCAGTCATCCTCGCAGCGGCTTTTAGCTTGCCATCGAACAAAGCCAGTCACTGCATTTCGTCCTATCGGATGTGCTTCTGCGGCCGTCTGGAACGCTCTTCTGATATTAGGAAGCCACTGGTGCTATACGCTTTTAAATCTAGATTGGAAACTAATTTATTTTAAACTATTTTTTGTGTTTAGTTTGTTGTCCTACCCTGCACCTCCGATTAGCACGGTTGGCTACGTACGCTGCGAAAGAAGTTAAATATTCACAAAAACAAAGATTCCCTGTATAGCCTGTAACAGACTGTTGGGGCAAGTGCTGTTAGTGAGCACCTATGAAGGCCTGCACGGCACACGAGGGGGTGGGTGGCCAACACCACGCCCGGCCGCCTTTGTCTCCTGAGTGGTGATGATAACACACCACACCAGGTACTCATTTGAGGCTGAGTCGATCTAGGGGAGGCCCAGGAAAGATACAGATAGTCATCACTGGTATTAGCCTGAGCGGGAATCGAACTCGGGTTGCCAGGTTCGTAGCGCATCGTGATAACCGCTACTCTACCGCTCCACGCATTCAAACGCACACACGTATACACACACATACACACACACACGTACACACGTGTGGTGCAGGGCTAAACCTGAGCACAGAGGACTTGAGGGCAGCTTTGCGTGGATTCACGCCGTCCTCCCTACGCAATGCGAACCTCCACGAGCCCTCGGGCCTGGGCTGGGACAGCGTGGGCGGCCTGGTCGCCGTCAAGCAGGTCCTCATGGACACTGTGCAACTGCCGGCCAAGGTACGTACGTGTGTGTACGTGTGTGTACGTGTGTGTACGTGTGTGTACGTGTGTGTGTACGTGTGTGTACGTGTGTATACATTTAGAAATGTGCGAAGAGTATTTGGCTTCTACAAATTTCCACGTGATATGCCACTTCGTTGAGCTATCATTTGTGGGAAGCCAGGTCGCTTCCGAAAAAGAGCTATAAAGCTCAGTGGGCCTTACCTGGTAAAATGAAAATAGTTTTAGTTATTTAGTATTGACACTCTCACCAAGGGAAGCCACATTAATCCAGTTGTACACAGAGTCATCGGTGAATGTGTATTGGCCAAATCTCAAATTAACCTTTGGTACCTTACAGAAGAAATGTGATCCACACCTTATATTGTAAGCAATGAAATCTGGAATAAGCAAACAAGTTAAGCTACATCGCCACAGATAATGGAATTTGCCGATTGACTCTATTTATCCACACAAATTTAGAGGATAATATATAGCTGTTACGCAATGCAGGATGGGAAATAAACAGGGATGATCGTGGTTCGTAGTAAGAACAGTGGGGCGGATTATTTTCATTGACCCTTTAGGTCCTGCGGATAACAGTAGTCGCCGGTATAATAGGGTTGCGGATAAGAAGAGTTGTGAATATACTGGAGGAATCTGATGAGCTATGAAGTTATTTTTCACATATGCCCAGTAGAATGACGATCGAGTGGCAGGTCGCTGTTTAAACGACTGCGTGCCGCTGGGTGCAGTACCCTGCGCTGTTCGAGAGGCTGCCGATCAGACAGCAGACGGGGGTCCTGCTGTACGGCGCCCCCGGCACTGGGAAGACCCTCCTGGCCGCGGCGGTTGCTCACGAGAGTGGCATGAACTTCATCAGCATCAAGGTGAGGCGGCGGTACGGGCGCCTTTGAGAACGTATGTTATATTTTACGTTCGCGCAGTCTAACCCAAAAACATCTATCGTGGATGACGTTGGTCGCCAAAGCCTACGCGTTCAACTTTTAGAACGTGTCGCCACGATCGCGTCCCCAGTCGCGGTAAATGCTGGGCGTTATTAAAATCGTGACGTGTGCTGGTTATTTGATGGGTTTTTTTTGCCGGCAAAGACGTAGGCGTTTGCGCGAGATGAGCACAACGTGAGGGCATGCGGTGTTGTCCGGCACTGTGTGGTGTGTGTGGTGTGTGTGGTGTAATCAAGCGGGTGTTGTCTCCCTGGCAGGGCCCGGAGCTGCTGAATAAGTACGTGGGATCGAGCGAGCAGGCCGTCAGGGACGTTTTTAAGAGGTGAACAGAGACGTGTGGCTCTTGTATTTTTGTATTTTTTTTTTAATCAAGTGCACACTTCCTGAGCGCAGGCCCAAAAGTAAAAAAAAAAACGTCAAGTGGACAACACCCAACGGGCACTATCGAGGTGGCAAAAAATAATCCGGGTTAACGCATACGTCGCTTGACTGGAGCAACGTCATGGTAACAGCATGATAAAAGGGATAACCAGGGGTAAATCCCAAAGTGGAGCATTGTGAGGGGAGAAGCAGAAAGAGGCAGTGGTAGTGTTTTGACCTGCAGGGTGGTGAGTGAGTGGCTGGGTGGCACACAGTGTGAATGGCACGAAATAGCTCGCCTGGTAGACCCGAGTCCTCCACACTGGTGGAGGATTCAATGAGTAAAGTTCACGGGATCGGTAACCGTGGTAGTAGCGACAGGCGAGTGACAAGGAGGCGACTGGCTGGTGGTGAGTGAGTGGCTGGAGCGAATCGCTGAGTGTTGGATCATCAATCGCTTCGACTGTTCTGCCTTGAATGTTGTTGGCTGTGTGTTTACTTCACTGCCTTCCCATCAACACACGGGGGAAATACAGGGTCCAGGTTAAACGGTGAAAGCTTGACGCTCATTCATAATGCAGCATTGTATAAATCATGTGAACGTGGCACGCAGGGCTGTGTGCTCCGCGCGAAATGAAACCCCCAAATATAAAGGTGAAACACTCCCGGCAATAAAAACAAATGTTACATAACGTAGGGTAAGATACACCCCCCCCTTTAAAAAGTGAACAACGAGGAAAATAGAAAATAAATGCCGATCCATTGGAATAAGCTCACCTTGCACGGTCAGTGCAAGGTGAGCTTGTCTGGCCGCGTGGCTGTATGTGCGTCGATGCGGTGTGCAGCCCGCGGAGCAGCCCAGCGGCGCAGCGTCTCAGCATTGCAGCAGCTCCTCAGCTCGGCAGCTCAGCAGCTCAGCAGCTAAGCAAGCGCAGTATTGCAGCAGCTCGGCAGCTCAGCATTGCAGCAGCTCAGCAGCTCAACAGCTCAACAGCTCAGCAGCCCAGCAGCACAGCATTGCAGCAGCCCAGCAGCGGAGCATTGCAGCAGCCCAGCAGCGCAGCAGCTCAGCAGCTCGGCAACCCAGCAGCTCAGCAGCCCAGCAGCTTAGCAGCCCAGCAGCTCAGCAGCACAGCATTGCAGCAGCTCAACAGCTCAGCAGCACAGCATTGCAGCAGCTCAACAGCTCAGCAGCACAGCATCCCAGCGGCGCAGCAGCTCAACATTGCAGCAGCTCAGCAGCTCAGCATTGCAGCAGCTCAGCAGCTCAGCAGCCCAGCAGCTCAGCATTGCAGCAGCGCAGCAGCTCAACATTGCAGCAGCTCAGCAGCTCAGCATTGCAGCAGCTCAGCAGCTCAGCAGCCCAGCAGCTCAGCATTGCAGCAGCGCAGCAGCTCAACATTGCAGCAGCTCAGCAGCTCAACATTGCAGCAGCTCAGCAGCTCAGCATTGCAGCAGCTCAACAGCTCAGCAGCACAGCATCCCAGCGGCGCAGCAGCTCAACATTGCAGCAGCTCAGCAGCTCAGCATTGCAGCAGCTCAGCAGCTCAGCAGCCCAGCAGCTCAGCATTGCAGCAGCGCAGCAGCTCAACATTGCAGCAGCTCAGCAGCTCAGCATTGCAGCAGCTCAGCAGCGCAGCAGCTCAACATTGCAGCAGCTCAGCAGCTCAGCAGCCCAGCAGCTCAGCATTGCGGCAGCTCAGCAGCTCATCCACGACTCAACGAGCCGAGAGCCCAGGAGCATTGCGCAAGCACTCCGCTGCTCTTGAAGCCATTATCTCTCTCAACCAAGCCGCAATGTTAAATTATAGTTCCAGTCGTGTTTTTGAATCGGGCTTTGAGTCCGTTATACGTACCATGGTTCTGTTCTGGGTGACTGCAGTCGCACGTTGACGGAGAGTTTTACATTTTCCATTAGTGCATCAGGTATCCGTGTCTGCTACCATGGTTTGTGTGCATGTGGTTTTGGGGTTGTGGCCCTGTAAGTTTCACGGACGATCAAAGCCGGAGTCTGTCACGAGATGTTGGTTTGTGACTTTTTGTGAACTCCATTTGGCTTTCCAAGCATCAACCAGGGTTGAAGTTGCATCGCTGAAGGTTAAGCGCGTGTGCCACGTAATGATCTTACGATAGTGATTTGACAAAATCGTTACGCGGTCTAACCCGACACTCAGTGATGAATCTGTGTTCGGCACTGACGCTGTGTGGGTCTCGGAAACAGAAGACCTGGCCACAAATGACAGCTCAACGAAGTGGCTTATCGCGTGGAAATTTGTAGCAGCCAAATGCTTTTACAGTGCCAAGCCGCAGGATTGACGCTCTGCCTCGTCGTTGCATTTCGTCCGTTGCAGGGCCCAGGCCGCGAAGCCGTGCATTCTGTTTTTTGACGAGTTTGATTCGCTTGCTCCGCGCCGCGGTCACGACAACACGGGCGTGACGGACCGCGTGGTGAACCAACTGCTCACCCAGCTGGACGGCGTGGAGGGACTGCACGGTGAGGGGGGTTGGCGGCTCCCTTGTTTCACCCGCTGGACGGCCAGAGATGGAGTTCGTGTCACGGCCTCTTTGCGGCACGCCTCCTTCAGCTGGGCCATTACCCTCGTACAATAAACACTCATCCTCTTCCGGCCAGGGGGAAAGTGGAAACAAATGACGAAATTGGCAGTGGACACCTATGGGCTATGTGCCCATGGATCGTGATGATTATTATTCCATCCTATCAGCAGCCTCGTCTAAAATGCTTAAACGTAGCCATTCTTCTTTTCTGTTTTCTTTGAATCCACATGTAACTTTTTGAAGGCAATAAAATGTGTTGTTTTTTTTTCAAGGTAGTTCTTTTCCCCCAATTGTATGCCATTTGCTATTGGAGTCATGAGATGGAGAAATCCATTCGGATCCCTCGCAGATCAGTGCAACCCTTCGTGTTAGAGAACATTCCATGGATGCAGATATCACCGAGCTACCTCTGAGGTCCGTTTAAGTGACCTTTGGCCCACACAGTTGAGGGAAGCACTTTCCCACCCGCTCTGCAGATGAGAGTAACGTCCATTGCATGACAACCTGATATTTAATTCCAAGATATTCAATTTAGCCAAATGCACTCACTGGTGACCGGGCTGAAACCATTAATTCGCTACATTGAGAACCTGGTTTAATAATAATAGGTGACTGCCTGGGTTCGAACCCGGGATGTATGTATGTACGTTGAACTTCTTTCACACCGTACATAGCCAACCATCTTATCCTTGCCAGCTCAGGGCTCTCAACTCTGAGCTTACCTTGTTTGTTTAGGGCACCAATTATATTCGGAGGTGGATTTGTTATGAGCATTCCTGCTTGATTAAACGTGTTAATGATTTTACTCTAATTCCCACCTTTAGTTCATTCAGGGCCCTCCACAGTCCCCATTGCTTGTCGCCGTGTGGAGAGACTTAATCCTGACACAACGAGTGGTGGTGCTTCACAGACAACAGTTGGAAAATATCGTCGTCAGGCCAGGTAGCACAGCTGTAGAGCGAGAGGCTCAAAATCAGAAGTTTGCAAGTAACCATTCTAGTTGTTGGTTGACTCGGCCCATCATCCTTGCGGGGTCGTTAAAATAAATAACCACTTTGTGTGGGAAGTCAATACTGGGTGCCCTATGAATAGACTCGCCCCACCCACCATAGGGGCTCAGGGCTGTAAAGAGGAGTGCGCACCGCCTCATTGCCGCCTTGAGCAGGAAATCACTTTGATTGGGGCATGACGGTGGCGAGATGTTAACTACCTCACCTGGCATACAGGAAGTCGTGGGTTCAGTCCCGACCCTGACGCTAATATAGTTGGAGTTTGCATGATTCCCCCGTGGTCGCGTGGATTTTTCTAGAGGTTCTCCGGTTTTTCCCTCCACATTTAGAACCAACGTGCATTTGGATTATTTGGCTGCTATAAATTTTCACACGACGATAAGCTACTTCGTTGAGCTATCATTTGTAATTGCCACATCACTTCGTGAAAAGAGGTGTGAAGCTCAGTGGGCCTTACACCTGGTAAAATAAAAAAAATATGTTTTATAGTTTACCTTCGATGTCCGTGTTTGGTGTGGTGAACATTCTTGCCGCAGGAGTGTACGTGCTGGCTGCCTCCAGCCGCCCGGACCTGATTGACCCAGCCCTGCTGCGTCCGGGCCGACTCGACCAAACGCTCTTCTGTCCGCCTCCCTCACTGGTGAGCCATCGGGCCCATTGCGCCTTCGTCGCTGCCAAGAGAGCCGCCGGCCGGATGTTCCGCATAGTTTACGCTATACAGGGACTCCTCTACTTGCGTTATGTTCCAGAGGTCTGTTTGCAAGTCGATTTGTTCGTAGGTCCAACTTTACTGCTGTCAATTCCAAACATGTTGCACGGCACGTTCACTAAACAGGAGGAATGGCTTTAAAAGTTGTTTCATCTCCTGTAGATGTCACTGGTTCTTCACATTCTACAGATGTAGATGCCACCGCCACCATCTATTGCGCGGCGATTGAACTTACGACTCGCAGTCCGAACAAGCAACTGGACATACAGACTGGTTTGTTCGTATCTATAAACTTCATAAGTCGAATTTTCGTAAATAGAGGAGTCCGTGTAGTAATCGTAATAATAATGTCAACTTGTAAACCGCCGCCAACGCACAGTTTTAGTTCATTCACGAACAGCTACAACGACTCAAGAGGCTCGAGGAGGAACCAGAGATAAATGCATAGGCAGCCACACGGTTAATTGTCCAAGCTCTACAGTCCTCTACATATTTAGGCCAATTCATGAGTGTTTACATTTAGAGGAAATCTGAGCACCAGGAAGGAAAAACCCACGTATACACGGGGGCAACACTCTTATCCCGTACAGTTGGAACAGGTGGAGTCCACATTTTTGTTGTGGCGAGCCAGGGCACGGCTCCTCCTCAACGCCCACGGGAAGGGAGTTTCCCAGCAACATCTGTGCGGTGATCCACCAACCTTCGCTGCTGCGTCCACAGCGCTGGATTACAGGCGGCCACGTGCGGTAGCAGCATAGCCACCACCGGCCAGCTAAGATGCCTTCTTTGCCGGTCGCCGTGCAGGAGGAGCGTCTGGAGATCCTTCACGTGCTGAGCCGGCCCCTGGTGTTTGCCGAGGACGCTTGCCTGCAGCAGGTGGCTGAGCAGACGGCGGGGTTCACGGGAGCCGACCTCAAGGCCCTGCTCTACAACGCCCAAATGGAGGCCATCAACAGCCTGCAGGCCGACTCCTTTGTCGTCAACAACAACAACAAGGTGATGGCGTCTCTCTTCCACGCAGATTCTGAAACGATCCATACACACAAGAGATGTGAAAATGTTCATATGTAGGATACTGCAACCGATGTTATGATTCGTAATCGACCTTTGGGTCGGGTCACACGAGTAAAATGTGTGTCGTAAAGCCCTCCTCCACATTTGTGGCAACTGCCTGATGATGCCGATTGTAACTTTCAGAGAAACCTTGAATACAGTTGTTAACCCTTTCCCGTTCTGAGACGTTTGCAAGTTTCAGAGTGGGGTGTCCCGTTCACCGCTGAATCTCGGTACATGCAAGCTGTTAGCGTTAATTTTATTTGGAGAGGCATAGGGCCGTCGTTTTTAAAGACATTGTACTCACCGCAAATAACTGTAGCGACACGACCACTGCTCTCTTTGATAGCTGGCGTCAAACTGCTGCACGCGCTCCTGCATGGCCATGTGGGAGCCTCAGTACCGATAAAGTTATTTTATTTTTTCTTCCGATTCCATACGGATGACGTACACGTACACATACGTCATCGCAATGGGAAAGGGTTAAATGTGTGGATCGCTCTCCAATGTCACACCGGTGGGGGCTGCTGAAGCAGTAATAAATTGCCACGTGTGTTCATGTGACAACTTTATTGATTTGGCTGTCTCACGTGGAGGAGGGTGTACAACACACATTTTACTTGCATGATCTGACCCAAAAATCAATGATGAATCGTGGATGTGCACTTCGCACCGTGCTAGTCGGACTCATATTTGCCACGCATTTTTTAGCAGGTAATACTCATGCTTGCGAGTGTGACCCTGTATAGTAGCGTAGTCGTTTGCATGCTGCGCTACAAACCTGCCCGACACCAGTGACGATTATCTGAACTGGTCCTGGGCCTCCCCTTGGTCGACTCAGCCTCAAAATAAGTATGTGGTGCGATGTGTAACATCAGCACTGGGGAGAAAAAGGCGGCCGGGCGCGGAGCTGGCCACTCACCCTCTCGTGTGATGTGCCGGCCTTCATTGGTGCTCACTAACGGCACTTGCCCCAATATTATTATTATTATCTACATTTCCAGTGCTGCACAGGTTTCTCAAATGCTTCATGCCACACTAAACTGGTGTTTCTCAACTGGGGGTACGCAGACCCCTGGGGGTCCGTGGCAATGTCCCAGGGGGTATGTGAGGCGATTCATAAATATATCATACATGAGAGTGATTGGTGAATAATCATATATGAATCTGTCAATAGAAAATAACTATGATAACATTTTAAGCCATATGGTAGCCTAGAACGATATAAAGACCTTTCTAAACTCATGGATTGTAACAATGCGGGTTTCCAAGGGTAACCAGCGAGCGTAAACAAATGACGCCACGCATGTAGAGCGTCCGTTTACTTTTGTTATTCGAAGCAGGTACTCGCTAGTTGGGAATCCTCACAAAATTGACAATTAGTTAAAATATTGATGTTCATTATTCTTACATGTATTTCTCAGAATCATGTTGGTTCAGGCAAGGGGGTATACTCAGTTGAAACGAAATTCAACAAAGGGTAGGTACAGTAGCCAACTAAAGGTTGAGAACAACTGCACTAAAACGTATCCCAGCACACGGAAGCACGGGGTCTCGCTTCAAACTTAATGACGATGAAGATTATGATGCCGCTGCCGTTGTTTTGGAGTTCACCTGGCGGCTGGAATAATCTGAGTTGTTGCCGCAGCAGGAGGGGGGCGCGGCGGGGAGCGAGACGGACAGCCTCTCCTCCATGCTATTCCCCGCGACGAGCGGCGGGTCTGAAGAGTCTGGGCCCGAGTCGGGCCTGGAGCCGTCGCTCACCTCGCTGGATGCCTGTGAGCTGCTGCCCACTGCCGAGGAGCTGCCCCTCCCCGACGTCTGGAGGCTTTACTTCGGCAGCTCCTACGAGTCCGAGATGGGCAATGGACTCTCCTCGGAGCTGGTGGGTAATGTTTTGCCTTCTCGTGAATGAATAATAACCGAGATCTTTGGCGTCGTACGTAGCATCGTTGTCGACGCTGTCGTTCGTGCACATTGTGTCGCTTGCAATCACTAGGGAACCATTGCCGAGCTGAAAGGCAGCAGCCAGGCGGTTAGCAGGTGCTAGCTCAAGCTGTGCAATCTTCTGTGTATTAAAATGTGTTTAGCCAATTAATGAGTTTTGCCAATTAATGGGGCGCCACGGTGGCGAGATGTTAAATACCTCGTGTTGTACGCTGGAGGTCGTGGATTCGATCCCGACCCTGACGCCTGTATATTTGCAGTTTGCGTGTCTCTTTCCCCGTGGTCGCATGGATTTTTCTCTGGGTCCTCTGGTTTTTCCCTCCACATTTTGAATTGTGCGTTTTTTGCATTTGGCTACTCTAAATTTCCACTTCATTTCTAGATTTGAAGCTTTCGTGACTGCAAGGATCCATACTCTTTGGTTCTATTCGGTAAAGTCACGTAGGTAAAAAATAAAACAACAAAAATCACGACGTTTCGGCCACAACACAAGTGGCCGTCATCAGGTGAAGGGGACCGTACTGTCACGAGGACAGCGATGAAGTGAAGACAGTCCAGCCCAGGTCGCGTCCTTTTAAGCTGTGTGGGAGGAAACAAAACGCTTTGACAAAGGAATTAGCATAAAATGACCGAAAAGCACAAGAGAACCGGCACGGAGGGGGGAGGGGGTGTGAAGTGGAACGTAGAGGACCGGCACGGGGGGGGGGGGGGAGTTTACAAATGTAGGTGTGAAGTGAAATAAGCGTCTATGAAAGTTTGGTATGTCACTATTTGGATAAATACTATTGAAAATTAGTTTAATGTTTGGTATGATTTATAATATCTTTCCAATGGTTGCTTAATTTGAAACCATCTTCTTGGTTGAAATTGTGTCTGTGTTTGTAAATCTGAATTGCCTCGTGGATAAATCTCTGATGAAAACCTGTGGGTTTACAAAGGACCTTGGTATCGGAGAAAACTATATCGTGATCACCAACAGCGTTGTAACAGTGGTCAGCTACGGCAGAAGAATTCGTTCTGCCGTGTTTCAAATCTGATTTGTACTCGCGGATTCGGTCAGAGACATGTCGTTTCGTCTCCCCGATATAGCAATCACCACAAGTGCAGCTCAATTTGTAAACCCCGGGGTACTGTAAGTCAGGAATGACATCCTTCACGGATGGGATCAGATCACGAATTTTGTGTACTGTATTGAACCGGACCAGGATCTTGTGTTTGTTTTAGAATTTTGGAGATCTTTTTAGTAACGGCTGCTATATATGGTAGTGTTATGGTTTTGATCGGAGTATCAAGTGGTTGTTTCTGTATGGAGGGAGAAACAGCTTGGCGGATGGTACGGTCAGAGTATCCGTTTCTCTTGAGGGCCAGATGTACATGTTTTAATTCACTGGTCAGGTGGTGTTGATCCGAAATGCAATGAGCCCTGCGGTATAACGTTTTGATGAGAGAATTCTTTTGAGTTGGGTGGTGGTGGGAATCAGGTTTCAAGTAGGAATCTGTGTGGGTGGGTTTCCTGTAGACAGAATGTCCCAATGAGCCATCAGGTCTCCTCTCAAACAAAACATACAAGAATGGCAGCTTACCATTTTTCTCCACTTCCATGGTGAATTTGATGGCGGGATGTCTGGAATTGATGTGGTGTAGGAAAAGGTTTAAAGCTGGGAGGCCATGTGGCCAAATGATGAAAGTGTCGTCTACATATCTCTTCCACAGGGAAGGTCTGAGGGTGGAAGTCTGGATGGCGTCTGATTCATATTTCTCCATGAAAACATTGGCTATCACTGGTGACAAGGGAGAACCCATGGGGGTACCCTCATTTTGTTTGTAGAAGGTGCCATTCCAAGTAAAGTAGGTATCGGTGAGGCATTGCCTAACCAGCGCAGGTGTATCGGGGTCTAGTCCATGTTGTACCAAATTTTCAATTATTTCAACGTTATACCACAGGGCTCATTGCATTTCAGACCAACACCACCTGACCAGTGAATTAAAACATGTACATCTGGCCCTCAAGAGAAATGGATACTCTGACCGTACCATCCGCCAAGCTGTTTCTCCCTCCATACAGAACAACCACTTGATACTCCGATCAAAACCATCACACTACCATATATAGCAGGCGTTACTAAAAAGATCTCTAAAATTCTAAACAAACACAAGATCCTGGTCTGGTTCAATACAGTACACAAAATTCGTGATCTGATCCCATCCGTGAAGGATGTCATTCCTGACTTACAGAACCTCGGGGTTTACAAATTGAGCTGCACTTGTGGTGATTGCTATATCGGGGAGACGAAACGACATGTCTCTGACCGAATCCGCGAGCACAAATCAGATTTGAAACACGGCAGAACGAATTCTTCTGCCGTAGCTGATCACTGTTACAACGCTGTGGGTGATCACGATATAGTTTTCTCCGATACCAAGGTCCTTTGTAAACCCACAGGTTTTCATCAGAGATTTATCCACGAGGCAATTCAGATTTACAAACACAGACACAATTTCAACCGAGAAGATGGTTTAAAATTAAGCAACCATTGGAAAGATGTTCTAAATCATACCAAACATTAAACTAATTTTCAATAGTATTTATCCAAATAGTGACATACCAAACTTTCATAGAAGCTTATTTCACTTCACACCTACATTTGTAAACTCCCCCCCCCCCTCCGTGCCGGTCCTCTACGTTCCACTTCACACCCCCTCCCCCCTCCGTGCCGGTTCTCTTGTGCTTTTCGGTCATTTTATGCTAATTCCTTTGTCAAAGCGTTTTGTTTCCTCCCACACAGCTTAAAAGGACGCGACCTGGGCTGGACTGTCTTCACTCCATCGCTGTCCTCGTGACAGTACGGTCCCCTTCATCTGATGAAGGCCACTTGTGTTGTGGCCGAAACGTCGCGATTTTTGTTGTTTTATTTTTTACCTACGTGACTTTACCGAATAGAACCAAAGAGTAAGCCACTTCATTGATTATATTATCATTTCTGTCCACGTCACTTTTGAAATAGAGCTACATAACTCAGTGGGCCTTGCCTGAGTGTTTCTAAACCTTGAGAGGAAACCGGAGCACCTGGAGAAAACCCATGCATGCGAGGGGGCAACACTCTATCCCATGCAGAAGGGTCGAGATAAAATTTGTCCGCCTTCTGGTAAACCAGAGTATGGTGCCTTGATGCTCACGGGATAGGATTTTCATAACATTGTTGTGATCCATCGTTGACTCAGGCCACGCAGGAAGCATCCCTGAAGCAGCAGCTGCAGTGGGCGCTGGGCCAGTCGGTGCTGTACATGCCGTCCCTGCAGCAAGGCTTCTGTGAGCTGAGTCCAACGGAGACCGATTCCCGCCGCGCTGAGCTCTCTCTCATCATCGAGAACGGACGCGCTGTCCACGGTGTGGACATAAAGGTGCGGTATGGCCACCCACATTCGTGTTTTTTGCAATTTGAGCAGATTACCGTGCATCTTTTTTATCTCTTTTTTCACGGCAGGGGGTAACATGGTACCTCGCCTGGTATACAGGAGGTCGTTGGTTCGATCCTGACCCTGACGCCTGTATATTTGGAGTTGACATGTTCTCCCAGTAGTCGCTTGGATTTTGATCCGGGTCCTCTGGTTTTTCCGTCACATTTAGGATCAACGTGCTTTTGGTTTATTTGGCTGCTATAAATATTTCTACGTGATACGCCACTTGGTTGAGCTCTCATTTGTGTCCAGATCACTTCTCAAAAAAAGCTTTTAAAGCTCAGCGGGCCTTACACCTGATAAAATAAACAAATAGTTCAGTTAAACACTCGTGCCTCACAGCAAGACGATACCTGGGTTCGATTCCCGACACGGGGCGCCCTTCTGTGTTGAATTTGTGTGGACTCCCTCTGTTCTGCGTGGGTTTCCTCTGGGTTCTCCGGTTTCCTGCCATAGCTAAACAAAACCTGTTTCGCCCAAACATCCCAATTCTGAAAAATTACCTGCAAATAACTCAACTGGGCTTACAGACAGCAATATCACCCCCTGCAGTAGAAACCTGGCAGAACCGTCCTGTGAGACTTTCCTAGATAAATAAGCATACATAAAACAAATACAAAATTTAATTAATGAGTATCCATGAATGTGTATATGTGTGTTTAGAACGGTGAAACACAAGCTGATAATGAGAAGACAATGAAGAGACTGCAGATCAAGCAATCCCATCTGCTGGCTGCGTTGGCGAGCACATGTCCTTCGATCTCCAGTGAAGACTGGGCAGTATTTAACAAGTTGTGAGTGCCCCTGCTCGCAGTGCTGCTTCTGCTGCCCTTCAACTAGCCGTGGTGGCGGAGTTGCTGCCATCACATCATTCGGCTGAGCGGTCGAGTGAGCGGCTCGCAATCGGAGGGTTGTGAGTTCAGATTCCGGTTTGGGGGGGGTTGACTCAGCCCATCATCCATCCAAGGTTGATAAAATAAGCTCCATATTTTGGGGAAGGCAACAGTGGCTGTTCTATGGATAAACTCGCCCCCGTCATAGGAATGTAGAATGTACACCACTGGCTTATGGCAGTACATTGGAGACACGAGCACTGCCTCATTGCTCATTTGAGCAGCAGGAAGTCACTTGGCTTTCACTTGAGCGTGTGCCAGTTACGCACGGTGGTGTATTTCGGTGCGTGTGGTGGTGCACTCCGTTGCGTGTGATGTTTTTTGTATTGTTGTAACTTTCTGACCCGCCCCTACTGTACATCTGTGAAAAAGAGCTTAACAGCTCATCGGATTCCTCCAGGCTAAATAAATATTCTGATTCCGACTTGTTTGGAGTCTATTGCGACACTCGTGCGGCCTCATTCTCACTGGGTGCCTTCTCTTCTCATTCCAGATACAAAAACATCAGAGGCTGCCAAGAGAACAGTGAAGGCGACAGGACTCGTTCCCCTCTCCAAAGAGTCACCCTCGCTTAACCGATGATGCTTCACACTCGAGCGGTTGCATTGACGGTGGTGTCGGCACACAGGGCAAAGCACCCGTTACGACAGCCATCAGATTCTAAATTGAGAACTCATTTCTTTAGAGCCACTTTTTGTGTTTAGTGTTGTTTTCCTTTCCCCGCACCTCTGATTAGCACGTTTGGCTACGTACGGTGCGAAAGAAGTTCCGTGTACATACGTATTAACACTGACGGATAACAAAAATATCGTGACACAGGCCACGTAATGATCAACGTCGGATCTAATTGATTCATTTGGTTGTGAGAAATGTTCTTCCAACTCATCGTTGGCATGTCGTCAAACGCTTGACCACCACGTGAAAATTCCTTAGGCTGTGTCAGGTGGCGGAGGGTGCTGTGGTAGAAACTTGGCCAGATCATCACACAGCCCCAAATCCAATAATCAATTTTGAAAAATATCTTGGCTGCTGTTGGCTTTTTATGAGCGCAGAGGGGAAAGCGGCGCATTTTTAGTTGTAGTGTTGAAACTGCGCTTTACAAGGTATTGAATACATTTTGGATAATTGCTGACAGTTTTCTATTGTCAGATACCGGGTATCAGAAAAAGATTAAGTTTATTGTTTTAAAATAAGGATATATAACACTCTACGATGTAATAATTTTGCTATCGAAGGTGCAGTAGGTGATGACAGTAGTGTGTTGGCTGGCAGAATTTGGGGCTACTGATTGGTCTGCTATCGCAGTTAGCCTTATTGTAATCGATTATTGATAGGGATGTGATGCGTGGAGCTCTTTCAGCTATGATTGTGCCTCTATTTAGCAGAATGACGGGTCTTTTAATATATCAGTTGTTTAAAATTGTGCTCTCGTGTTTAAAACATAATTTAATCACTGCTCACGTTTCCCTTTCAATCTGCTCAATAAGAGCCATTACTTGAAACGGTGCTACAAGGTAGTATTAATGACAACGTTCAAAACAAAACAGACAAGCTAGGAAGGCTGCCAGGCGGTGAGCCGGCACCAACAATTGCTCTGTAGTTCTCTATTAAGATAATTTTCAGCCAATATGTGGTGTTTATTATACATGTGGCAGAAATATGGAGCATTTGGAGAAAACCCACACATGTTGTGAAGGGGCAACACCCTATTTCCATACAACTCCGATTTGCACGGTTGGCTACGTACGGCGCGAAAGAAGTTCAGCATAAATGCATTCAATGTACAGATTATATCAGTGTGCACGTTGCTGTTCTGCATCCTGCTGGCGGGCCCCAGGGTACTTGCACCTTGATACCCACGGGAAGGGAGTCTCGCTCCGTTTTGTCATTCGTGAGATCCACCAAACCCTAGCGGCATCCACAGTGCTGGATGACAAGCCACGTGGCTAGCCACCGCTGCCAGGCGGTGTTGAGGTTGCTCTTAGTTTCGCTGACAAAACTCTCACACCCAAACTGCCTCGGTGAGGAGTATATGAAAAATAGGCTGCCCGTGCCGCGCAAGCAAATACGCCAATATAGCATGGGTCCTATGTAATGTTTTTAAAATGATCTTTTAAAGTTTAACTGCAAGACCGGGTAATTATTTTCAGAATTGTAAATAGTAAAACTCTGACTTGTACATTGTATTTAGTAATTTGCAGACGATATGATGTATCTGATAACTTAATTATAACAAAAAAACACGTCTTCAGATTTACAGATAATTTAAACGTTACGTTTACAATTTCATCTTCTGGAATGCACTGATAATAAATAATTTTCAATGATGGCTCATCTTACATTCGGTGTATTTTACTGTGAATGTTAGCAGTGGATGCTTGTGCGCTCCCACTGCTAACGCAGTAGCAGCATCAGCAGACCATTTGACTTGGAGGTAAAAACCTCGGATGTGGAGGGAGGTAAAATCTCTGATCTGAAAGTAAAAAAGCCTCGGACGTGGAGGTAAAACCTCTGATCTGAAAGTAAAAAAGCCTCAGACGTGGAGGTAAAAACCTCTGATCTGAAAGTAAAAACCCCAGACGTGGAGGTAAAACCTCTGATCTGAAAGTAATCTCACGCGGAGGTAAAACCTCTGATCTGAAAGTAAAAACCTTAGACGTGGAGGTAAAAATCTCTGATCTGACAGTAAAAACAACAGACGTGGAGATAAAAAAAACCTCTGATCTGAAAGTAGAAACCCTCAGACGTGGAGGTAAAACCTCTGATCTGAAAGTAAAAACCTGAGACGTGGATGTAAAAACCTCTGATCTGAAAGTAAAATTCTCACGTGGAGGTAAAACCTCTGATCTGAAAGTAAAAACCCCACGTGGAGGTAAAACTTCCGATCTAAAAGTAAAAACCTGTGATATGAAAGTAAAAACCTTAGACGTGGAGGTAAAATCTCTGATCTGAAAGTAAAAACAACAGACGTGGAGGTAAAAAAAACCTCTGATCTGAAGAAACCCTCAGACGTGGAGGTAAAACCTCTGATCTGAAAGTAAAAACCTCAGACGTGGAGGTAAAAATCTCTGATCTGAAAGTAAAAACCTCAGACGTGAAGGTAAAAACCTCTGATCTGGCAAGGGCGCTTCACGGCCCCATTGCAGGCCCCGTCCCTATGGCGACGCGACGCGCGCGCGGGGTACGCCGGGAGCTCGGGGCCTGGGCGAGGTGAACGCGGCGCGGTGAGAGGCTCGGCGTGAGACGGAGAGAGAGAGCGTGAGAGAGATAGAGAGAGCGTGAGAGAGATAGAGAGAGAGCGTGAGAGAGAGAGACGGAGAGAGAGAGCGTGAGAGAGAGTGAGAGAGCGTGAGATAGAGAGAGATAGAGCGTGAGAGAGAGAGGGAGAGCGTGAGAGAGAGTGAGAGAGATAGAGAGCGTGAGATAGAGCGTGAGATAGAGAGAGAGCGTGAGACGGAGAGAGTGAGAGAGAGAGAGCGTGAGATAGAGAGAGTGAGAGAGAGCGTGAGACGGAGAGAGCGTGAGAGAGGGAGATAGATAGAGAGGGAGAGCGAGAGAGAAAGAGCGTGAGAGAGCGTGAGAAAAAGCGTGAGAGACGGAGAGAGCGTGAGAGAGTGAGATAGAGCGTGAGAGTGAGATAGAGAGCGTGAGAGAGAGTGAGATAGAGAGAGAGCGTGAGAGAATCGATGCTGCCGAAATTTTGCATGCGCAGAAGATCTTGTGGTTGATGGGAAGTGTCGCTATTCCACTTTTTGTTCCGTGGAGGGGACAGATGTGTAAAGGAGATGTATTGTCAGCTTATCTAACTTGTTAAGATGGAATGATAACAGCGGATATCCACGAAACTGACCATATACATGTACTTTGTTAACTTTAATATTAATCTCAAATAGAAGAATGCCAGCGAACCCAGTGGGACAGCGCGGACGTCTGTAATAAATACCCAAACATCACGCCTCCTGGCTTTGACGTTCCCTGAAGACACGGGTGTCTTCAGAACATCATCAGGCCGAATGTAGAAATACAATACAATTATATTAAAACAAAAAACAATCACGACGTTTCGATCACAACGCAAGCGATCTTCATCAGGTGTCAAGAACAAATCACGGAGGTAAATACAACTTTGTTATCATGAGGCCGATTCGCGCACGTCTTCGCGCGTGTAAAATTAAAGACGAACCACAGTCGCGCGATTGTGGCCATGAAATCCAAACTGCAGACGGTGGAGTAAACCATTGGGGTGTCTGGACTCCTTTTCAATGGGAGGAATAGGAAAACTACACAAAGTCTCTGCTCTTCTTCTTTGGTTCTTTCGGTAAAGTCACGTAGAATGAGAATAAAATAATAAATTGATAAAATAAAATAACAATAATATTCTGTGACCAGTAACAAGCTAATCACTCAGCTATTTCAATGCTAAATTCTATGCTAATTTCCTTTGTCAAGGGGTGCCTCTGCGGATGTGTATGCTTTGACTTTAACATAGCCATTTCTGTGACCAGTCACAAGCTAATCACTCAGCTATTTCAATGCTAAATTCTTTGCTAATTCCTTTGTCAAGGCGCTTTGTTTCTTCTCACACAGCTTAAAGGTCGCGATCTGAGCGTGGCTTTGTTCGCTCCAGCGCTGTCCTCCAGACAGCCTCGTCCCTTCACCTGATGAAGGCCGCTTGTGTTGTGGCCGAAACGTCGTGAGAATTTTATTGTGTTATTTTATTTTATCAATTTATTATTTTATTCTCATTCTACGTGACTTTACCGAAAGAACCAAACAAGATGAATCCTTGCAGTCACCAAAGCTTTAAATCGAAAGTCTCTGCTGAAGCCCTCTTGCGGCGAGCAGACCTCGGCATTGGCATTTAGCTCCCGCACGTATTGCCACGGGCAAGAATATGAATTACAAAGAATTGGTAAAAAAAACAAAACGTAAACTTTGAATTGCATGTTTCAGCTCAGGTATGGCGGGAATGCGGGGTGAGCACATCATGCTGGTGCCCGAGGAGGAAGAGGAGGACCTCTACTCGGGCTACAATGAGTACAACCCCACCTACGACATTGAGGTGCAGCGTTGCAATACGTGCACAGTGGCGTGTGAGTGCGTGTTGTGGCGAGACGTTAACTTGCCATCGTCTGGAACGCAGGAGTTCGTGGGTTCGATCCCGTAACAGACGCCGGGATATTTGGAGTTTGCATGTCTCTCTCCCCGTGACCGTGTGGATTTTCTCCGGGTCCTCTGGTGTTTTCGTCTACATTTGGAATCAACATCACGCGTTTAAGAGTATTCGGCTGCTATACATTTCAACATGATAAGCAACTTCGTTGAACTCTACAGTGTATGGTACTCCTTAAGGGGATCCTCTTCTCATTCTCTGCAATTTTGATGTATTTGTTGTTGCTGATGCTGCTGTGATTTTTTTGTTTTATTTTTGACCTAGGTGACTTTACCGAATAGATCCAAAGAGTATGGATGCTGCTGTGCCCACGCACCACGGATTCCCCTTGTAAAACAGTCGTGCAACTGGCCAATTGGGACCATCCGTGTAACAAATCAAATAAACTCAAACATATGTTAGTGTGTGCAGTGTACAGTCCAAATGATCAAAATTGCAGTATCTGTGCAGTACGGTACTGTAGTTATGTCCTGGGTCACCGCAGTGGCGAGATGTTAACTCTCTCACTTGATATGCAGGAGGTCGTACGGATCGATCCTGACCCTGACACATGTATATTTGGAGTTTGCATGTCTCCCTGTGGTCACGTGGATGTTTTTTCCGGGTCCTCCGGTTTTTCCCTCCACATTTAAAAATATGCGTTTGGAGCATTTGGCTGCTGTAAATTCGCATATGATAAGCCACTTCGTTGAGCTATTGTTTATGGCCAGGTCGCTTCTGAAAAATAGCTATATAGCTCAGTGGGCCTTACATGGTAAAATAAAATAAGTAAATAGCTGTTGAATGTGGGTGCCTCAAATATTTGAGGAAATACCCACTCCCTGTGAATCTGATGTGCCATGTGTTGAGGATGTGCTAACGGCAATCCGGAGCTTGAAACCAGGTAAAGTGCTGGGTAGAGGTGATTTCTCAAGCAAGCTGCTGAGGGAGAGTGGTGTATGTGTGCACATTGCCCTATGTGATAAATGGTCCCCATTTTTGGCTGTACCAGAGGAATTTTCATCTGGTACAGATACAATGGTAGGCTGATTGATGCCTGGATGCAATCGAGGGATGGCCCCCTATTGGTAAACCATTTTACGTAATCTGAGAACGAGGACTCTGAGAAGGAGTTGGAGGCTCTACTGCAGTTGGAGACATGCCCTCCAGTAACAACGGACAGTGGAGGAATGAAGCTGACAACAATGATCTGTGGTGGGCAAGGCTACGTTGGCTGGTCATATAGCCACAATGCCCAGCCACCGCATGCCCAAGCAGCTTCTGTTTGGCCAGATAGAGGGGACTAAATGAGCACAACACAGACTGGAAAAGAGATGGACTCATGCGATACAGGAGGATGTGGAGCTGAGTGGACTTGCTGAAGACTAGTACCAACAGTTTCAAGTTCGGCCTCTATGGAGGAGGCTCGTGAAGGAAGCTACTGGGCAGGTGGAGATAGTCGCCCTTCAACAACAATGGAGGATAGAGGAGTGACACTCACAACAATGAGCAGAGCACCGGCTGGCTAAAACAAAGCAAGTTGGCACAGTGGGGAGCATAGTTGGTAAATGGTCTGTCCCATGACCTACCAGCGAGCCTTCGACACCTCACATCGCCTCAAAATGCACCTAGCCTGGCACAAGCGCCATGATGATGCCACTGCCACTTAGCGGTGAACGGTGGTTGTGTCTGTGGGGAGTGGTGGTGCATTGGTTTGGTGTGCTACGCTATAAACCTTGCGAACGGAGTTTGAGTCCTGCTCACGGTCATTATCAGTTACAAATATTTGAACTGGTCCTGCACCAGTTCAGTCTTAAATGAGTACCTGTGTGATGTATAAACATGATCAGGAGGGAGACAAACGTGGCCGGGAGTGGCTCTGACCACCTGCCCTGTCGTGCGCTGTGCCTGCCTTCATAGGTGCTTGCTAATAGTACTTGCCCCTACAGTCTGTAAAAGGCTATAGGGGGATCTTTGTCTTTTAGTTTGTGTGAGAGTACAGGAGGGTCTGAGTGTGTGGGAATGTGTGGTGTTTGCATCTTCTGCATGGGTTTCCTCCAGTGTCCTTCCATCGTAAACAAAAACAACAACAACATCACTCCCTACTGTGAAGACTGTGCAAGGTCCTCCTGAAAAATGGTCTTGATACTCGTTGAGGCTTTCCTGGTTAAACAAAGGGCATAATAATTACATGCTAAAGCACCAGCTTGAAATGCACAGCACGTGCCCATCTGTTGGAGAAAGCTGTGAAGAAGTCGGTGCATTCCAGTTCATTCACCTCTGCATGTCACCTGAGACACGGAAAACTCAAGGCAGAGTTTGCAGTTTCCGCAGACTGGCAGTGGCGCAAATGTGATGAGTGTAACTAGTAGCCCTGTGCTGATGTGGTTACAAAACTGATATCATGGTAATAAAAAATTGTAAGTCGACAGTAAAACCTCGTTATTTTGGTATTTGATCATTCGTGATTGGGGATAACTCGGCACGGCTGCGCTTTCTGCATATATACGGTATATTAGTAATTCGCCATGAGCCGAATTGCCGTACCGAATGGTTCAATTCCGGCATACACGTGGAGCGACGCCACGTGCCACAACCAAAACAACGGCTCAGTCTGGTGGCGGTGCGCGTGGTGAGCGTCAGTCCAGACCTGTCGCTTTGGACTTTACCTTGCTTATGCACTCTGTGCAAGCCAACCCTCTCAGAAATGTCGTCTACACCTACATCAAGAAGTAATAGAAAGGGACGGAAGTATAAATCCCTCAGTCTGCGAGACAAATGCAAGTTGTTGGATGGAATTAATGCAGGTGTGTTAATGCGTATGGTGTGTGAAGAGTTTGGAAAACACATTTGGAAAAAAATATTTTGTTGGGGCAGGAGGGACTGGGGAGTACCATTGTACAGTGAGGGAAAAAAAGTATTTGATCCCCTGCTGATTTTGTACGTTTGCCCACTGACAAAGAAATGATCAGTCTATTATTTTAATGGTTGGTTTATTTGAACAGTGAGAGACAGAATAACAACAAAAAAATCCGGAGAGGCTTTCCTGCATACACAAATGCCATTGTTATTATTAATATTACAGATGCATTTTTTTAAAATCAATATACAACATAAGTCTACAGAGCATTGTAAGCCAATTACCAGGATCCATGCACACATGTGTCATGCAGTCATTCCTCATCATATGGCAACTCAATATACGGAATTTCTCGATAATGTGCAATAAAAAAACATAAAGCAATTTCCTTGAATGTAAGTGCTGTGTGGTATTTTTCGTTTTGCAACTTATTTTGGGTACACAGTATTAATATTTAATCAAATGATCTATTTTTCATGAAATATGTGCTTCATTTTTTTTTACATTATTAAGTTTAATTAAATTATGCATTGGGGCCGGAATTGTGTCAGTAAGAACTCATAAAATGGAAGTCGATGGGAAAATAGGTATCGATTTACAATATTACAATATTACAGGAACGTATCTGTTCGCCATTTTGAGGGATGCGTGGATTCTCTGGTGTCCCATGTGCAGCTGCGTTTCCCTTGTTTACAGAGCTGAGCTGTGGATCTTCAGCTACTCGTATAGTTGCTTTATTGATTACAAAGGGGCCACTGAAACTTAATGTGAATCATTGAGGTTTATGACGCTCTGTGCATGTGTTCATGAGCGTTAGTGTAGCGGTTAGTGCGCTGCACTACGAACCCGGCGAGCCAAGTTCGATTGTGACAATTATCTGAACCCATCCTGGGCATCCCCTAGGTCGACTCCGCCTCAAATGACTTCCCGGTGCCGTGTGTAAATATCGCCGCTGGGGAAACAAAGGCGGCCGGGCGTGGTGCTTGCCACCCACCCCCTCGTGTGCCATGCCAGCCTTCATAGGTGGTGCTCGCTAACAGCACTTGCCCCAACATTCTGTTAAGGCTACACGGGTGATCTTTGTCTTTGTGTGTCCAGGAGCTGGAGAATGACCCAGGCTTTCAGCAAGCCGTTAAAACAAGTCATGGCCGCAGACCACCGGTGAGTCAGAACCACTCGTGCTGCAAGTTTTATAATGTAGCCTGCGGTGGAAACATACACAGTATTCACCTTGATGCATACTTACAGCTCTGCCTTGTGTTTCATTTGCATGCAACGAAAGTACTTTCAAATGTAACAAGAGACCTACAAAAGGGTCGGAAATAACAGTAAGATCTTGAGCTAAGTGGGTAAATGGCGAGGAACAGAGCCGATAGTTTGAGAGAGCTGCAGCGAAGAGAGCGCAAATAAAATCCGGTCACACTCCTGTGCAGCCCCTTGGGTTTCGATGCGTGAGATGAGTACACGGAGTAATACCCCAGCTACCTGATCCCTGGCTACCTGGAATTCGCACTCAGCCGATGTGGCAGAGGACGACGGGGAATGCATGCCACCAAATATATTTCATTTTTGTACCATTTATATAAAAGACTTCTCCAAGTATGACAATGTTTTCATGACACAACACTGTTAAATTAAGGTCTCCGACAGTGTAAGCGAAGGTGATCTGTCCCCCCCCCCCCCCACTCTCTTAGTCTACTGTGTACATTTATCTTATAGCATTGATAATGATGGCAATATCAAGTCATTTAAGTCTGCTCATACCACAGCCAAATGGTTGCGTCAGTTTTGAACACTCATACACACGTATTTATACAGGGTGTTTATAAAAGATGGACCCGATTTGAAATCGCTATGTCTTTGAAATGGTGTCAATCTTTTTGAAACACCCTGTATATAGATGTACACATAAGTATACATGTGTATTCCATGCCGCAGTCACACGTGTATTTCCCATGTACAATGTAACTGAGCTGCCATTGTTCCCTGATGATCCCATTTCCTCATGACCTCATCCCTCCATGACACTGTTTACATTTTCAGTTTTCAGTTTTTTCATTTATTTGGTATAGCCCTGTGAGCCATTCGGCTCTTGAATCGGGTGCAACCGCAACAAACAAAAAACAAAAACATGAACAAGAAAACATCTTAAAGTAACTATGTGACTGTGCAAACAGAAAATCCAGGAAAAAAACAGCAAAATATTCCTGAAAAAGCACCGTACATCAACACTGTGTGCAAAAATCCCATGACTGTTAGTACCATGCTAATGGTGCCGGTTGATATTAGTGGTGATCTAACTGTGTGTGTGTATCTGGTTCTGCAGATGACAGCCAAGGTTCCAGGCACAGCAGCAGTGAGAGCTCCCGGAACTGCCATGATGGTGAGGGCAATGTGGACATTGATGAAACTGATGATAAGATGAGGTGGCTCAGAGGTCAGAGCACTGAGCTGGCACCTCTGGGATCCTCCGATCGAATCTGGGTGTCTGCCCGTAACTAAACTGCGCTCTCAAATTTAGCCAGTTTGTGGTCTCAACTCGGTTACCAATGACTACATGAAAACCATCCGATAAAATGTAGTTTTGTTTTTAATTTTCCTGAATAAGGAAAATTGATTTGACTATAGTGCAATGAGCATTTCTGTCTGTAGCATAGCATGGATAAGACATCACCTGATATTTCAGAAGCACTTGATTGATAGCACCTTCCTTGGTCCATTCCATAACACAGGGTGATGCATTGCTGTGAGATTCATGGAAAGACAAAATAGGCACAAGATTGTGGTAAAATATTAAAATGAATACTTAAAATAATATAATACTGGAGATGTGTCTTTGTAATGAGTGACTGTTGGTGGTACCCGTTCGAAAGTGCATTTATTAGGAATTATAATAAAATCTGTATTGGCCACAAGTCAGAAATTACATTTTAAAGGTGTACCTACCTTTAAAATGTCTAAATCTTGGTTTTGTTGCCTGTTTTTATATACTGTATATTGAACGTATCTGTTGCACTTGATTGAATTCTATACATTTCATAAACCATCATTAAATATGTCCAACATTTTTTAAGTAGAATGTGTGAACCTTGACCAGTTTAAATGTGTTCTGCTGTGTTCTGTAACCCACTTTAAACATTCTCATTAATAACAAATAGGACACGTCCTAGCTTTGTGAATATTTTTTTTCTCTTGTGTGTGAAGATGAGAAATCGTCTGGTTTCATCCATAGGAGGACGACCCATTACTGGGGCTGTGCAGGTAACCACAGACACTGGAAGCGCACACACACATTAAACACACAGACTTTGTGAGGTTGCTGGGTGTTTCAAAAGGCTTACGCTCTGTGTTAAGAGCATTGATCAAGCATCATCATGGGCCCATGGTACAAATAATTCAAAGCTCCGACCTACTTTGTTGCAAACGTTTGAAGTATGGTGAATTTGATGGTTCTCCATGGTCACCAATTACCCCACAAAAAAACAAGTGCATGTTATTAGGGGCACTGCAGTGGCGAGATGTTAACTCCCTCACATGGTATACAGGAAGTCGTAGGTTTGATCCCGATCCTGACGTCTATATATTTGGAGTTTGCATTTTCTCCCCGTGATCGCGTGGATTTTTCTCCGGGTCCCCCGGTTTTTCCCTCCACATTTAGAAAAATGCCTTAAGAGTATTTGGCTGAATCTTGATTTGAAGCTTTATAGCAGCCAGTATTTGGCTGCTATAAATTTCCACTTTATAAGCCACTTTGTTAAGCTATCATTTGCGGCCAGGTCGCTTCTGCAAAAGAGCTATACAGCTCAGTGCACCTTACATGGTAAAATTAAAATGTTTAGTTGAAATAGTTTAGTTTATTAGTCCATCACTGTGCAGGATAAGTTTGCGGATCATTCTTTTATCACTACGTGCTGTGGAACTCCCAACCTGATGAGCTGCAAGGTGGTGAGGAGGTGGTGGCGGCACATTCGATGGACCTGCGACCCGTTTGTCTCAGGCATTTCCGTTTTATTGCCCCACGAGCAAAACAGTCCTGGGGGCGACAAAAGCAGGCTTGGCATGGCGCTACTGGTCACTCCGCTTCAGCATGGGTTGTGGTGGCCAATATAGGGTGCTCGCTAACATTCTCTGATGGATTTGTAAGACTTAAGAGTCGAGGATCTGTGTGCCTGTGACAATGTGTGCCTGTGACGATATGTGCCTGTGACAATGTGTGCCTGTGACAATGTGTGCCTGTGTGCCCGTGTGCCTGTGACAATGTGTGCCTGTGTGCCCGTGTGTGCCTGTGTGCAGGATGGTAGCCCCGGAGCCCGACCCTTGACAGCTGTACGAGCTGCTGGGTACAGCTCCATGGGCTCGAGAGGTAACTCGCTTCACCACCGTTATTTCCTGCTACCCTCTCACTTTGAGATGTATTCCCCCCTGCTAGCGTTGCTCGTTTTAGGCGGTACAGGAAGCTGTGTCTATCTTTTATTTGGATGGCATCATGTTAAAAGTTGCTTTCATTTCTGTTACATGTGAATTCAAAATGATATCCATAGGATTTTGATGGGTGTTTCCAAAATGGTCAGCAGTTTTTTTTTTAAAGGTGTGTTTACATTTCAGACTAAAATGAGTAGCAGAAGATTTTAGGTGTTCTTCATTACGAACTTATGTGGTTGATCTAGCAGACAGACATCAGCTCGTCCACTTGCGCTCGATTCGTAACAAACATACTCATGAACGGCACCTGTTTGGCTGACAGCTTTGGTACTCGAAAGGTTGATCCTGAACGGATTCGGTGTTTGCTGATGAGCAGGTTAATACGCATCAACTGAGTTACTTTGAAACATCTGTAAGATAACACCGATGTGATGTGTGTGAGTCTACGTGTGAGTTATGAGTTGCACGTATTGTTATGTTTTGGTCAGGCGCTGCGTTTGACCCAATGGGCCAGTCCCGAGGACCAGCACCTCCACTGGAGACAAAAGGAGAGGACACGTGAGTTTGTGTGGCAAGTGACCTGTGCATGCATGACTTGCAGTGGTTGGCTGTAACTATGTGTATTTTTTATATCTGAATATTAAATGTCTACAGCTTAGACCAGGGGTGGCCAACCTGTAACAGACTAAGAGCCAAAAAGTACCCATGAGTTCTGCAAAAGAGCCTATATTGCCAATTTTTTGGTAGAGCACAGGAGACATTCTTTCCTACTGTAATTATACGTTCTACATTATGCCCCTTTGATAGAACCACATTTGGCCACCGCTGGTTTAGATGGTCAAACCATTGCTTCTTTTCTGCAACATCAGACTTTATTTCAGCTCATAATGCCCTTTGAGCTCAGCAGCTCTGTTACAAGGACAACCACAGCGCAAGACCGTCGGCAGTGGCAGCAGTTATGGACATTGCAGGGTGGGAATGTGTAAAATAACCAAAACAAAAACAACAAATCTATATCTATAAAAGTAAAAAATTGTGTGTGGGTTTGTGGCGGGGTTTGTGTGGTCGCGCGCTTGGCTCTCCAAACATGAGGTTTACCTAAAACAAAAAATAGCCAGGTACCACGCCGTAAGCCCCGCGGTGAGAAAGCGCTATTCCTTTTTCACATCTGTCAACTTTAAATTAGTTTAATTAGCGATTTAGTGCGATGTTAGTGGGCTTCCCATTTACTTATTTATGACGCGTGCACGACCATGCCAATTCACGCGCCGTTTGTGGGGGGGACGGCCCATGCCAAGTCGTACACCTTCGGTGGGAGTGAGGGGGACATTTTTTTTGCGTTAAAAATGCTATAAAAATACACTAAACGCTCAGGTAAATTCTTCACTGTGCGATGTCCCCCCCCACCCCGATGCGTGCAGTTATTACCACTATACAGTCACTAGTTGCTACCACTATAGGCCGTAGATATTACTGCAGAGCGGCCGGGGAGATCGTGGCTAGTGGCGGGGGGGGGGGGGTTAGGGGTAGCAGCCCAGCCCCAGCCTGCCAAGGTGCCAGCTCGGCCGGCTGGACAATCTAGGCGAGGCCGGAGGCTCTGCACAGGACTAGGCCTAACCACGCCACTCTATACAGTCGATAAATACTGCTATAGAGTCAGCATGTACTACTGTAGTGATAGCAGGTACCACCACAGTCGGTATGCACTGCTGTAATCATAGCAGGTACCACCACAGTCAGTATGTACTGCTGTAATCATAGCAGGTACAACCACAGTCAGTACGCACTGCTGTTAGATTTTTAAGAGTAGTTTTGAATTATTTTTAAGACCCGGGCAACGCCGGGTACTTCCCGCTAGTTATTTATAAATGAAACCCATGCCAAAACGTATTGAAAACAAGATGATCAGCAATGTACAGTGAGGGAAAAAAGTATTTGATCCCCTGCTGATTTTGTACATTTGCCCACTGACACAGAAATGATCAGACTATAATTTTAATGGTAGGTTTATACTGGTAGGAACGAAGTTGTAAACTGAGTGTACCAGCCTGCAATAGATTAATGTGTCCGTCCGTCCGTCCGTCCCCTTTCAATACTTTAACGAAGTGAAATCTCGTGCTGTTGGGTGTAATAAAATTGCGCAAAATTCCAATGTTCCTACCAGCCCACCCTGCAGGGACCTGTTTTGAACAGTGAGAGACAGAATAACAACAACAAAATCCAGAAAAACGCATGTCAAAAATTTTATGAATTGATTTGCATTTTAATGAGGGAAATAAGTATTTGACCCCTCTGCAAAACATGACTTAGTACTTGGTGGCAAAACCCTTGTTGGCAATCACAGAGGTCAGACGTTTCTTGTAGTTGGCCACCAGGTTTGCACACATCTCAGGAGGGATTTTGTCCCACTCCTCTTTGCAGATCTTCTCCAAGTCATTAAGGTTTTGAGGCTGACATTTGGCAACTCGAACCTTCAGCTCCCTCCACAGATTTTCTATGGGATTAAGGTCTGGAGACTGGCTAGGCCATTCCAGGACCTTAATGTGCTTCTTCTTCTTCTTGAGCCACTCCTTTGTTGCCTTGGCCGTGTGTTTTGGGTCATTGTAATGCTGGAATACCCATCCACGACCCATTTTCAATGTCCTGGCTGAGGGAAGGAGGTTCTCACCCAAGATTTGACGGTACATGGCCCCGTCCATCATCCCTTTGATGTGGTGAAGTTGTCCTGTCCTCTTAGCAGAAAAACACCCCCAAAGCATAATGTTTCCACCTCCATGTTTGACGGTGGGGATGGTGTTCTTGGGGTCATAGGCAGCATCCTCCTCCTTCAAACACGGCGAGTTGAGTTGATGCCAAAGAGCTCCATTTAGGTCTCATCTGACCACAACACTTTCACCCAGTTGTCCTCTGAATCATTCAGATGTTCATTGGCAAACTTCAGACGGGCATGTATATGTGCTTTCTTGAGCAGGGGGACCTTGCGGGCGCTGCATGATTTCAGTCCTTCACAGCGTAGTGTGTTACCAATTATTTTCTTGGTGACTATGGTCCCAGCTGCCTTGAGATCATTGACAAGATCCTCCCGTGTAGTTCTGGGCTGATTCCTCACCGTTCTCATGATCATTGCAACTCCACGAGGTGAGATCTTGCATGGAGCCCCAGGCCGAGGGAGATTGACAGTTATTCTAGATTTGAAGCTTTCGTGACTGCAAGGATCCATACTCTTTGGTTCTATTCGGTAAAGTCACGTAGGTAAAAAAATAAAACAACAATAATCACGATGTTTCGGCCACAACACAAGAGGCCTTCATCAGGCCAAGGGGCCAGACTGTCTACGTGACTTTACCGAATAGAACCAAAGAGTATTGACAGTTATTTTGTGTTTCTTCCATTTGCGTATAATCGCACCAACTGTTGTCACCTTCTCACCAAGCTGCTTGGCAATGGTCTTGTAGCCCATTCCAGCCTTGTGTACGTCTACAATCTTGTCCCTGACATCCTCGAAGAGCTCTTTGGTCTTGGCCATGGTGGAGAGTTTTGAATCTGATTGATTGCTTCTGTCGACAGGTGTCTTTTATACAGGTAACAAGCTGAGATTAGGAGCACTCCCTTTAAGAGTGTGCTCCTAATCTCAGCTCGTTACCTGTATAAAAGACACCTGGGAGCCAGAAATCTTTCTGATTGAGAGGGGGTCAAATACTTATTTCCCTCATTGAAATGCAAATCAATTTATAACATTTTTGACATGCGTTTTTCTGGATTTTGTTGTTGTTATCCTCTCTCTCACTGTTCAAATAAACCTACCATTAAAATTATAGACTGATCATTTCTTTGTCAGTGGGCAAACGTACAAAATCAGCAGAGGATCAAATACTTTTTTCCCTCACTGTACCTGGCCTGTCACTCTATACAAAGCTCCAGGTCTTCTCAGCCACAGTTATTCCCTCCCTTCTCTATGCTTGGGAAACGTGGAGGCCCCCTATAAAGGAACATTGGCACTGGTTTGAAACATTCAGGCCAGCCTGTGTACGATCCATCCTGGGTTTAACCAGACTGGATTGTGTGAGGAGTTCACAGAGCCTTGACAAATTGGACACATTTCCATCAGTGAGGTCCTACGGCAAGGCGAGGCTGCATTGGGTGGGTCATGTTGCCCGCATGCCCAGCCACTGCATGCCCAGCCACCGCATGCTGAAGCAGTTTCTGTTTGGCTGGATGGGGCTAAATGGAGCGGCACGGGCTCGAGAAGAGATAGACTAATGTGGTACAGAAGGCTGTGCAGCTGATTGGACTTACCGATGACTGGTACCAGCAGTGTCAAGATCAGCCTCTGTGGTGGAGGTTAGTGAAGGACCCTGCTGGGGAGTTGGAGGCAGAGGAGCGATGCTCACAACAACCGAGCATAGTGCCGGGTGGAAAGTTGATAGTGGGGAGCATAGTTGGTGCATCTTTAAGTCATCTCAGTCAGTCAACCCATGGCACCTGGGTCTGTTCCATGATCTCCTGCCAGCGGTCCTTTGACACTTTACGTGGCCTCAAAGTGCACCTGGCCTTGCACGGGCGCAGTGAGGACGTCATTTCCACTTGATGGCGAACGGTGGTTGTTGTTGCAGGCCGGAGGAGAAGCTGAAGCAAATGGAGAAGAAGGTGATGCAGCTGGTGGAGGAGAGCGTAATGGCAGGCAGCCGTGGGGATCTGACGCTGGTTAGCACCGTACATGCATTTACACTGCACACTTTATGATGGCGAAATTACTCTTTACCATTAATCTCTCATCAACACTGCACAACGATACCACAATGTTCACTTGCTGGAGGTGGCACATCCCTTTGTACACAGCTATTGAACTGTATACACATTGCATAATTTTTGTTTGGAATGTAATTCATTGTTTGCATTTTTCCAAAAAAATATTCATGCATTCGCAATTATTTTATTCATATGTGCAGTACGTTAATGGTTCCAATGGAATGGAACTAAGTTGTCACGAACATACAAGCATGCTTGTTTCTGTGACGTGCAAACCAGAGTAAGCTTGCGGGAGGTGGCTAGGCAGCTCAGATAGTATGTGTTGGAGCAGGAAGTCAGGATCGTTAAATTCAAGGGGTTCGAATCCACACAACGACCCAGGTTCACAAGTGCAGCATGTGGATTGAACTCGGCTTGGTAGCAAATATTTATTTCACAACTAATTTGGCTTAAGCCAGTGCCAGGGATGCAATTTTACTTAACGCAACCCAGCTCACAGATGTCCAGTAGTTTTCACAGATGTGTCTCAACAAGGTTATATAATTCAGCTCCTGGTTGAACAAAGCATATTTACTGACTGTGTAAAAGTGTGTAATGTGGTATTGATTACGTTCTGGGAAACACTCAATATAGCATGAAAGTGCTCATCTGGTGCTGGATGAAGTGCCTCTTGAAGTGATACTATGAGTAGAGTACGTCTGTGATATCATCTGCCAGAACTGTATGCTAGCATCTTGCTTTGTCAGCTAGGCACATTTAAGTCCTGATAAAATGTTATTTTCACTCATGACATAGCTATTGGAACAATTGTGATACTATCGGTGTAAAAACACACGTGCTTGGTGCCGCACATGTAAACTTTAGTCTTTGGGTACGATTGCGCATTTGTAAAAACACACACAGACCTGTACACGTAGGGTACAGAAAACGGAACGCGTGCACCTGCAAGCTGGAAAGTTCTGCAGATTGTGTGGCATCACAGCGCGTATGACTTAACGACCTTGCCATTAGGAAACTTGACAGTGGGTGTTGGTGAGAATCGGCACCAATATGTCACTCTCTTGGTGAAAGCAAACATCATACTTGAGCCATTACTGCAGGCTGGTAACTGCACTGGTGGAGTTTGTCACCGTGGTGTCGATGTGCATTGTGGCCAGGGCAGCTTGGGGCTTACCGACGTGCGTTTGCACCTCTTAACAGATTCACATGCGCACTGCACCCTCTCTGTAAACGTATGGAAAGTCCCAGTAGTCTGGTACTGGCAGAAAATAATACTGGTGGGCAACAGACTAAACTAAACTATTTTTTTGATGTTACCAGTTAAGGCCCACTGAGCTATACAGCTCTTTTTCAGAAATTATATCTCAGCGAAGTGGCTTATCACGTGGAAATTTGTAGCAGCCAAATACTTGTAAGCGCATGTTTCTTAATGTGGAGGGAAAAAAATCGGAGGACTTGGAGAAAAATGCACGCGACCACAGGGAGAGAGCCATGAAAGCTCCAAATATACAGCAGGCGTCAGGTGTCAGGATCGAACCCATGCTTTCCTGGTCGTGGGTTCGATGACGTAGCACCGGCACGGCTATCAAGCTCAGCGTACGTGCCATTGAGCGTACCCAATGGACACGGCCTCTCCTAAGGGGGTGACTGCCTGACTTCTATTTTTAGACTTAAAACTTTCGTTACTGCAGGAATTCATATTCTTGGTTCTTTTGGTAAAGTCACGTAGATAGAAAACAAAAATCAATATTAAAAGCAAAAAACCCACGACGTTTCGATCGCAACACAAGCGGTCTTCTTCAGGTGCTCCAGAGTGAGTGGGCGGGGGGAAAGGGCTGCGCAAGAGACAGGGGAAGAGAGAGGGGGTGGGGCAGAGATAGAGGAGAGGGGAGGAGAGAGGGGTAGAGATGGGAGGAGGGAGGAATTGCACCTCGGTACACCCATCAGACATTGGGGGGGGGGGGGGGTTAGGCATAGGGCAGAGACAGGGGGAGAGAGAGGGGGGTTTGAGCAGAGATGGGGGGGTAGGAATGGGAGGGGGGTAATTGACAGGGGTAGAAAGAGGGGTGGGGCAGAGATTGGGGGGGGGGGTAGAGATGGGAGGAGGAGGGAATTGCACCTCAGTACACCCATCAGACCATGGTGGGGGGAAGGAATGAGGATGAACAAATTCAAGTGCTCCACTTCCAATATGATTTCGCTGCTAGGTCCCTCCATCAGTGGACGGCAGCAATAATCAGTGGGATGCATTGAGGGAAACATAAAGTATACTCTGTGGATCTTTCGGTAAAGTCACGTAGGTAAAAAATAATAACGTTAATCAAATCACGACGTTTCGGAGGCAACACAAGCTTCCGTCATCAGATGTAACTAGCACAGCAAAATTACTGTAAAGAGAGCTATTTTTGTAATAAGAGATTATTATATAGGGTAAGAGGAGGGGGGGAGCCAGGGAGGATGGATGCAGGGTGGGGGGGTGTTGGGAAACGGGGATGATAAAGCATAAAGCTGCACGCTTCCATCAGCCAATCACACGTGGCTTTGGCCAAGACGGGCAATCGCTGGCACTTGTATCGGTTCCCCCTTATGTAATTGGCTTATCATGTAATTAACAGCATAGCTCTACCGGCTTAATCATACATTCTATATTTACCTGACCTGAATGCGATGGTGAGCAATCGCTGGTGGTCACAGCCAACTCGTCTTGTTTTGGACAATGTGTCTCAGCAGTGCTTGGATTCTCAGTCACTGTGCCTGAACTTCAGTGTTGCAGACCGTGGAATGCTTTTATTACATCCCCTTAATAACTCTTGCATCACTAGGGAAGTTTGTTTCTTTCTGAGAATAATTGTAAGCCTCGAACATGTACTAAATCAACAGCTTTAATTATGAAACTATTTAAAATATACAATGATTACAAGGGTATTAAAATATTTTTTTTGTAAATTTAAAGTATTATTAATATATTTAATTTTCGATTTAAAGCTTTCGTGACTGCAATGATTCATCTTCTTTGGTTCTTTCGGTAAAGTCACGTAGAATGAGAATAAAATAATAAATTGATAAAATAAAATAACACAATAATATTCTCACGACGTTTCGGCCACAACACAAGCAGCCTTCATCAGGTGAAGGGACGAGACTGTCTGGTAGGACAGCGCTGTCCTACCAGACAGTCTCGTCCCTTCACTTGATGAAGGCCACTTGTGTTGTGGCCGAAACGTCGTGAGAATATTATTGTGTTATTTTATTTTATCAATTTATTATTTTATTCTCATTCTACGTGACTTTACCGAAAGAACCAAAGAAGATTAATATATTTGTTTTAATGTAGACCACAGACAACATATTTAATAACATTGCACAAATACACGAACATTATCAGAATGGGAAAGGGTTACTAGTCAATGTGATATCTTTAACTAATATGTTCTATGATCAAAGTGTTCCCCTTCCTGTCTCTCAGTGTAAGCATGCACCTCTTCACGATTGTTGATGTGCTTTTTCAACGTCTGTTCCATCTTATTTGTCAACGACCACGTTTGTGATACATTGTATTTTTTTGTTTAAAGCTTTCGTGACTGCAGGGATTCATCTTCTTGGTTCTTTCGGTAAAGTCACGTAGAAGGGAAACAATAAAATAATAAAAATATAAAACAATAAAATTCTCACGACGTTTAGACTGCAACACAAGCAATCATCATCACACCTGATGATGACACACCTGATGATGATTGCTTGTGTTGCAGTCGAAACGTCGTGATAATTGTATTGTTTTATATTTTTATTATTTTATTGTTTCCCTTCTACGTGACTTTACCGAAAGAACCAAGAATATATATTGTATTGTTTTTTGTTGTTGTAACGTTCTGACCTGCCCCTCCTTGACATCTGTGAAAAAAGAGCTTTATAGCTCATCAGATTCCCCGAGTATAGATACAATTGAATGATTCTGCCCTCCCGAGTTACAGAAACGAGTATCGGTGGTGGGCGTTGTCACGAGTGCAGGCGCTGGAGAAAGCGAAGGATGCGGGGCGCAAGGAGAGGACGCTGGTTAGAGAGCGTGAGCAGGCGGCAGCCAGCGACAACACCAACCTCGACCTCACCTACGCCGTGAGCGCCGCACGCAGCACGTTCAGTGGGCAGCCTTCAAACCCTGCAGAAAAGGGCATGGATGGTAGATGTGATCGCTCTCCTTTCATCGATGGATAATGAAGAACAGTCAGCTACGTGACTGCTGCAGCCACTAGAGCCCACACTGCCTATTCACATACCGTGGATCACGTGATCCAACACTGCCCGCACTGCCTATTCGTAGACCACGGATCACATGATCCATCACTGCCCCCACCGCCTGTTCACAGACCATGAAACACATGATCCAGCACTGCCCACACTACCGATTCATGGGTAATATCGCCGATATCCACCAAGCCTCCTCAGAGCCTATTGAATGGCTAATATCATCGATGTTCACGTCATGTTACTAGTTTCACCTTGCCATACAAAAAAAGAAGTACGTTCGCTTGACACAGCTTGCTCACCATCCCGCACACACAACCGACACCCACGTCATCATCAATCTTATTAACATCGATGTCAGTCTATTAACAATCATCAACTCGGTTTGTTTTTGATGACCAAGTCGTGTCTATATTTGGGTGACCTCACTCAATCACTTTTGGCAGCCAGCGCTTTGAACAAATGACCAAAATAACTTTTGGTTGGGTCACGCTTCAAATGTGGAGATCTTATAGAAGAAGCTGACAATCAGTTACGATTGGGATCAGATCCAGTAAGATTTTTGTCAGTGAATTGGGTGATCAATCCATTCGTGGATGGTAGATGGTAGATGATGATGATGGAAATCAAAAGCAGATTACATTATGATTGGCTTATTAGCTTATATTCTTTCCTTTAAAATTGAGAGGTCATAACAGTCATTGCCATTGATAATTTCCATTACTTTATTTTTTCAGATTCCAGACACGTTACACAATTGACGCTCGACCTCTGTTATGCACATTACTCCCCACGTACGAAAAAATAATCTACCCTCCTCCACATTGTCATCTCACAATCTTACTCGTGATGAAGGTGTAGGCACACCGCTCTCCGCTTAGCTTTGGGAAATCTCCAGTGTGCAGTCCCGCCACGTATAAAATTGCCAAATGCAGCAGTTTTCCAGCCAAGGTCTTGGTTAAAAAAACCTGCATTTTCTGCATAATCCAAATATATCAAGGTGATGTTTTAAAATGTATTATTTTTGGATGTGGTCGTCACTGGTGTTACAGCGTTGGGTTTTCCCATCCCTCATTGTGCCGAGAAGGCGGTGGTGCTGCCCTGTCTCCTTGAACTGATTGTTTTCGATTGTCCACTTGAAGGTTTTATTTTTTTAAGGACAACTTGTGAAAATTCGCAATTGTCAAATCAGTTCTACCTGCTTCTGCTCAAGATGTCCTCGATTATGAGGCTGCTTCTCTTGAAATTTGAATTGAGGGTATTTCGGCCAATATATTTGGTGCGTCCGCTCATTCTCCACTTTGCTATCGGCAGCTAGAAATGTGGATGTGGTAATGACAGTGACACCCTGATTGATAGACTTAAGTCGAGGAAACAATACATGTCTTTAAATTTTGATTTAAAGCTTTCGTGACTGCACTAATTCATATTCTTAGCTCTTTCGGTAAAGTCACATTGAAGGGAAACAATAATATATATAAAACAATACATATAATACATTTCTTTGTCGATATGTTAGGTCTTCTATTTGGTAATATATTCACTCAAGTGCACTGTTGTGAATCGTTCTTGCCGGACATTCATTTGTCACATCATCACTTGCTGGCGATTGACTCGTGATGTTTGTGTCATTGTGAACTGTTTGTTAATGTACAGGTGATGTTTAACTTGGGTAACCAGTACGCTGCTAATGAAATGTACTCAGAGGCACTGAGTACCTACCAAGTAATCATCAAGAACAAGATGTTCAGTAGTGCAGGTGAGTGCCCCATGCCTTTTAGGTGTTTTGCCTAATAATCATTCATTGGTTAAACATCGCTGACTTCGAGTTAACTTGCTGTCAAATGCGGTAAGTCCTCACTTAACGCGTGTGCACAGAGCGTGTTTTCACTATAACGCGGTTTATCTATTGGGGAACGCCTTTCGCGCAACGTGGAATGCGTCTCTTATAACGCAGAATGCGCCCCGTTATGAACACGGTTTCTGAGCTGATCGACGACACAACTACTTTCTTGAGCTGCTAGGCTGAGCGGTAAGGGCATTACTGGGTATTCGCGTGGAATGACGCCGTACTTAGCGGCGTACCCTCATCTCAGTATTTTTTTGTTTGTTAATTATTTGTATTGATCTAACCAGGGGAAGGGGGGGGGGTGTTGTACAACTTCCGCGACAGGTGAGTGGTGCATAGCGGCATATTTGGCTCGGACAGACAACCAACGTGGACGTGTAGGACCGTAGGATTATGTAGTCTGGGAAGGAAGGGGGGAAAGAGGGGGGCGGGGAGTCAGTCTCATTTCAGGTTGAGCCGAGTAAACTCAGGGCCTCTGGAGTGGCAGTCACGAGGGGGCCCCAGATCTGGGTGAACTCCCCTTCCCAATTCCTCAGTTTCAGACTCAGGTGTTCTAACGCTGTTAGGGCGAATAGGGAGTTATGCCAGAGGGTTAATGAGGTGGCCTCATGATTTTTCCAGGGGCTCAGGATGGTTTTTCTCACTGGAATGTTGAATGCTTAGAGAAGAGGGTGTTGGTGCCTGGTGATGCCTTGGAGTTTAAGGTCTAGGAGGGGGGATTCACCTCATATCAAGTCTTTTGTCCTGCCATAGGAGGACTGCACGCTAATTTTATTGTGCAAATGTGATTCACAATGTGTGATTCACATTTGCATTGACTTATTTATGCTCCGCAATGTATTTACAGTAATTCCTCGCTGAACACATTTATTCGCTTAATGCAATAGGAACGCATCTATTGCATTAAATAAGGAACTACTGTAAATGTATTTTGTGGTCATCAGGTAAAATTTTGTCTTGAAATTTTGGTTAACGACAATCAACGCATGTAGTTAACTAGGTGAGAGATTTTTTGGGTTTATCTTTTGCAAGACGCCACATGGGCTTTCATAGCTACATAGGCTTCTTTTAAAGTTGTCTGCAGATAAGTTTCAATGTGGTTTTAATCCACGACTGACACATAATTGACTAGTTTTGGCATTTATGTTATAGGCATTTCCAGCAGCCGGTTAGGAGGTCATGAACAAATTTATAACATTAATTTCCATGAACATCATACTACCATAAACCATCAACACCCCTGAATTATACACAATGAAAAACTGTAAATTATAAACGGTCATTCAAAATGAATAACGCTAATCCATGAACAACTCCAAACTATATGCCACACTAAACCATTCGCAATTCGAAACCATTAACGATCATAAACTATTGACAGCTAAACATCTTGGAAACCACTTTGTTGTATATCAGGATGTGAAATAGCATTGTGTTGCTATGCTGTACTCATTCCTTAGAAGGGATGAAGTCACTATGGAGTTGTCAAGTTTTATAGCCATGAAAATGTTAAAGGCCACCCTAATGATTTTTTTTATTGGTGGCTGGATGAGGATGCTGATGGATCAGGGTACTGAAAATAAATAATATATAGCCTCTTCTGGGCGAGCGAGTTATTGTAGAAATTCGCACAATACCATGCAGATTCCGTTTCAATCGTTAGTATTTGGATTTTACACGTGAGTGTCTACTCATAATAAGTATAGTATTATAAAATAACAGTCTCCTGGGTAACATCTCATGATTAAATGGTACTTCAATTGCTATTGTGGTATGATTAACTAGCTCTGCATATTACTTGCTCATACCTTCACTAATTTTTTCGTAATTACAGATTTATTTTGTCACGGTGTTTTAAAAACTCTTGTGTCTGTGCATCAGGTCGGTTGAAGGTGAACATGGCCAATGTTTACCTCAAGCAAAAGAACTTCCCAAAGGCAATCAAGTTCTATCGCATGGCCCTGGACCAGGTGCCGTCCAGCCAGCGAGAGATGAGGTGATGCTAACTTATAAATACAATCGGTTATTGTTATTATTATTGCTACGTTCAGCCTTTGCTCTTGGCTGAGATTACTTATTATTATTTCACACGGTTTCTGAGCTCAGAGCCAAGGGACTCCCCAAAATCAAACGGCCGGTGCAAATAGCGCCGTCAAAGATATGAGAGTTAAAACATTTCTTAAAATGAGCAAGGTTTTTATGAGAGCTTTGAAAAAAGACGATGGAGAGAATTCTAACGTGGAGCAGTGAGAGGGAAGAAGCAGAAAGAGAAGTCTTTTGACCTGCAGTGTTGTGATTGAGTTGCCGAGTGGGTGGGTGACTGAGTTACTGGCTAAGTAAACGATTGGATAGCTGAGTGAGTGAGTTGGTGAGTGGGTGGGTGAGTGGCTGGGTCAGTGGATGGGTGGGTGAGCGTCTGTGTGTTTGTGACCTGCACTGTGATGGTTGAACATAGTGTGGATGAGATGCAACGGGCAGTCTGGTATACCGAGTTGTCAGTGTACGTGGAGCAAGCAATGAGTGAAGTTCACGGGAACAGTAACCATGGTTGTAGTAGCGATAGAAGAGTGTTAAGGAGGTGACTGACTACCAGTGTACGAGTGACTGAATTGAATCGGTGACTGCCGGCTTTATTTGCATTGAATGCTATTGAGTGCAGCAAGGTAAGAACTGTCTGCTCCGTCTGAGCTAAGCATGATGGCACACACCACTAGTTTAGAACTTTGGAGGCAAAGGTTGGTGGAACGCACAAGCTTGTAGACTACGAAAACCCACTGCGCTACAAAGGGTGTTCGTCCGTGCGGATCTTTGAGTATTACACCTCGTATAGGCTTCCTCTCATATTGTTTAAAAAACAAATTTATTCGCCTATTGCCGCAATAAAAAGAAACATCATTTTATGTTTTTAATATAATTTAGATGTATAATTATTATTGTAATCTTAACAGGCTAGACGTAATGGTATTATGCTATCATTTCCAGAATCTGATTGAAAGCATTTAATATGGTTGAGGGTAGAGGAACCTTTTCTAAACCCAGCCTTCACATATGGTTAGTTGGCCTATACAATTATATGTATGTACATGTGTTGAACTTCTTTCGCACTCTATGTAGCCAACCGTGCTAATCGGAGGTGTGGGTGAAGAACAACAAACTAAACACAAAAAGCAATTCTAAAGAAATGACTTTCCAATCTAGATTATTTAAAAGTGCATAGCTCCAGTGGCTTCCTAATATTGGAAGGAAGAGCATTCCAGATGGCCGCAGAAGCGCATCTGAAAGCGCGCGATGCAGTGACCATATTAGCAAAGGCCGCTGCAATGGTTTATGTTCCTTGACAAGATCAGCAAGGTGTTGTGATTTATTTGTGACAAGCACTTTGTGTGTAATAAACGTGACCTGTTCCAATAATTTTCAAGGACAATTTGTATTCATCTGATGAGTGGCTAATGGGTCTATAAAGCCAGTTTTATAATCCCGTATGAACAGAAGAACGATTCTGTGATCAAGGTATTTGATTTCAGTGTAAACATTTAGTAAATAGGTCCACTCATTTTGTTCCAACAACTGGTGCCACTTCTCTGATAATGTCTGCACTTACACCATCTGGTTACACCAGGAGCTTTCCCCCATTATATAACTGCGAAGGGCAGCATTTACTTTCTCATCGTGCTTCAAATACTTTTTTCTGCCAAATCTGTGACTTGCCCATGCTTATTAACCCTTTTCCCATTGCGAGATGACTGCAAGTTGCAGGCTGGGGTGCCGTTCACCGCTGAATCTCGGGAATGCGCAAGCGGTTCAGAGTTAATTTTATTAAGAGAGGCATAGCGCCGCTGTTTTTAAAAGCATTCTACTCGCAGCAAAGAACTGTAGCGACACGACCACCGCAATCTATGATAGCTGGCGCCAAACTGCCGCACGCCCTCACGCATGGCTTTGTGGGATCCTCGGTACCGATAAAGTTATTCTATTTGAGTTTTTCTTCCGATTCCGTTACATTTAAAGTTGTGCATATTAACTTTACTCCTGTTAAAAAAAAAATAACACGGTGTTGCTGCCTCGCTCTCAACCTCTGCGCCTCCCGCAGGATGAAGATAATGCAGAACATTGGCGTGGCGTTCTTGCGCGTGGGCCATTACACCGAGGCGGTGTCGGCTTTCGAGCACATCATGAGCGAGAGCCCCGATCTACGCGCTGCCTTCAACCTGACGCTCTGCTACTTTGCGCTGGGCGAGCATGAGCGCATCAAGCGAGCCTTCCAGCGCCTCGTCGCCGTGCCCCTTGGTGTCGGGGATGAGGACCGCTACACGCCGCACAACGTGAGCTCGGCGCTCGCGTCGTCACTCGCTCTTATAACTATGATCGTCGTCGTCGTTGTTGTTGTTGTTACGCTTGCTTAGCGAGGAAGGCCTCAATTCCCCCGAAACTCTGCCTCGAGTTTTCTTAGTTTTAGGTGACATGCGCAGGTGAATGAACTGCAAAGTGTGGCTCAAGATAATTTGACCAAAACTAAAATTAATAAATACAATAATGCACAAGGACACAACTGGAAAGCACAATGGAGTAAGCTGAAAATAAAAAATCTAGAAAAATATACAATGCAACTGGTATTTGCCAGACATACCTATGCTGAAAAAATACTTAGCAAATTGCTCAATTTGGATTACACAGAGTAGGCTACTCCTACAAAAGAGTATTCAGATCATTGAGGCTTTTCTGGGCAAACAAGCGTGATAAAATAATGACAGTAATAATAACATGTATGCCTAGGGCAGTTATTGAAGGCACGAGAAGGGACACCGTTCGTTGGTAAACGCAATGTCAAGAGTATCAGCCAATGGAGGGAAGATGTGCAGGAGGAGGTTCACTGTGGAGATGGAGCGATTAAATTTGCTCATGTGCAAGTTCTTGTTGTATTGATGTATGGCAGTAACGTGAGGGATGGAGATGACTTGAGAAGGCTTTTATCCAGCAGTGGATTGATCATGGCTAATGATGATAATGAAGTGTACACAGCTTACTTGCACATGGTATTTTCTCGCGTGTGTTTGTGGGTTCTTGTATGCATGTCACATGAGGAGCGGTAGTTGTAGCGGTTAGTGCACTTCACCACAAACCCGGCAACCCGGGTTCAACTCCTGCTCACGGCCGACACTAGTGTCGATTATCTGAACTGGTCCTGGACTTCCCTGAAATGGACTCAGCATAAAATGGGTACCTGGTGCAGTGTGTAAACATTTCTACTAGGGAGACAATGGCCGTCTGGCATGGGGCTGGCCACCCATCATCTTGTGTGCCGGCCTTCATAGGTGCTACTCGCGAACAGCACTTGCCCCAAAAGTCTGTCAAGGCTATATGGGGAATCTTTATTTTTTGTTTGTTTTTTGTGTTTTTTTTATGTGCGTGTGTCCATATCTGTGTGGACTGCAGGATGATCCGCATACTAACTTGGTGATAGACGCCATCAAGAATGATATGCTGCGGCAAATGGAGAGGGAGAGGTGAGGTCGGAAAAATATTGAGAGGGAAACCCCCATGAAGCACGAATGACCTAAAACTAATATTTTGAGAGGTCGTGAGTGAGTAGTCAACCCTCGATTACTCGCAATAATCAGGGGGAGGAGTGGCATGGCTTAAACAAAAATATGTCCATGGGACCATTTTACCAGTATTCAAAATAATGAAAAATAAGGATAGGTTTTACCCTTTCTGGCAATAAAACCGGAGATGTTCAAACACAAAATAGATATCGCAGCTTCTGCGATTTGCTAATCGTATTGTTTCAAGTTGCGATTTCGATTTAAAATCGATTAATCGTTCAGCCCTAGTTTGTACCCATCTTCTCGGTTGAAATTGTGTCTATGTCTGTATATATGGACGGCTTCATGAACGAATCTTTGTTGATAGCCAGTGGGTTTGCAAAGTACCTTCAATTTCGTGTGAGCCAGCCGCATTTAAATAATGATCAGCCATGGCAGAAGTATTGGTCCTACCGTGTTTCAAATCTGCCTTATGCTCATGAACACGGTCCGAGACATTTCGCTTAGTTTCCCCATTGTAACTGCTGCTGCAGATACAGCTTAGTTTGTAGATGCCGGCATATTGCATGTCAGGTATCTTGTCCTTCACAGATGGGATCAGATCACGAATTTTAACATACTTTTTAAAATCGGACCTGGATCTTGTATTTGTTCATGATTTTGGAAATCTTTTTGGTTACCCCTGCTATGTATGGCAGATGGCTCCTTCCTCACGGTTGGGGTGATGGCTTTGCGGATTGTGTAGTCAGAGTATCCATTCGCCTTGAGAGCTTGGTGTACGTGTTTGAGTACACTGGTTAGGTGTTCATGGTCAGAGATACATTTAGCTCTATGGTGTAGAGTTTTGATGAGGGAAGTCTTCTGGGATGGATGGTGGTGGGAGTCAGGTTTTGGGTAGGCATCAGTATGGGTTACTTCCCTGTAGACAGAATGGCTCATTGAGCCATCTGGTCTCTTTTTGATTAGGACATCCAAAAAAGGTAGCTTGCCATCCGTTTCTACCTCCATGGTCAATTTGATGGCTGAGTGTATGGAATTGATGTTGTTGAGGAATTGGTTCAGAGCCGGTCGGCATGTGGTCAGATGACAAACGTCTCATCTACGTACCTCTTCCACAAGGACGGGCGTAGAGTGGATGCCTGGATGGTGTCCGTCTCAAATTTTTCCATGAAAACATTGGCTACAACTGGAGATAAGGGAGAACCCATTGGGGTGCCTTCAGTTTGTTTGTAGAATGTTCCATTCCAGGTGAAGTATGTATTGGTGAGGCAATGTCTCACCAGGGCCGGTACATCAGCATTCAATCCTTTTTGGACCAAATCTTCAGTGATTGCAATAGTATCGGGCACAGGAACTTTGGTGAACAAAGAGACTACATCGAAACTAATGAGCAAATCACCTGGGGACGGTGAGATGTCATTAATTCATGATACCAGGTGAGATGAGTTAAGAACAGAAGAGGTGGTCTTACCAGTGAATGGCTGTAAGGTCTCAGAAAGATATCGGGCCAGTTTTTAGGTGGGTGGGCCAATGGTGGAGACGATGGGACAAAGAGGTGTTCCTTCTATATGGATTTTTGGTAAGCCATATAATCTGGGTGGTCTAGCAGCAGAAGGTTTTCAGGAAAACCGTTTGGTCTGTCCCATTAATGAAGCTGAATCAGTGATGATACTGTTTGTTTTTGTTACGAGGCTGTTGGTGAGGGTCTCTTTTAAATATATAACGTAATTTAGGCGATGAAACATTCATATAGTAATACGTTTTTACCCTTTTATCTGGCACAAAAACTGACACCTTTATACAAGGAATCATGTTTGCAATAACCACAACACAAGCAGTCGAAATGCAAACAAAAAAAGACAACTCTGATAATGATATGTACTGTCCTTGAATTTGATTGGTCCACACCCGAGACGGCTTTTCTTAGAGCCATTTGGCGTCATCTGGTCCAACACCAGTGGAGACTAGGCTCTAAGAAAAGCCGTCTCGGGTGTGGACCAATCAAATTCAAGGACAGTACATATTATCAGAGTTGTCTTTTTTTGTTTGCATTTCGACTGCTTGTGTTGTGGTTATTGCAAACATGATTCCTTGTATGAAGGTGTCACTTTTTGTGCCAGATAAAAGGGTAAAAACCTATTACTATATCTTGTTACTGGCAAAGGAGGTCTCATAATGAAACATTCATATTTCATATTTATACCATGTTGGCAGTGGTGCACAAATAACAAAATAACTCAACACAATTGTCAATAATGCTGCCTTAAAAAATAAAAGTGTATAATAATGGTAATTATACCTCTCTGGCCCATCAGTGGGCTGTGAGGAAGGGCCATTGCCCAGATTGTCTCCTGTTTTTATTTCTGGCGTAATAAGTTTACTCGCTGATGTGTTTGCAGTCATGGTCACAAGCGCACTAAATTGTGGAGCAAATAATAATTTAACCAGAGCATGCTTGGGGATATTCTAATTATTCTTACCACAGGCATGGTTAATCCACAACCACGGATAATCCACCTGCTGAGAATCGAGCGTTAACTAGTAACATTCAAAATAATCATATGTAAAACAGCAACGTACAGCAACAGTCCAATAGTTAGCATAACATTAATAGGGCAATGTTTTATATAACAGTGGTTGGGGTCACCTGAGTAAGTGAGTAGTGTGCCCCCCATGTTATGTGGGCATCTTCCTCCTCCATTGACCAGCGTGGTGAATAACAGTTGAATATCTCCCCTTCCCACAGTAGTGTAGCCTGAAACAATAGTCACTCATAACTGTGTTTTCATCAATTGTGACAGCGGTAGGGGTGGTGTAGGAGCGGTTTGAGGGTCGGCAACCTGCGGCTCCGGAACCGCATGCAGTGGCTCTTCATCTTCCTCCTTGTGGGCAGCCATTTTTTTCACTTAAACCTAATTGAACATAGAGATAATTGATTAAATATGGCAGGGAATGGGTGCACTATAAAATATCTTGGTGACAACAAACTGTACAACAGTCAAACTGTATTGATAAAGAATAACTCGGGGGGGGGGGGGGGGGGACGAAATAGATGTAGTTTATCCCGTCATCTCTTTTGTTGATTTAAGTCAGAATGTGTGTTGTTATCTGTGGTATACCTGCTGCTGCTGCAGTGTTTGTGTACAAGTAGCTTGTGCGTGTGATGCGGCTCTCCAGCTATTTTGGTTTAAAAAAATGTCTCTTATTCTTTGAAAAGTTTCCTACCCCCTGGAGTGGATGATATTGCTAAATACTGGGTACGAACAGCACACCCTTGATTTGACCATTGCTGCATAAAATGTGCAGACCATCTGAAGAATTAAGCCTTGCCAATACTTATTTTACACATAGGCTTTCACAACCAATTTGATTTATAACCTGGATCAGGAGGTCCTTTCACGCCAGAGCTGAGCCCTGTTTGAATCCAGTAACGTTGGATTTAATCTCCAGCTAGGCTGAGACGACAATTTTACTTGCTTTTCAAAATTCCGGTTTGCTAAACAACCAATCAATTGGAATATATTTGACTACGTGACAACTTGAATTGTTTGCCTCTGTCGAGTGGTAGAGGGTTATAGTTGACAATAAAAAGCAACTAAATTATTAATCTTGCCAAATTGCTGACAGAATTGAGGAAACATACATTTAGACATTGTTGGCATTTATAAGTATATATAGTCTCAGTGTGTGACTTCTAAATGGCACTATGTCGTGGGGATGACAGTGTAATTGGACAATAAAGACGAAGTTGACGAGGAGAAACAGCTGCACAAAAGTGGTAGCAGACAGAAGCAAATGAGCAGCAAGGGGTGAGTCAGTCTTATGAGGGAGTAGTTTCAAGTTTATGTCAACCCACCAGGTGTTGAGAACTCAAGAGGCCAGGATGAGTCTCATATGCAAGAGTGACGACCTGGGTGACAATGAGCAAAAACAGAAGAAAACAAAGTACAGCAATGAAGTAAAGCAATTGGAACAAGAAGCAAAAGATTCACCGTGTGACACGAATTGCACATGTTGCACAAATATGAATCAAAAGTTAAATCGAAGCTAATTATTACATTCCTTGGAGTGCAAATTTTCCTGGCCAGTTTACCTTTAGATTGATCTCAGCACATATTACAAAACTATAGAAACGTAAATATTAAACAGATATAGGCTGACTATAATGCTCTTATGTGCATAAACTAGGAGTTATGTCAATAGCAGGCATGTCTCTCGAGTGTGGATTTTGACTTGAAATCAGGGCACAACTTTTACGTGTTTGTGTGTGTGTACTGCTTTGTGAGCAGTGGTAGTGCAGAGGTTAGCACACTGCTGTATGAACCCAGCGACCCGAGTTCAATTCCTGCTTACGGCCAACATAGGTCACGATTATTTGAACTAATCATGAGCCTCCCCTAGGTCGACTCAGCCTCAAATTAGTACCTGGTGCTGTGTGTAAACATCACCGCTGGGGAGACAAAGGCGGCCGTGCCGTCCTTTATAGGCCCTATTCGCTAACAGCACTTGCCCCAACAGTCTGTTAAGGCTCTGTGGAGGATCTTTGTATTTTGATTGTGTTGGCGATGGTGGCCACGGTGCAGCATTGACGCATTCACTGCTCGGGGTATGCAGGCGCACCATGGCAGAGCGTTTCATCATGACGGCGGCCAAGCTGATCGCCCCCGCTATCGAAGAGACCTTTGTGGCGGGATACGACTGGTACTGTTAACCAATTTGTTAACTGGCTTTTACGAGCAAAGCTGTTAACTTACAATTTCAGATACAGTCACGTCTGAATAAAAACATGCAATGCATCTTTTCGCACAGTGATACACGAAAGACTTTATTGTTTTTTTTAAACAATCAAATAAACATCAACCTCAATTAAGTTAAACACATTTTTACATGAAATCGTGTTGCCTTTTTAAGGCTGGACCCTGCCATAGGATTGTTGCATTTGTACTATTCACTCAGGACCGTTGCTGATGTTTAAGTTTAGTTTCATTTGTTTACCCAAGTGAGAACTCAAGAGACCAGGATAGTCTCAATGGCATGAGTGGCCAGGGGTTTTAGTCTGTCAGTAGAGGGCAATAATTGCTGTGTATAGTCCTGATTTATTAGCACGGTGGTTGCTAATCAAACCACCGTGCTAATCAATCAGGAGTAGCATGTTTGGTACCTCTGATTAGTACGGTTGGCTACGTACGGTGTGAATGAAGTTCAACCTACATACATTTAGTAATTTGCGGGATATCTTAGAATTTGTAAAATGGCCTACTCTTGTGAATGACGTCATGGGTTGTTTAACCTCCACTGTGAGTGACGGCAAGTAGCGTTATGGTGGTTAATCCACACCGCAATAATAATCAGGGCGACCGCTGGATTTTAACCGTGACGCACTGCAACGAGCGGTGAATGCACTACCGCTGGGCCATGTCACCACCAGTGGAGACGAGCATCTTACGTTTATATGTATGTGTTTATGTTGGACTTCTTTCGCACTGTACGTTGCACACCGTGCTAATTGGAGGTGCGGGGAAAGGACAACAAACTAAACACAAAAAGTAGTTCTAAAGAAATGAGTTTTCATTCTATATGATTTAAAAGTGCATCGTTCCAGTAGCTTCCTAATATCAGAAGAGCATTCCAGACGGCCGCCGAAGCGCATCTGAAAGCGCGCGATGCAGTGACACTCTTTGTCCGATGGTGTTTACACACGTGCTGCAGGTGTGTGGAGACGGTGAAGGCATCCCAGTATGTGGAACTGGCCAATGACCTGGAGATTAACAAGGCCATCATGTACCTCAAGCTGAAAGACTTTGATCAGGTAGGAGCTGTGAGAGTGATGGAAGAACAACAATTAATCGTGATGCTGATTGGTGCTTGAATGTTTTTTGTTATGTTTTTTTGGTATGTTCACCAATTAAATCTAGCTTTTTAGATAAAAAAAAACAACTAAATATCAGATACTCAAGTAAACATTTGGTTTTTAAGTTAAGGGTGCAATGCCATTCAAGTAACGCAAGGATTGTATAGTACCGCTTATGGTTTGTGTAAATGGGTGTCAGTATGCCAGTGGACTGCACTGTTGCTGTTGGACTGTCCAAGCCCGTGCACGGGTTGTGTCGGTGTCTTGTGTGCAGGCTGTTGAGGCGTTGAAGATGTTTGAAAAAAAAGACACACGTGTGAAGAGTGCAGCCGCCACGAACTTGGCGTTTCTCTTCTTCCTGGTACATACTCTGTGGGGTCACGACCTTTCTTCGAGGCCAGCGCAGGGTGGTTACGTGAGCAGCATGAACGTTAATCAAGTAGCCTCTTGCATAATGTAAGATCGAAGCCATAACAAACCATCACAAGCTCTTTGTGTTGTTGCAGAGGTTACATTTACATGCAAATTATAGATTGATATGCTAATCTCTAGCAATACAATGGCCGCCTCTTTAGCACCGTAGTCGTGAGGTATAGCAGGCTCTCCGATCTTACATTTACATGCAAATTCCATCTCTAGCCCCGCCCATTTACCCTTGGGTTGCACCCATCTCAAACCTATATAACCTCTTGCTGCAGTAGTTCTCCCGCTATATTTCTCCTGCCTCAGCAGTTCGCCTGCTGTATTTTTTCACCTGAAGACGATTGCTCGTGTTGCGATCGAAACGTCGTGATTTTTTATTATTATTTTTCTTCTATCAATGTGACTTTACCGAAAGACCCAACGAGTATTAAGTCCTGCAGTCACGAAAACTTTAAGTCAAGATTTTACAAATTGATCATCAAACCCTGCTGCAAAAACTTGGCAGGACCCTCCAGAAAATCAATCAATCTTTATTAGATGTGTTAATATCGCCCTCAATAAAGTAGGCATCCGTGCACATTACAGCATAATGGGAACAATAACAGGGGGCACAGAGCAACAGGGATGAAAGAAACCCATCATGATCTCAGTGGCTAACACCGACTGAGCAAAGTAAATTGTAACCACGCGCAAAAAATAAAGTGCAACCGTGCCCAGAAAATAGCATAAGAAAGGTGACTAGTAAATACAAATGAATAAAATAAATGAGAAGTAAAGAGTTTTTATTTTAGATTTTATGAGAAGGCAAGTCTTGCACAGACCACGGAATTCTAGTTATGAGACTAACTGTGGCTTTGCTGTAATGATAATAATATAAGTAATATCATCAACGTCATAGCCAAGTCACGTGCTGCCTCCAGACCTGTTCGACAGCCATGTGCTATATCATGCTACAGTCCGCTTTCAGTTTAACTTCATCTAATTCAGATAAACATCCTGAAAAACACAACACAAGTGGTGTGATCCTCAAGGTCACTCTGCTCATTGTTATTCCGACCGCTGTTGCAAACCCCTGATGTGAACATTGTGTGCCGAGTCAGAGTAACCCACAGACAGTGTCTGAACAGCTGCTCACCATTTACTGCCTGCCTCTGTCTATAAGGGTATTTCAATAAGTCAATGTCAAAGTAATTTCCGCTCAAATGAGCATAAAGGTGGTGCTAATCCTCCTTTTACAGTGCTGAGAAAGTGGTTTAGGTTTGACATTCCTTTGATGGTGGCGAGACTATCCATGGAATGGCCGTTATCGACTTACACGCATTATACTGAGGGATGATGGGCTGAGATAACCCCAAACAAAGATTTGACTTTACAGCATTCAAATTGCGTGCCACTTGCTCTACTCCTAAGGAAAGAGACGTCTACTAATCCAGTGTCCTTTGGTGGTGCCATTTCAGTCAAAATTGCACAGTGAATGGTAATATTTTCTTTATGTAGATTTTACCACGAGGTCATAACTTCAATTTGGAAGAGCAGCGAATCATTACATATGTTTTTTTATCCTCTGAGGGAGTAAATGCAGTATGTCCTCCTATAATGCCGCATGTTTTCATAACGCGAATTGGATATAACAGAATGAATGTATTAGGGAACACATTTTTTAGAATGCAGATGGGAAGTGGATATAACGCAATTGAGTGAATAGAGCTACGTCGCACGAGTAGGAATAAGCAGTTCTACGGCTGCCTCGGTGTAGCATCATAGAAGGTGGGATGCTGCGGGATGCTTCTAGATGCTACCCACGCGCCTCAGTCTTTGATCAGCCTGGGTACGCATCTCACGTGTTACTGAGGACTGTGCTTTAGCCTATATTATAATTTATTATGACACGATTTTTCCATAACGTGGTGTTCTTCAGGAACGCAACTGTCGCGTTATCGGAGGGCAGACTATATGCGTGAAATGTATTGAAAAGTGAAGCTGATGAACGGTGGAAACTGTACGGATCGTGTGGCATGTCGTTTACATTTCCCCTGGCACATGAGTGAGAGGGGGTAATGCCCCCGTTCGCTGTGATTCTAATTATACAGTGTGACCCTAGATCACGGAATAAATAGGGGGGCCGGCTTTGCTTATTGAAACATCCTCCTGTACCTTCTCTTCCCCCACGCCCCTCCCTCCTCCCCCACTGCTCTGCCCAACAGAGGAACGACGTGGCCCAGGCGGAGAGATATGCCGATGCGGCCATGGCGGCCGATCGCTACAACCCGCAGGCGCTCGTTAACAAGGGCAACTGCTTGTTCCTCGGGGGCTCCGCGGAGCAGGCGGCCGACTACTACCGCGAGGCGCTCCGCAACGACGCCTCGTGCACCGAGGCTCTCTACAACCTGGGTAGCTCGACGCCCGCTCGCACGGGAGGGGGGGTGGGGGGTGGGGGAGACACAAAACAAGCAAAGCGGGAGAGAGAGAGAGACCGGCGTGCAAGTTAGCACACGAGGGCATGCGAAAAGATATAAATTCACGTGTGCAGTATGTGGACGCGTTACTGTTATTAACGGCTGATGTTTTATTTTAGCAGGTAAAACCAAATGAGATATGAGCTCCTTTTTCAGAGGCGAGCTGGCCACACCTATGTATGTATGTTGAACTTCTTTCGCACAGTACGTATCCAACTGAGCGAGTCGGAGGTGCAGGGAAAGGACAACAAACTAAACACAAGAATAAGTTTTTAAGAAATGAGTTTTCAATCTAGATTTAAAAGTGCATCGCTCCGTGGCTTCCTAATATCAGAAGGGAGAGAGTTCCAGACTTCCGCAGAAGCGCATTTGAACACGCGAGATGCAGGGACCGGATGATAGCTCATCGAAGTGGCTTATATGTGGGGATTTATAGATGGAGCTAAATAATCGAAATGCATGTTTCTAAATATGGAGGGCAAAAACCCGGGGAAAATACACACGACCATGGCGAGAGAGCCATGCAAACTCCAAATATACAGGGGTTAGGCTCCGCATGGAACCCAAGACCTCCTGCGTACCAGGCGAGGGAAGTAGTACTTCGTCACCACGGCGACATTCATTGGGAAATGGGGGGGGGGGGGGCAAACAGATTGTGGATAATTGAATAATAATTAAAATGTTAATGTATATAATGTATGAGTAAAAGAAAAACACAGCTGACTATAACAAAGTTAAGTATCAACCTTATCAAAATCATCATTGAGAATCTTTATCATGATTTCCAGATGCCTGTATTTCAGCACTGCGGTGCCGAGGTTGCCATACCTAACTTGACCACAAGAGATGGGGCAGTACAACAAGTGTGGTCTAATCCCCCATCTCTCTTACATCTGTATGGGATAGAGTATTGTGCCTTTGCACACGTGTTTTTTGTTCGGGTGCTCCGGTCTCCTCCCAAGACGTAAACACTCGCGAATTGGCCGATAACACCTACCATGGTATACAGGATTGCGTGGGTTCGATCCCGACCCTGACGCCTGCTGTATATTTGGAGTTTGCCTGTTCCTCTCCCCGTGGTCGCGTGGATTTTTCTCCGAGTCCTCCAGTTTTTCCCTCCAGATTTAGAAACACGCGTTTAGAGTATTTGGCTGCGATACATTTCCACGTGATAAGCCACTTCGTTGAGCTATATTTTGTTATAGCCAGGTCGCTTTTGAAAAAGAGCTATACAGCTCAGTGGGCCTTACATTGTAAAATAAAAAAATAGTTTCAATTTTTTTTTTTATGTAGAGGACCACAGAGCTTGGGGGAATTTGGTGCCGGTTCACCACCTGGCTGCCTTTACCGCATGTCTGTAGTTCCTTGAACCTCCGAGTTATTCTCTGTCTTTCAGAGTGAGCAAATACTGTGCAAATTACAAGTTGAAAGTAATTGAATGCTCGATTCAGGTCTCACCACATAATCACGGGGGCACCATGGTGGCGAGATGTTAATGAACTCGCTTGGTATGCAGGAGGTCGTGGGTTCGATCTTGACCCTGACGCCTGTTGTATATTTAGAGTTTGCATGTCTGTCTCTCTGCCCGTGGTCACGTGGTTTTTTTCCTCCATGTCCTCCGGTTTTTCCCTAAACATTTATATTATGCATTTAGAGTATTTGGCTTTTATAAATTTCCACTTGATAAGAAGCCATTTTGTGATCCACAGGTCACTTCTGAAAAAGTGCTATGAAGCTCAGTGGGCCTTACCTGGTTAAAAATAAAAATAGTTTAATCAAGAAAAAAACACCATCCCTTTTGGTCTGATGATGCCATCATCCTAACTCCTGAAGATAAGCTAATCTTATCGCTCCATCTCCTCCTTTGTTGTTTTGTTTCAGCTGTGCTCCTCCAACACTTGTTTACTTTTGCTCGTTGAACTCTTTGTATGCTACTTTTGTTTCACTCATGTTTCTTGGATAACACAACACTGGTCGTGTTAGCTGACTCCATATTTCCCTAGTTGTTTCAGTGGAGCAGATTGCAAAATGCTGTCTCCTACCCTTAATAAAAATATGTATTTTTTCTCTCTATTCTGACAACGGTGAAGTGTTTTTAGCTTTTGATATAGAAATCAGTGGGGCACATTCATATACAGTGGAATGCACCCTCCACATAAAGCATGTTGGGTTGAACAATCAACCTCCTTCCCAGTAATTCAATGAATTGTTACAATTCTACATGTCACTTCTATTCAAGAATCAGGTCACCACGCTGCCCGCTTCGCTATGCCACACTGGTGGTTCTATGGAGAGGCCAGCACGTACCATGGAAATGTGTACTTTCCACCTGTAGCTCAGGAACACGGCCACCCTCAGAGATGAACATAACCCACTGGTTTTGTGTGCAACAATGTTCTGTGAAGTTGTTTGTGATGTGGCATTGCTGCCGTGTGTGAAGACGCTGTGCTGTATTGTATTGTGCAGGCCTGGTGCACAAGCATCTTGGACGTCTCCAGGATGCGCTCGATTGCTTTCTCAAGTTGCACTCCATCCTGCGCAACCACCCTCCAGTGATGCACCACATCGCCAGCATGTAACAAAACACAAAGAACCCCATCTCGCCTTTTTAACGCACTGTTGGGGCAAGTGTGGTTAGCTAGCAAACCATGAAGGCCGAAACAGTGGGCAATAAGGGTGGTGGGCTCACACCACACCCGGTTGCGATTGTCTCCACAATGTTCATGTTTACACACTGCACCAGGTACTCATTTAAGGCTGAGTCGACCTAGGGGAGCCCCATGACTGGTTCAGATAGTCTTCACCGATGTATGTATGTATGTTGACTTCTTTCGCACCGTACGTAGGCAACCGTGCTAATCAGAGGTGCGAGGGAAAGACAACAAACTAAACACAAAAAGCAGTTCTTCAGAAATGAGTGTTCAATCTAGATGATTTAAAAGTGCATCGCTCTAGTGGCTTCCTAATATCGGAAGGGAGAGCATTCCATATGGCCACAGAAGCACACTTGAAGGTGCGCAAGGCGATGACCATCTTTGTTCGATGCTAGCCAAAAGCTACTGCGAGGATGACTGGAGTTCACGTGATGGTTTATGCTCCTTGATGAGATCAGCAAAGTATTGTGGTTCATTTGTGGCATGTTGTCGTGTTGAGTGGAAATCGAACTCGGGACATTCGGTTCACAGTGCAGTGGGGTAACCACTGCACTCCCACTCCCATAGAACACGCACACCTTCAGCCACATCCACCCACACAATGTGACTAAAATGAATAACCCCAACTTAGACTCATACTTTTGAAACACTAAGTTTAACACGTAGGCTTTCGCGACCAATATTATTCATAACAAAGGTTTTTGGGTTAGATCGCATTATTTATAAATGTGTCGTAACCCTCCACCACCCGACACGGCCAAACAGTAATCAATGTGTCACAACTGTAAATGTTGTGGATTCACTCTTCAACACACCGGTGGGCTAAAGTAGTGAACTATTTGTCTTTTGTCAACGTGACACATTTTTTACTGTTTGGCCGTGTCGGGTGGTGGAGGGTTACGACACATTTATAAATAACGCGATCTAACCCAAAACACGTTAATTTTGAAACGCCGTTTTTGAGGATGAGTACAACATTACCAGTACAACATACAAGAAGGTAGCGTGTTGGCTCTTGTCTACCGAGTGCTTAAGTTGTGACAGCAAAAATATATGGCTAATTTGTCTGAAGCATTGAGATCGCCCAGCCAACACCTCGGGCATCACTTGGGTAAGAAGGTAATATAAAGGCCATACCCATCAACATTGTGCCCTGGTTGATAACATTAAACCCTCCACAACAACTTTCCCAAGAGAATAGGGAAAGATGAAAAGTGAGCGTGTAATGATCTTTTCTTCTGGGCAAACCCCATGTTGTAGGAGGACTTCCCCAGAGACATTAGGCGTTTTGCTGCAGGCATTCTTGCAGAATGTCTGAATGCTTTCTGGAGAATATAGGCTGCCTCTCCTTTGTAGAAAGCTTAGAACAGCACTGTCTTGACCTCCAGGTGGTGTACAGGAGGTCTGATGGATGCTTTCGGGCTGCTGTATGTCATAGCAAGTTTTTTTTTTGGGTTAGATCGTGTAAATAGATAGCTCGTTAAACCTGCCACCACCCGACACAGCCAATTAGTAACATAAACAAAACGTGCAAATTAGTTACTACTTCAGCACACCGGTGTGTTGGAGAGTAAACCCACAACATTTACAATTCGAGTACTGTGAAATTTTGCTGGTGATTACAACAACCAGCTTCATCAGGCAATAGCCAGAATTGTGAAGAAGTCCTCCTGTTTCGGTCTTAAATAGGGGAGTAAAGGTGATGTCATCACTCTGGGCCTATCAGGTGCGAAAGCCTGCATTTTAAACCTTATGTCACAGGTTGTTGTAGAATCACCTTCCAAACAAAACAAACACAATTTAATGCATGTACAGTATTGTGAGCAGAGCAATTGATTTGATTCATTTGAAAAAATTGTTACATTTCTAGTGTTGGTTAAAAATATCAGTGGGGTCACCATCCTTGGACTAAAGTAGAGGCTCCGCTGTCCTTTCCTGCCATGTATGTATGTTGAACTTCTTTCGCACCATATGTAGCCAGCCGTGATAATTGGCGGTATCGGAGGACAACAAACTAAACACACAAAGCAGTTCTCAAGAAATTAGTTTTCAAATTAGTTTTCATGTAAATCTACAATGTAGAATTGTGGGAGCTGGATTGTACCCTGACAGATTAGCTCTTTTAGGCCCCAATGCCATATATATACTGGTGTAATTACCAGTCATGTGATGGGTTTATACAAACAAATATTTAATGAAAATAGACTAAAATGTAAAGATTGTAATTGACAATCATCTCCCAAAAGTTTTTCCTTGAGATGAATTTTGTTGAATCAGCACTTCGATGTTGGTTGGGTTTTTGCATCTTGACAAAGCAACATAACAAAGTTGTCTGTGGGAAAAAAAAAAACAGGTTCGTTGAGATCAAGTGCAACATGCTAAAAAAACTGTCCTTGTGACTTATTGACAGTGATAGCAAATGCAGGAATGATTGGAAACTGTCTTCGCGTCACGTAGCCTGCACCAGCGTTGCACACAGCATACAGAGTGTCAGGCGTTAGGCACAGATCGCCAAAACTACAGGTATAATGGAGAGCAGAAAAGTTGAATTTATTGATGAACGCTTTTGCAGATATGAAGCACTGGAGGAAGCAGGACAAGCAGCGGAGTGGCTGCTGCAGCTGGTGACAGTGGTGCCCACAGACCCGCACGCCCTCGCCCGCCTCGGAGACGTCTACGACGCTGACGGGGACAAGTCTCAGGCCCTGCAGTACCACTATGAGGTGTGCACACTCGCCACCGCTACCAGACATTTGTGTGTCCAGTCAACACCCTGGACAGCCAGACAATAGGGGGTGGGGGGGGGCATGGTCTGGATATATGAAAGGTCTGCTCGCAGACACAATTTCAATGGAAATGTAATAAAAACAACAGCAAAACCACATGTACTCTGCAGTTTATGGCACACTACAGTACAGTATATTGTGCTCGACAGTACTGATACTCTACAGTGAATTGTACTCGTGCTGGAATACCCAAAACACACGGCCAAGGCAACAAAGGATTGGCTCAAGAAGAAGCACATTAAGGTCCTGGAGTGGCCTAGCCAGTCTCCAGACCTTAATCCCGTAGAAAATCTGTGGAGGGAGCTGAAGGTTCGAGTTGCCAAACATCAGCCTCGATACCTTAGACTTGTAGAAGATCTGCAAAGAGGAGTGGGACAAAATCCCTCCTGAGATGTGTGCAAACCTGGTGGCCAACTACAAGAAACGTCTGACCTCTGTGATTGCCAACAAGGGTTTTGCCACCGAGTACTAAGTCATGTTTTGCAGAGGAGTCAAATACTTATTTCCCTCATTAAAATGCAAATCAATTTATAACATTTTTGACATGCGTTTTTCTGGATTTTGTTGTTGTTATTCTGTCTCTCACTGTTCAAATAAACCTACCATTAAAATTATAGACTGATCATTTCTTTGATCAGTGGGCAAACGTACAAAATCAGCAGGGGATCAAATACTTTTTTCCCTCACTGTAGGTTAATAGCAGTACCTTAAGAACCACTCAAAATTTGACCGGTAGCCAATGAAGAGATAAGAGGACTGCTGTAATGTGCTCATGGAATTGTGTACATGTAAGCACTAGCAGCTGCATTCTGAACAAGATGGAGTCTTCCCAGTACTTTGCTCGGTAATAAGGGCTATTTATTGCAAGCCGGTAATGTAACATGTAACACACAGAGTCCCCAGAGAGCCCCGAACACATTCCCTTTTATACCCCCTTGTTCCTCTCACTCCACAGTTCTTGAAAATTCTCACCCTGAACCTTCCCCTTTAAGCCAATCAGAGCCTCATCTTCCCCAATGGTTATGTCACTCAAGTGTCCTGGCCTTCTTGCCATTCAAATTCAAATTTTGCACACTTCATAACATTTAGTCACGCATTTTTCTTTTTGCATGTCAGATAGGAACGCAACCCCTGACTTTAACATCATGTCTACGGGAAATTATAGTTCGCTTTAAGTGATTTCGAGTAAAGTGGCATTTCCCAGAAACGCATCCCTTATGCATCGCGGGTGATTCATAGTTTCTAGCATCAGAACTGAAAGGTATAAAAATCAGAATACAAGTCAGAATCCTAATATTTATTTATTCTGGAGGAATCCGATGAGCTTTAAAGCTCTTTTTTCACAGATGTCCAGTATGGGCGAGTAAGTACGTCACAACGACAAACAGTACAACACATGATAGTCGTGCAAAGTACAGGAAAGGTAAATAAATCACCCAAACACATACAAATAAAACGAAACCATCCCCATCTTTCCTAGCGCAAAGCCCACTGAGATGTTAACTTATTTTTCAGAAGCGACCTGGCCACAAATGACAGCTCAACAAAGTGTCTTATCATTTGGACATTTACAGCAGCAAAATTATTTAAATAATCTCAATGCGTGTTTCTAAACACAGGATAACTTCTTAAGTGCGTGATGAAGCAAGAGAGCCACATTTATTATTCAACTGGATGCATGACCACCTAGCGCGAGGTGCTCGCACACAATTGCCCACTGCTAGTACGTGCTTATGCCTCCATCACAACGATGAGGAGCCAATATGAACCAAGTGTTAAGAAAAGCTTTCACAACTCACTTTCGTTATTCTTCTTTGGTTCTTTCGGTAATGTCACGTACAATGAGAATAAAATAACACAATAAAATTCTCACGACGTTTCGGCCACAACGCAAGCGGCCGTCTCAAAGACACGTTACTTAACTGCACTCGCATGCGGCACCACTACCACTGTGCACGTATCAGTTTAAACATAACGTACGTATATAACCACATTTTTTGCAATCCGTGACGTCAATCCCCTTTCCCGTGTGTGCCTTGTGTGCAGTCGTACCGTCATTACCCATGTGACATTGAGGTGATCGAGTGGCTTGGAGCTTATTACATCGACTCCCAGTTCTGTGAGAAGGCCATACAATACTTTGAGAGGGCGGCACTAATACAGTAAGTACACACACAGGCATGCATCTTACCACCACCGTGAACATATGTCTAACAGAGGCTACTTGTGACACATTAGGCCATGGGGTAACCTAATAGATCCCAAGAGAGTATTGCCATTGTCTCTGCTTGTTACTACCGATTGCTGCTCAGGATCAGTCATTTTCCAGCATCCATTAACTGTCCTGCGTAAATGCCTATGACTTATGGGGCAGTGGCCAACAACCACCAGAAGCAACAGTTTGTAGTCGCATATAATTGTTAATTAATGCCATTTCGGTACATGTGTTGCATGTACTGTTTATTCATCTGCCGTGTCTTTGAGGGTTCCTGAGTGCTGTTGGTGAGTGTTAATGAGCACTGGTGATGTTTCGGCAAGTGCTGTGAACCTTCCATACCAAACCAGGCACTCTAATCTGCGTGTAGCAGTGTACGTTTTGATAAGGGGCAGAACAGGGCTGTGAGTAGTGCGTGAACATTTCACTATAACTTTAATATGGCAGTCCCAAGTAAACCCAGATGATGGCATGTTTAACTTGACATTGTTTGGGATCACGCAATCGTCTGGCTGCACTTGGAAGTTTGTTTCTACATTGTAGATAGTACAGACAGATACGGAACAAGTAATGTAACTCTGCCCGCCAGCTTTGTCGATGAATTAAAGCGACTAAACACAAAATACTCAATCACTTCAGAAACATTTAGCGATATGAGATCATAACTATCAAGCCTAAAGTGGTCAGAATTAACTTTAAGTTGGAAATGCCATGCTCTAATTTTTATGCATAGTGACGAATACCATAATTCTTAATGCGAATCCCGATTGGATTAAGGATACTTCTTTCAGACTTTATAGAATAGACCCACAGGACCCGCCAGCGTGTTCATTAAGATGATTCTGCGTTGCCCAACTCTAGGCCCACGCAGGTGAAGTGGCGCCTCATGGTGGCAAGCTGCTATCGGCGGAGCGGTGAGTACAGCCCGTTATGTTTTCATAACGCGACAAATATATCAGGGAACACGTTTTTTATAATGCGGATTAGATATAACGCGATTGATTGAACAGAACTACGTCATGCCAGTAGTAATAATGGTTTGTATGTCATCACACAATGCGGGTTGCCCCTGGATGCTTCTCGATGCTATCCACGCGCCTCAGTCTTTGTGCAGCCTGTGTTACGCATCTTACGTGTTATCGCGGACTGTGCTTTACCCTATATTATATATTATTTATTATCACGCGATTTTCACTTAACGCGGTGTTGTTCAGGAACGCAGCTACTCCCACTTTAGGGGAAAACAAACTGTACTGCGAGGTTAGATCAGAGTTCTTTCAAAAAGCCATTACAGCCAATCTCGTCTGTGCCACCATATCTCTTCATAGTGTTCTTGTACGCAATCCTACCGCTATTGTATATGTATTTAAGTATGTTGAACTTCTTTCACACTGTATGTAGCCAACCATGCTAATCTAGGGTTCTGGGGGAAGGACAACAAACGAAATACAAAAGAAACGAGTTTTCAATCTAGATTTCATCGTGCATAGCTCCAGTATAGCCAACACCTGACCTCCAATATCTTCTCTCAGCGTTCTACCATTCGGTTTTAGGTTTTTCCCTTGATCTCTTCTTTTTTCATACGGCGCTACTGTCGTTGCTGTTCCAACCGAGAGGCTCTTTACCAGTGCATCAGTCCAACTTGGTGATGGTGTCGGTGGTGAAGGCTGTGTGAAGGTTGCCATCTTCTCCTACCCCTTGGTATCTGACCTCTGGGTTCCCATGACTGTTTCGGTAGCCGACCCTTTTCCATCCTGTCTGCTTTTATTATGCCATGCTCGCCTCACACACGTGCACATTTATCGTACAATACCTGCTTATGCATTGGAATCTCCTAAAATCAGAATAACGTGGTGCTGTACTTGCTTATCGTATCAAAAGACGTAGCATTTTATAAAAAAATATCTTGAACTAAGGCTTCTGCACCTCAAATAAAACAATATTACAAATTCTAAACCTCATTTTAACACGTAGGCTTTCGCGACCAATATCATCCATAATGTTTTTTTTGGGTTAAATCGCGTAAATATAAATCTGTCGTTAAACCCGGCACCACCCGACACAGCCAATTAGTAAGGTTTGTCATGTAAGCAAAACATGCCAATTTGTTGCTAGCATAGTGGGTTCCACGGAGGCACACGCTTGAACTTGGAGGGAACACGTTTATTATATTACCCCAACAGGGTTTCTACATAAACGTACACAGTTACTAGACCCCAACAGGGTAACTGCATAAACGGGTCAGTTCAGCAACACACTGCCTGATCCACGATGCCGAGCGTAACGACTGAAGACCGACGACCGATGACTGAAGAGACGTAGCACCGAGGGTTCCATTCAAGCAGACAGCCGCGATTGCTCTCGGGACCTCCCTTTTATTATGCTCCCGAGCGTGGCCTCGCTCCTTCCTCGGGCACTCCCCCCTTCTGGATCTCACCAGAAGGTTCTTGACCGAGCACCACGTGTCCTTCAAGCCACCCTTTGGGTCCCCTGGCCACCCTGTCCCGGTCACGTGGCCTCTCGGGTTCACCCAGACTGTCACGTCCTTACTTGCCCTCTCTCTGACCGTCACCAGAACCATTCCCCCTAGGGCCCGCTTCCATACCATACATACTTTGGTGCCAAAGAGAGGCTCAAGATGCACAGTTCCACTCTTGTGACAGTAGCTGGGGCTAAACGCCATAGTGACTCCATTTACGTCACTACACTAGTACAGCACACCAATTTTTTGGACAGCAAATCCACAACATTTACAATCTGAGCATGACGTTTCGCCAGTAATTACAACTAGCATCATGTTTTTTTACATGACAAACCTTACTAATTGGCTGTGTCGGGTGGTGGCGGGTTTAACGACACATAATTATGCGATCTATCCCAAAAAACCTATATTATGGATGATATTGGTAGCAAAAGCCTATGTTTTGATTTAAAGCTTTCGTGACTGCAGTAATTCATATTTTATTGTTTCCCTTCAACGTGACTTTACCGAAAGAGCTAAGAATATGAAAGCCTATGTGTTAAACTGACGAACCTCTTTGGGGAGGATACTTTTCTTCCTAATGATGCTAGTTGTAATTACGGGATGAAACGTCATACTCAGATTGTAATTGTGTGTGGCGTGTTACAAGTTGAAATTATTATCATTATTATTGACAAATGTCCAACAGTAGTTATCAAGTTGTATATTACTTCTACTCCATGGTTTTTAATCTTGTAAACGTGCTTATCAATCACGATGCATTCTTGACATGCATCAAACTACTCTAAAGGATATTTAACAGATAATCTATATATAAAATGCATGTTCATATCGTTATTGTTTGCTGTTATTTCATTTAGCTTGGTCTCTATTTTTTATGGATGGTTATCGATCTGTGTAGCCTAATATAGATTTTGTGTTTTCTCTCTTAACAGGAAATTACCAGAAGGCTTTAGAAACCTATAAGATGGTGCATGTGAAGTTTCCAGAAAACGTGGAGTGTAAGTATGATGCACTGTGCCATGCTTACCGTTATATCCATTGCCAGGGTTTCACATTCGTGGGGTTTTTTTCATCTTCAGTTATCCTGTGCATTAACCATGTCCATTGATATTGAAAGGTCTCCACATTTCATATAAGTCAGTCAGTTTAAATCTTGATTTAAAGCTTTCGTGACTGCAGGAATTCATATTCTAGGGTCTTTCTGTAAAGTCAAGTAGATAGGTTGAAAGAAAATATTTCTTTGAACCTATCTACCCAAGAATATAAGCAGTCAGTTGATTTAGGTTAAGGCCTGTTGAGCTAAGAACTTTTTCAATGACGACCCAGTCAAACCATGTTTCAAAATGGCTGAGCACGTTACATAGGATGGGAGGATTTACAGGGGCTGTATAGTGCGGGATTTACAGGGGCTGTATAGTGCGGATGATGTGACGGCAGCTAGCACATTACACGGGAAGGGAGGGTTTACAGGGGCTTCATAGCATGGCTGGTACGACGGTAGCAAGCACACTACATGGGAAGGGAGGGTTTACAGGGGCTACATAGAACAAAAGCAGGACATTTTTTTATAAACATGGCCACTAATAAGTAATATTAAATCAGAACTATATACAATGTACATACAATTTACATGGATATCACCTAAGCAGACGGTATCTAGGTCAAACCTTAGGAAAAGCCTTGTCAGGCTCCCACCGACATTTTTATAATCCACTTACATTTTTTCCTTTCCAATTTCTATCGAAAATAACACAGCAGCTGCATGCACACCTGTTTGCTGATTACAAGGGAAATGTAGATTTACAGGGACTTTGAATCTTCCTTCTCTTTCAATAGAAGTGGAAGAATATGAGTAAATATAGATAATGCATCAAACTTTATTTGTATGAATTTGTGTTTAAAAATAAATTATATTTTATATTTTAAGGCCCCACACTGTACCGGTAAAACGTCCATACACACTTTGTTAAATGTGTTTCGATCGATCTCCAACACACTCAATCAGACTCAAAATCTTTATACTGCAGGAGGAATCTGATGAGCTCTGAAGCTCTTTTTCACAAATGTCCAGTCGGGGCACGAGGTCAGAAAATAACAAAAACACGATAGTGCAAAGTACACCAAAGGTGAGCCAGTCACGAGAATAAATTTAAAAAAATACAAATAAATCAAGTTCATAAGTAGAAATTGGAAAAGTCTATTAATTCCGGCCGATTTTTCCAACAATAAATGCAAGCTTGGACAAGGCAGCAAAACAACAACAACAAACAACAGTCCCAGGCCACAGCAAGACAAAACACGGTCCCTCAATAAACTTGCACGCTATAATTTAACTTTTGAATACTGGTGTGCTGAAGCATGAATACAGTGTCACGTTTGTTACTCACGTGACAACTTTGTTTATTTGGTTGAGTCGGGTGGCGGAGGGTGCACGACACACTTTGGCATTTTATTCACACGAGGATCTGAACCCAATAACCAATTATGAATCGAGATTATAAAGGATTTGTTAAATAATAGCGGAATTTCAAATGAGTGCTGCCCAATAAACATTTGTTTAAGCAAGTCTATCTTTGGTTTCATTGAGTGCCATTAAAATATACGTATATAGTGAACTTCCCAACAGTTTAACAAGTAGTCTTTCATGACCATTATTATTCATAATAAAGGGTTATTTGGATTAGATCGCGTAAATATAAATGTGTCGGTAACTAACCCATCACCACTCGACACAGCCAATTATTAAGGTTTTCTCATTCTCTTTTCCATGAATCCTATTATCTGCAAGGCCATGGGAACAATATACCCCATACGTATCAACTGTGATGATCCAGTGGAAACGTGGCCATTATTAATTTGCGTAGAAGTGGTAGTGCATCCCCACATTGTTGCTCTTAAGAAGAGTCACACTGTGTCTGTTACATTGTTAATTATCCCTTCTTACATTTCATCCCATCATGCCTGTATTGTCAAAACTGCACTGTCTTGGAAATGTGTTGCAATTCCACCCTGTATAAAATCAAACTGCTTTGTTTAAAAGACCCATTTCATTGATTGTCAATAGAACCGTGAGGTAGAAATTCCGTGAAGCATTTTAATGGCGAGCTTTTGTAAAGCATCTAATTTTTGGGAAATGTTATTGTCTTATGTTAATATCTGTGTACGTGAGCACGAACACATGCACACAGAAAGTGCACTAAGCTTGGCGCAAGCGCCGCAGTGACGTCACCTCCACTTGGTTGCGAACGGCGGTTGTGGTTGTTGCACACACATGTACTTGTGCACGTGTGCACTTACGTGGCAACGTCCTAGGCCTGAAGTTCCTGGTGCGGTTGTGTAACGACATGGGACTGAAGGAGGCCCAGGAGTACGCCACTAAGTTGAAGCGTGCTGAGAAGGCTCGGGACGTCAAGGAACAGGCAAGGGCATGCGTTTGCAGGGTTGCGTGCCCGCACGTTTTTATGCACCCGAGCACACTCAGAAGTTGCTATAATTTTCATCTGCGTGGGAGTGATGTTGCCACAGTGTCTGCTGTGGACTCGATACACCCTAAGATTATGTAGCGTAGTGAGAGGTAAATGTTGTTGACAGTAGGTCATGGGACAGACTTCGGTGTTGCGGGTTTTCAGGTTGGGTGGAGCGATGGGCAAGCAACCCTGCTGAATCCCTACTGCATCATCTCAGTTGTCATTGCAATGCCAAATTACCATCTTTTCTGAGAGTAATTTCTTTCACTTTTAATCTTGGAATCGTGGCTTCCACTATTTCTCCAATTACATTATTCACAAATCTCTGCGTAGAAGGCATTCTTGACACCACAGGTATAAGTGTTAGTCATCTTGCATTATACTGCCTTGTCACTTTCTCAAGCTCATGAAGCACACATTTTGCCAGGCCACTCCAGTCGTATTACAGATGCTCTGGCATATCTCCACAGCCAAACTTACCTTAAAGGATCAAGTATGGGTATATTTACAAATTTACAGATCTCTTTCCCTGTGATTTGTTCAGAAACGCATGCAAAACATTATTCGGTGATACTGCATTGGCAGTGGTGCACAAGCACAAACAACAACAAAAACGCATTCGTCAACAATACTGCCCCAAAAGGAATAGTTGATCATTGGTGATGCCTCAGGCAGTGGCCCTTCTTCATGGCAAAAACGCACGTGGACTCATTGTGCAATATGCCCCGGAAATCTATGAGATGTTGCATAGGCATCCAAGTCTTGACTACTGCCAGCGTGTCTCATTGTGAATGGGCCTTCCAATTTCCAAGTTTAGCGCAGCAATGACCTAAGCTGCTCCAAATGTCTACGACTTTATGCCAATGTAAATCAGAATGAACATCTGCACATTAAGCAATGCATAGAAGTGATGCTACTAATCCGCAGTGGGAGAGTTGCATTGACGGCGTGGAGCTGCCATGAGCCAATACCAATACCCGCCATTTGCCACTAAGTGACATCACCATGGTGCCTGTGCCAGGCCAGGTGTACTTTGAGGCTCTCACGTGAAATGTCGAAGGCTCGCTGACAGGAGGTCATGGGGACAGAGCCAGGTGCCATGGGTTGACTGACTGAGATGACTGCCATGAGCACAACATGTATGTGTCGCGACTCTCACCTTACCCTGTCTCACAGTCTCAAGTGTAGAACGATAATGTTCAAGTTAAATGTGTTTAACCAGGTGGGATCTCAAGAGACAACAGGATAGTCTCAATTGCAAATGCGACTATGTAAAGCTATGATAAATATTTTTTGGCTAACCGTTGAACAAAGACCGTCACTGCATCGCACGCTTTCAGTTGCGGTTCTGTGGCCGTCCGGAATGCTCTTCCGATAGTAGTAAGCCACTGGAGCTATGCACTTTTAACTCAGGAGTGAAAACTCATTTTATTTATAACTGCTTTTTGTATTTAGTTGTCCTCCCGCACCTCCGATGAGCACAGTTGACTACGTACAGTGCGAAGTAAGTTCAGCATAAATACATACTTACATTGTTTTAATGGGAATGACAGAGAGGACCCACATTTTGTATATTTTCAAACGAAATGCATCTAAATATTGTAGCGATTTTGTGAAATCGTAATAAATATATTATGAATATTATAAACATTTTGGTTCAATGTAAACACCTGTTTTGTTCGGGCCTGTCGGAGGAGAGGTTGAGAAGTAATTTGTGTGGTCACGTGCACACCTCTAAACTATTACTTTGGAGTCAGGATTGGTGTAGCATCCAGATTTCATTCTGTTCAACCATACTACTAGACTTGCTGAGCTGCTCGATGACCAGGAGATGGCAGCACAGAAAATGGGTTTGTGCCAATTCAGTGTAAGGCTTTGGCATGTATGTACGTCGAATTTCTTTCGCATCGTACGTCGCCAACCATATTAATCGAAGGTGCGGGGGAAGGACGACAAACTAAACACAAAAAGCAGTTTTAAAGATATTAGTTTTCAATCTAGAGTTAAAAGTGCAGAGCTCCAGTGGCTTCCTAATATCGAAAGTAAGCGCTTTCCAGACGGCCGCAGAAGCACATCATGTGCATTGGTTTTCTTCTTGTGTCCCGATTTTATCTGGCATCAAAACACACATCAATATATAGGAATTGGACAAATAAAACAAATCACAAATTGCGGACCAGTGCAGTCTCTTCCTTAAACAGTCTTGAGATTCAGCGAGGCTTCCCTGCATCTGTATAAATCAAGGATAAAAAATGTATATTATTATTCTTTTGGCTGTACGCTTATAAACATGTCCTGTTTAGGTTTGCAAGTTCAACGTATTTATGGAGCAATTAGAAGTGCGAGATGTTCATTTGTATTATTATGGCCCTGAAGGTCATTGGGAAAATTCCACATTCCTCTGATGGGGGCCAGTCGCCTTCCCATAGGACAATGTTTTGTCTCGTAAGTTTGGCCATGTCTTTAGTGATTTACTGCAGCATGGCGGTCATGTTAATGACCACAAATGGATGGCACACTGTTGACCCACAAACCAGAATTTGAACTCACAGGCTTTCTGTTTGAATGAGCATCCTTGCCACAGTGACGCACAGTCAGGTTCTATTACCGTAATTATTTCGCGCGTGCGTGCGTGCTGTGCTGTGTTGTGTGTGCGCTTTACAGAGAGTGAAGTCTGGGCGTGTTGGGAGTGGTCGGACGCTGAGGGAGGGCAGTGCAGGGAGTGGTGAGTATTCTGACAAACCCCACTGTTGATTCATTGAACGATCTTTGCTATCCCACATACAACTCAAGAATAAACAGCAGCGCAATGATGAGCGCTTAAACAAAAATCGGCAAGCAATCCTCTTTCCCGAATGCAAGTTTATTCATTGAGAGGGCGTTGTGACCTTTCATTGAAAGTAGGCAAAGCATTTTAGTTTGAGGGAACTAATAAATCGGTGACCACTTCCACATCGCCACGCAGGCGTTACAAAGCGGTGGGTATTGAGCGGATATGAGAGATCGCGCAGCAGTGTGGGGTTTGAACCCGGAGAAGGACTGGGGACTGCACACCAGCATCCACCCATTGCGGTGAACAAATGGCTGTGCACACAGATGTATGTAGTCACGAGATAGTGCCATCAAACCGATTGCACTGCACACATAACAGTTGAATATAAGATAAACTAAACTATCTTTATTTTATCAGGTAAGGCCCACTGAGCTATCAAGCTCTTTTTCAGAAGCAACCTGGCCACAAATGGTAGCTCAACGAAGTGGCTTATCAAGTAGAAGTTTATAGCAGTCATATACTCTAAATGTATGTTTCTAAATGTGGAGGGAAAAACCGGGGAAAAATCCCTGTGACCACGGGGAGAACACACATACGCCAAATATACAGGCATCAGGGTTAGAATCGAACTCACGACCTCCTATATACAAGGCGATGTAGTTAACACCTCGCCACCGTAGCGCCCCGTAACAAGTACAGAGAATACACTCAAGACAAATGCATGTGTCAGAGGCCACACACTTGTAATGGTGATTACAATTATGGCTGTTGTTTGACTCTGGAAGCCAGACATATACACTGAGAGTACAAGTGCAACAACAACACCCACAAAATGACATCACCATGGTGCTTGTGCCAGGATAGGTGCAAGTTGAGTCTACGTGAAGTGTGGGAGGCTCGCTGGTAGGAAGTCACGGGACAGACCCAGGTGTTATGGGTTCATTGACTTAGATGATTGGCAGCGTTATAAAGCAAAAATATCTGTCAGTCATCTAAGTCAGTAAACCCATACCGATATTCAGGCAGGAGAGAATGCACACGAGTAGAACGTTTGTGTATGGCAGCCATCAGCATGGTCCAATTAATACTAAACAATGCCACGTAATGCCCATCACCAATTAGGAGTTTACAAAACTAAACTCTTTAAAAGTGTCAGCAACCTACACTACTTCATAATTTCCACACCCTCTCTCGTGTTCCAAAGTGCCTATTTCACACAGAAATCTGCAGTTTTCACAACCCCTATGTGTAATTAGCTTTTCTGCTAGAGTCTTATGTAGATTTTTGTTACGGGCGAATATAACTATTGTCAAGAGTTGCTTTGAGTTCTGTATGATTGTTATTCTCCTGAACCTGGTTCTCAGTTTGCGCCAACAGAATTCTTTTCATTATTGCCGCTAAAGTAGGTATTACGTTAACATGAATTGCGCACCTATAATTCTAAGTCAGAATTCCGTGTAACACACCCGCACTCATCGTTATCAAACCGTACTACTTCCTGCTGCGTGCTTAAGTTGCTTGTCTTGTGGTAACTAGTTGCAGTGTAGACACCTGTAAGCTGCACACCCCGTACACTGGACCAGGAGACAGAGCACCGTACAACAGCAGTAGAAGAGGGTCATCAAGTTCGTACACGGCTTAGCAGAAAAGCTGCTTTCCCGAGATGAGCGTCTCTGACCTTCTTTGTCAGAGACGTTGGTCTCGTTGGGCTGTCACCTGGTTCTAAATAAAGCTCCGATTATTGCCTCCACATTTGCTACGGGGAATCTTGTGTGACTGTGAATGCTCATCAGTATAATCAGCAGTGTTCGATGTTGATTCCATTTCCATGTAATGATGTTTGCGAATGTGCTCGTGTGCGCTTGTGTGTGCCCCTAGACAGGGGAGGAAGTGTCCAGGACGTGCGCGCGGAAAGGCTGAGTGGAAAGTTGCGTTCCGTCGCCCCCGGTGGGCAAGGTTATGATAGCAGCAACCCTGGCAAGCCCATCGGTAAGTCACTTTACAATATAACAATACTAAGTAATGCAATTTACGAAAGCGCACAATATTTGAGAGACGTCAATGACTGTGACTCTTGAGTCATGGAGGTAACCCTCGGCGTCGCTCGAGAGCTGCCCGAAGGAGGTGATGGGCCCATGAAGTGTCTGTATAGTCGGTGAGGCCTGAATGCTGCTGCGTGCATGCATCATAATGGTTTTACAGACGCCGTAGGCTACCGGCTATTACTTTCAATAAGCCCTCCGCTATTGTAATAGCAATTAAAAGCTCCTCATATATCACTTTCTTATACGGGTTTTTGTTATTTGCCAGGGGTGAGCTGGCATGCAGTAATTGCAATTACATGAGGAGCCCCAAGAATATGCATGAGATTTTGTAGATTGAGTTACAAACTTCAGTCATGGCCACGCAAGGGGTGAGGCCGCCCAAAATAAATAAAGATGGATTTTTTTTTTAATTAACTAAACATTTGCAGCCGGAACCCTTTGTCGCACGCAGGGTAATTATAGCCATTGGTAGGATACACCATTTTGCAGTCATTACGCATGTTGAACATTTCCTGCTGATCATGTGTAGGAAATTCACGTGTTGCTTATCGACACTGGAAGATGCACGGTGCCAGATGCCATCTGCGAATGTTGCAATGAATTCAAAACTCAACGCATTCGTCAGTAACACTGTGTGGGCGACGTTTTGGGTAATGGTCCTTTTTCATAGCACATCCAAAGAATTCGGGCAATTGCCTGAATCGTTGCCTGTCGTATATGTATCCCTTGAAGGCCACAGTGTTGTTGACAATTGTGTCGAGGCTACTTTAGATTTGTGCTTGTGTGCACCACTGCTAATGCAGCATCACCGCATCATTTGTAACAAATACAATTCACCCCGTGTTCATGCACTTAGCAACTTTGTACCCTGTGTTTTTTTCTCTAGGTCCTCCCACATTAAAAACAACACCCATCATTAATTGACTCTGGATCATAGTAAAATAATAAAAATACAAACTCACTGCAGGACCCTCCTGGATAAATACGTAAAGATTATGGCCGCAAACGTATCTGCTGTACGAAATTTGGTGAACCCGTGGACTTGTACTCCTCATTAATCTTGTGTTCTGCCTCGGTTATCTCTCTCTTGGGTTTGACATTTATTTTCAAACCAAACTGAAAATCTCTTTGAGCCCTCCAAATCCAGGGAACCTCACCATTCCACCCCTCCACGGTGACGACAGTCGTTCAGATTAAATTGTAAAATAGTAACTTAAAACTTTCGAGACTGCAGGAACTCATATTCTTTGGTTCTTTCGGTAAAAGTCGCGTAGATAAAAAAAAGAAAGTGAAGTTTTCTTGATTTTTATTCTTGGTTCTTTTTTCTATCTACGTGGCTTTACCGAAATAACCAAAGAATATATCAAATAGTATTTTTTGGTGTTTTATTTGTCAAGTGTTAATTTAATGAGTTAGGTGCGAATTACGTGGCCTACACCAGAGAAATCATCAAAGCATTACGAATAAGACTGTGTTTTACCCTTTCTGGCAATAAAACAGGTGTTAAAAATTTCAAACACCAAATAGATTATACCTTTTGCAAGGAATCACGTCTGCATTAGCCGCACAGAGTAATCTTGATTTGAAGCGTTCGCGACTGCAGGGATCCATACTCTTTGGTTCTTTCGGTAAAGTCACGTGGGTAGAAAGAACCAAAGACCACACAGAGTCCTTGTGGTGAACATGCAAATAAAACATGCTCTTGTAATATATGCATTGTCTTTTAAACTGATTGACCTACACCAGAGACAGTCTTCTTTAAATAGCTGCTCATCCCAAGCTATAAATGCTCTCAGTGCATTGTCTTTTTGCTGTTCTGGTCTGACACTGGTGAGACAAGGCCATACAGAAGGCTGTCTCTGGTGTAGGCCAATCAGTTTAAAAGACAATGCATATATTACCAGAGCATGTTTGCATGTTCACCATGAGGACGTGTGGTCAATGCAGACTTGATTCCTTGAAAAATGTTTCTATTTGGACACCTTAACACCTCCTGTTTTATTGCCAGAAAGGGTAAAACCTATTCTTATTTTCTATGCATAGAATTAAACGTAAGTAATTATGCATCATTACCAGTATGATACCAGATATCTCCACCAACACTGGAAATTATCTCTCTCCAATTGGTCCAGCTTGAAGAGGTTTTATTAATAATTCACTGTGGAACAATTTTTTCTTTTTTTTGGTAGTAAGTGTTATTTTCTAATTGCTTATGCCTCAAAATGTACAGAAAATGGCTATTGTTCCCCACAAACTTTGCTTTTGTGACCAAGGCAGTGATATTTTGAAATTTGCCTATTTTCAATGAGAAAACGTGGTGTGCATTTATGTCATTCCTTCACACAAAGCAAAGGTTTTTGGGGACTAATAGCCATTTTCTATACTTTTTACGCATAAGCAATTAAAAAATAACACTTATTACCCAGGAAAAAAAATTGTGTTAAACAAAAATAGATTTGAAACTCAATGTTGTGCATAGCGTGCCATACTGCTGCTGCCGCTGCTGTTGTGTGCAGACGCTTCGTACAGCGACCCCCTGGGCCCGCAGGCCGAGCGGCCCCGCACGGCCGCAGCAAGGAGGCGACCCCAGGAAGATGACGACTTTGGGGATGATGAGATCACCGATGAGCTGCTGCCGGACTAGACCCGGCACAGGGCCCCCCCGTGTGTGAAGAGACTCGGTGAATGCCACCCCCCACACACTGCACACACGGCTAGACTCAGTGACCCCCCCCCACACTGCACACACGACTAGACTCAGTGTCCCCCCCTACTGCACACATGGCTAGACTCAGTGACCCCCCCCCCCCACTGCACACACGACTAGACTCAGTGACCCCCCCCCCCCACTGCACACACGACTAGACTCAGTGACCCCCCCCCCCCCCCACTGCACACACGACTAGACTCAGTGACCCCCCCCCCCACTGCACACACGACTAGACTCAGTGACCCCCACACTGCACACACGACTAGACTCAGTGACCCCCCCCCCCACACTGCACACACGACTAGACTCAGTGACCCCCACACTGCACACACGACTAGACTCAGTGACCCCCCCCCACACTGCACACACGACTAGACTCAGTGACCCCCCCCCACACTGCACACACGACTAGACTCAGTGACCCCCCCCCCCACTGCACACACGACTAGACTCAGTGACCCCCACACTGCACACACGACTAGACTCAGTGACCCCCCCCCCACACTGCACACACGACTACACTCAGTGACCCCCCCCCCCACACTGCACACATGACTAGGCTCAGTGACCCCCCCCCACTACACACATGATTAGACTCAGTGACCCCCCCCCCACTACACACACGACTAGACTCTGTGACCCCCCCACTACACACATGATTAGACTCAGTGACCCCCCAGCCCATTCTGCAGCTCATGTTGATCAGGACAGATTGGAACGACTCTAACTTAAAACAAACCAACCATAGGCAAGGCACTTATACACTGTGTGTGTGTATATATACACACACACACTGTATATATACACACAGTGTATATATACACACACACAGTGTATATATACACACACACACACAGTGTATATATACACACACACAGTGTGTGTATATATACACACACAGTGTATAACTGTGTGTGTATATATACACACACACACAGTGTGTATATACACACACACACAGTGTGTATGTATGTATATACACAGTAAAAGCTCTGTTATCCGGCATCCATGGGGAATGGTGGGTGCCGGTTAATAAAATTTGCCGGTTATCTGGGCGTTATACGTACTCATGGTTCACCAAATTTTCTAAGTATGTACAACTTTTAAAGAAAGAAACTAAGCCCACATGTTAACTCTGATATAAGAAATAATAATCTACCCTTTTACAGAGGTACTCATCGGTCAGTTTTGGAGCATCATTTTAAGTTGATTGTAGAGAAGCAGTGGGCCGTTTAGAGTAGTACAACATACAAAGTCACGATACAGCACAAGCACAATGCCATCGCTACGGCGGATGGCGGATGTTTACAATTGAGACTTCCGCTAGCGTCACCACTCGAAAAGTGTCTTGAAGCTCGTGTAAACACCAACGGATCTTTGAGAAGCGCACGGCAAGATGCCGGATGGCTGTCGCAGTGTTTCGGGATACGTGACGGAAGATTTGTATTGCCGTCTATGACAGATACCGGTTCAGAATCAGAATCTTTTATTTATCCTGGAGAAATTCGATGAGCTATTAAGCTTCTTAATAGAACATTCCGGATGGCAAAATGCCAGATAACAGAGCTTTTCGTGTATATACATTCATCATAATAGTATGTTTTTTGTTGATTATTATTCTCTTGATTGTTGGTAAACTGTCTGCCTTGTGGAGTTTGTCACTACATTTTTAAAAGGGCATCTTAATAAATAAATGCATCTTACTGCTTAACAGATATCTTTTCCTCTTACGTTCCAAAAAATTCAAAAGTAATGCTGACCTTCATTAAGTTATCGGTGACCTGGATGTTCAGCCCAAACTATATTGGACTTGGCGGCGCTGGATTTGATTATTTAATACAGCCGTCTATACTAATGCCAGCTAAAGCTGCATTGAAAGCCTCAGCCACATAACTCAGTTAAGTGGCTGAGGCTTTGGATGCCGTGGTGGCGAGATGTTAACTACCTCGCCTGGTATGTAGGAGGCCGCGGGTTCGATCTCGACCCTGACCCCTTCTGTATATTTGGAGTTTGCCTGTCTGTTTTCCGGTGGTCGTGTGGATTTTGCTCCAGTTTTTCCCTCCACATTTAGAATCAACATCACTCGTTTAGAATATTTGGCTGCTAAAAATGTCCACACGATAAGCCAACTTCTTGGGCTATTATTTGTGACAGGTCGCTTTTGAAAAAGAGCTATCCAGCTCAGTGGGCCTTACCTGGTAAAATAAAAACATTGTTTAGTTTAGTTTGTGTGCTGTGACCCAAGTCAACCAACACGAGCCGACTGCGAAGACCCAGCGGGGTTGGCATGGATGAGGCTCTCATGGCAATTTCGGATTGGATCTGTGGTAATGTTCACATTGTATATGTTCATGCTTGAGATGGTTTACAAAATAGCACCTTTTACCACATGGCACACCAAGGGGAAGGGAAGTCGAGTCAAGAAAATAATGTGTGGGAAAAAATAAAGGGGAAGAGAAATTCCGGGACGCAAATGCCCCCAAGATAAAGAGGGCATGGGATCAAGGCGAGCAGCAGCAGGGAGGAGCACCGGGCAGGAAGGAGAGGAGGGGAGAACGAAATTACTTGGCCAAGATGGATGTCGGGGTTGAGACGGTGAAGATGATGAGAGGAGAGGGAGAGAGAAGGAAGATGCAAGCTGAAGTGAGCCACACAGAGGGGCAGCGTGTGTTTTTACAGCGGGCAGACAGCAGAGAGGGATTCAGAGTGGGGGTTGCCACAAATATATCAAGGGATTAACGGGGGGACTTGAGCTGATTTAGAGATGTATAGATTTCTTAAATTCATAATACAGGTTTTTTTTGGGTTCGATCGTGTAAATATGTCATTAAACCGGCCACCATTTATGACATTAAATTTACACAAACATTTCCTTCCATCGAAAAATCTCAATTTGTAAGGCTGTTTCCGTAAAGTAAAAACATAATTTGAGTTACCTCAATGTGAGGTCTGATGTTCCAATCTGAGTGCTGATGATCGTGCTGAGAAAGGAAAGTGGCAAATGTTGATCATTGAAAGCTCTACTTAATCCAGCCTGGTGCTGCTGCAGTCAGAGCTCCTGACGAACCAGGTAAGTGTTAGTCTAGAGTACATAAAATAAGTACCAGTTTGTGCAAAGTCAACAGCAGTCATCCTCTTATTCGTTTTATATTCATGTGTTAGGCTTGTTTAGATCCGCATTTCACTGTTGACTCGGGACAGCTCTTAAAAGAGATGTTAAGTCTTCATGGGCTCTCACCTTATACAATACAATCTGTCAATCCTATGCCAAAAGAATTTGTAATTGTAGCTTCTGGCTGACGGCCACCAGTGGAGATGAGTGTTGCCCCATGGTTGTTTGAGCAGGACGATACTGTTGTATAATACGGTCACGTGTCTTCTTTTCCTCTCTGTAATTGTCTCAATTGTTATGCTGCGTTTTGCTTTATCTGACGATTGAATTTGTACACCAAAAAAAATATATTATAAAATCTTTAATACGGAATACCGGACCATTCTTCTTTGTGTTGTGCACTTAATTGCCGGGATCTTGGGAAGATGGTTGGTGGACTGCTGGGACCACGAGGTGGCCAGGAGATGGCAGTACTGCTCATGGGGTTGTCACTCATCCGTGCAGAACTTCCAGCGTCTCTCCTCGTGTGCGTGGGTTTTCTATCGGTGCTCGATTTCCTCCCGTGTACACATTTCTGTATACGAATAAAGTATTTCAATGCAAAACTCTCCAGAAAACGAGCTTGTGGGAAGGCCTTTCGAGATAAAATGTGTGAACAATGTCCTAATTGCAATAAATCGGCATCAACAAAACTACACATGCAATGCCACCATCGCTCAGCTAATACACGTGTCGCACACGAAATGTGTGACACTTCACACAGCCTTTCAATCCATATTTGGTCTGAGAATCTGCGGAGAAGTGGAGGTCATCTCGAATTGGCAATTTGTACGTTTGCATGCAAGTGGAAATGACACCGAGGGTGAAATGCAATTACAGCAGCAGGAGCCGAAATAAAATCCAGTTCATTTTATCCCTCCTGGACCTTTACTCCGCCTTGGGTGTTTTTTTACTTGGTGTCACAGCTGACAATCTGACTAAAAGAAGAGAGGCAGGCCAAGATTCAGGTACATTTATCATGAAAATTGTTAAATTATTAAAATTGGGGTTTAAGTATTTATAAATATATTCGTGACTTTTGTGTTTTGTAGGTCGGGCTACTTGTTTGGCCCAGATTGGACAATTTTGCAAGGATTTTACTCCCAAACTTTTAAAGATATGTTAATTTGGGCAGTTATTTTATTATTTAGTGGAAAAAGTAAGGCATTCCGCCCTGCAAGAGATCTTCCCGACGATCAATTGCAAACGTACGGAGGAGCTGCGATTTATGGGGGAGATGCCCATCAGGCATAATTAGTGCAGACTTCTAACACGAGACGGGAGCGTGGGCACGGGGGGAAAATGCCGCAGTAGGCATGAAACAACAGAGGTGGGCCTTTTCACGTTTGTGCAGAGGTGAGTTTATTGAATGAAAATGGCAGGCCTTTCACACCGTGGATATATTTTTTCGGTCTTCCTACGAGGCTCTTTGCTCGCGTTATAAAAAACGAGCAGCAGCACTAAAAATCATTATTTTAAAGGTGCAAATACAATGAGCACCGATTATCACGGTTGCCCCACGTACGGTGCGAAGGGAGTTCAACATACGTACGAGCTCGTGACAGATTCAAACGTTACAAGTTAAACAAAACATGGGCTAGGAGGATTCCGTGGGTAGAAAATGAAATGTTGAAAAATATCGGCAGGTCCCTTCAGCCAATTAAAAAAAAGACTCTGACTACATTCATGACTCGATAGCAACACTGCAGCTCTGATATTTACAACGTAAGCATTTGAAATGGCATAGAACAGAGATTCGCTCGCAAGTCACGGAGCCTCCTTCGTTTTCGAGGTTTTTTTTTTGTTGTGGACCGTTCCACCATTTTCGAAGCGGGAAATCGACGGCTTCTCATTGATGTTCCAGGCCGCATAACAACAAAAACAAGGCTCATCGATGCGGCCACATGGC